GACATGCTCACAGACAGGTCAGAGTTGGAAGGATGCTCTAAGATATGAGTAAGATATGGATGGATAATGATAGATAAGTAAAAAGAATGACAAACAAGAGGTAAAGAGAGAATGAGGAGGAAAGAAGAGAAAAAAGACGGGGAGGTAACTTGGTCAGTAATTTCTCGATCACATTGGAGGTCCGTGCGGGTGACGCGTTTTCATGGCAACCGTCACACTAGCGTGGGTATGATGTCAGGGCGCACCAAAGGTGTCTAAGAACAATCCATGTGCATCACCTGGTTACAGGGTTCAGGATCCTCGGCGAGGATCCTTGAGACAGGGGGGGAAACTTGTTACGGGGTAACAACGAATCGAGGGAACTCTATCGAGTTCGACGGATTAGGACAGAGGAAAGCGGGAGTTGGAGGCAGTGCTGCAGTAGGTAGGGACGGGTTTTCCCCTTTCGAGATTTTCCCCACTGGGTTTGCTCAAAGCGGTTTTTCACCTGTCCGAGTATGTACATGGACGCTTGCAGTAGGACTGAGAAGAGGAGACGGATACCTGTAGACAGTATATAGTACAATCAGCAAAGTACCAACTTTGCTGATTCTTCAATATCATTCTTTGGCTACATCGATTGCAGAGGAGACACGATCCATTAGCACCAGAGCCCCTAGATTTCCACGAGACCTCCATCGAGTTCGACCCAACCTGCGACCTAGTCGTCGTGTTTCCAGTACCGTTACAGGTAGCTACCGTTTGCAACTACCAACTGTATGTACCGTTTGTAAGTACCATCTGCACTTACCGTCTGTCAGTACCATCTGTACCCATTTGTAGATACCAACGGTACTTAGCTACCGTCTGCAGCGCAGACGGTGAAGGACAGTAAGGCTCCAGAAAAGCATACAAACCCTTCCGTAGGATCCTTTATAAATCCTTTTCTATTGGTCCTACCAACAGGGCGCGCCTTACATCTAGCCGTTTCTGGGTTGAAGATCGTTAAGACCTTGTCCCAGGTTCTGTCCCTCTCGGGTTCCGTCTTCAGTTCCAAGTGGATGATCCTGTAGAAATGCACTAGAATGGTATTGAGGAATAGACCGGCTTGTTCCTGTGAGTTGAAGATTGTCACAAACCATGTCGTAACATCCCTGACAACCTGTCACGGCCGTCGAACAAGTAATTACTAACAGACCAACGGTCGACGAACCTTGGCTAACTTGACGCTCCTAAGTCGATGTCTCATCAACCAGGAGGGTGCAGACGTCAAAAGGAGTGTAACTACGGTGTACTTTGACGTAGTTACTTGAACTGGGGCTTTGTTCTACTGATGGCGATGTATCTCAATTTGTGTATAGCTATCTGTCTTTCACTACTGACAACAATCAAGGATCGCTGAAGAACTTCAGCGATCTTCTCAGCTAATATGATCTATCCTTCCTAGACGTTCACCCAACCCTCTCGCGCTTTGACGTACTTCAACGCACTTCGTCCAACTTCCCCGAGCCCCGGCCATCCTCTTCCTCCTTCAACTAACTCCGCCTAACATCGCCGCACTTCTGCTCCCATTGTCCCTACCTAGCCTAACTCCGTCTAACTTTGCCGCACTTCTGCTTCTTTTGTTCCTACTTAGCCTAACTCCGTCTAGCTTTGCCGTACTTTGCTGTCCTTATTCTCCAGACCCCTGTACACCTTATTCTCCCGTTGTACTTCCCCGTAGTTGGTCTCAGATGTCCTGAGTTACGTGTAGAGTGAAGAGGTTAAGACGTGATAGGGGTTTTGATGGTCAAAGGAGGGTCATTGTTAGTGGAATAATTGAGGTGTCACGACGTAGTTGGTGACACAACCACCACCACGGACCCTCCTTTCACCATCACTGAACCACTATCCATCACCAACCATCACAACCTCAAACCTCCAAGACCGACTACGACAAAGTTATGAACCTAGTAGGGAGGATTAGTCACAACAACCCCACCTGGAGAAGAACTACGGCAAAGGTAGGAGGAGGAGAATGAGGGAGCAAGGCAAAGTGCGGCTAAGTTAACTGAGCAGGATATTGGGGATAAGGTGAGGTACGGCAAAGTTGAACAAAGAGGACTAAGCGTGAGGCTGTGCAGGGGTTGAGAGATGTTCTATGAGGAGGGAAGAGAAGTATAGATAGTTTACAGAATGCTGAACTTCTGCAGCAATCCCTGATCGTTGTCAGTAGCGAGAGATTTATTCAGTAGCTACAACCATCGAGTTAAGGAGAGCTACCACCGAGCAGTTTGTCATACCACGGCAAAGTTAGCCGCAGTTCATTGTTGATCACCTTACCGATTACCACTCGACGTATTACTACGGAGTAGTTAGCCATAGTCCCCCCGATGAGTACCCTGTCTCAGTGAGACATCAACACCCCAGTACAAAGTAGTTAGCCAAGGCTTGTCAACCGTCGGTCAGTAGAGAAGAAGAAACAATGATTGTGACAAAGATCAATCCAACCAACTTTGCTTCAGCCATTGTCTTCGAGAACTCCTCTACATGTTTAGCTATTTCTTTGGCCGTCACATTGTCTCTCAAGTCAAAGCTAGACAACACTTGATGGACGTTCCTCTGGTTCTTGTTTGTGGCCATCACCTGTATGTTCAAGCAGTGACTCCACATTTCTCTAGCTGACATCTTCTCAGATAAATCAAGCACTACAGCGTCAGACACTGTCCCCATGTGTAACAGTACTGGAAACACAACAACTAACTCGCAGGTTGGGTCAAACTTGATGGAAGTCTCGTGGAAATTTGTGTGTCTCTGATGCTACGTGGTGGATTGTGTCTCCTCTGCAATCAATGTAGCCAAAGAATGATATTGAAGAATCAGCAAAGTTGGTACTTTGCTGATTGTACTATATACTATCTACAGGGATCTGTGTCCTCCTCTCAGTCCTACTGCAAGCGTCTATGTACATACTCAGACAGGTGAAAACCCACTTTGAGCAAACCCAGTGGGGAAGTCTCAAAAGGGAAAACCCGTCCCTACCTAACTGCAGCACTGCTTCCAATTCCCGCCCTTCTCCTTCCTTATCCGTCGAACTCAATGGAGTTCTCTCAATTTGTTGTTCCTCCACAACACCTTGATCATCCCCTGTGCTTTACTCTCCCTTGCTTGCCGCAATCCCCATTCCTTCAACTCCTCTCCAGTGATCCTCCTACCTAACACTTGCCCTTTGACGGGCATTGTAGGAGGTACTGATTTCACCCTCTCAGCTGCAGGCCTAACCCCTACGCGACCAGGTCCGCTATCATTACCCATGACGACATTCCAGACGTCACCTATCTGTAGATACACCTCAATCGACTTCCTCCACGAAGCATACGTTGATGGATTGTAGGATAACTTGGGGAGATTCTTGAACAAATTCTTAGACGACACAGAGGCCATTATGAGGAGAGTTGAAATAGGAACTTGCCTTAGTTATACACAGAGGTATGAGGACTTCCAAATGTTAATCTGTTTACTGATAATTAGATGTTAATACAGAAGGGAAATAGAGCATGCATTGATTCTACCTGTCTCTGTACTTATCACATTCCACTCACATGCAGTAAACCAGAGACGATCGAATAGAGTTCAGAGCATAAGTTGAATGGAGAAATGTTGAGGTAAGGACTAGAATGACAACTTTTCCGTGTGAAAACACTAAATTGACATCACACCCTACAATAACATTGAAGGACTAAAATGACATCACCACTTTTAGGAAGTTTTGGACACTGCACAATGATAATGACACTTTCTAGTATCCCTGTGGGGTTGAAAATATCTTGAAAGAAACAAGTCTCAAAATTCATAGATAGGGATGAAGAATCATGTGAGTTGACTCGTGTCATTCTAGTCCTTTGATGTTATTCTAGTCCCTGGTGTTATTCTAGTCTTTTCACCCAAAAAAAGTGTTCTTCTAGTCCTTACCTCGAGAAATGTTCGGCAGAAGGGGTAATTATCTAACGGCGGTTTGGCTGTCCTGGGCCAATTCTATTGGCTAACAGCATGTGCTCATTATTTTACGAAACCTCCATTCTAGATAGCCAAATCACACCATGCTAATTCATCTCAGACCGTCCAGTACTCCAGAGTACTTGTAATACTGGGTGTGCCAGGTCTCTTCCCACTCCCAAGAATCTGGCGTCTTGGTCACCTGACATTGGGAATTTTGGCCCTAATGCTGTCTCTGACCAAGGTGAATGACAAATACAAACACGTGACCATGACTGGGGTAGCAATACACCAATCATCATGCATTACATGCCCAGCAGCCCAATGTGGTTATACCTCTTTCACCTCTACCACAGAGCAGACAGATACTACAAATACTACTCATATCCACTCTCGAAGTCCACCCTTCAATCTTCGTTTCCACCGTCGAAACAAGCCCCCCCCCTCTTAGCTCTTCAATGTCAAAGATCTCAGGGCGGCAGCATTCCACCTTAGTGTCGCCTCAATTTCCTCCCGTGCTTCGCATCTCCATCTTCTCTACCCATCCGTCGCCTGGATTTCACCTTTGGTTCCTCTACTTCCATCTCATCATATTCCCTTTTCATTCCCGACCCGTAAAGTTCCCCCCTGTCCTTACTCCTGCCTCCTGGACTTGTATTGGTGTACCTTTCTCTGTCTCTCTCCGCAATCATCAGAGCATGCCTATCCCTCTCGGTTAAATTCACCGTATGCCTGTCCCGTTCGCCCGATGTCACGTTGTACCGTTCTCCCGAAATGTGTGAATGCGAGATGACCGGATCGAATGGGCTGGTGGAAGGTCTCGAGCCTCCCGCCCTAGATGGGGAATTTGACCCTTTCATTCGTATTCTGGCCGGAAGTGGGGCTATCTGTCCATGAGGAGTATAAGAAGGCGATGGGGAAGGCTCGATGAGTGTAGTTTCGCCTGACATGGATGGTGTGGAGATATGTGCTCGGCGTGGTGGTGGAATACGAGGTATGAGGTCGGATCGTGTGGGCCCGGCGGTTGTGTGAGAGGGCTGAATGGGCGGTGTCGGGGTGCGCTGTGGATTACTGGTATGAATGGGTGGGTCTGGGCGATGGACGTGATTATTTGGGGACGAGGAAAGTTGCGTGGAATTCAGATGTGCAGCGAGTGCTTGTCGAGTTAGGGTGGCTAACCTTTCCTGAGGGGGGATAATTTCTTCTCCTTCTTCTGATGCGAAAGCTGCCATTGCGGTCTGTGTGTGAGCACGACTTCTGGGGGGGCAGCGGGGACAACAATAATATCCAAGTCGACAATCGAAAAAACTGTAAGGGACGTAAAAGAGTAAAAGGAATGATAAGATTGAGGAAAGAGATATGACATACCTCTCGAGCTTCAGCCCAATCCATGAGTCTCGACAAGCATAGCGTCGCATCGTGTTCAGCGACGATACAGCTCTGCACGATCCCCAGAACATCGTTAAGAGACGCTTTGTAGCCTGCTTGGTATGCATGCTGATATATCAGCTTTTGTCCTTCCACTATACTCCTCGCGTATTCTACTCCTGACACAGTTTTATTTCACAAGAACGCCCGTCCTTTGAGCAACACTGAAAGGGGTGAAGGGGAAATAAGCTCATTTGAAGCTCCACTACGGCGTTCCGAGCGGAAGGGGAAGACAATGTGTTAAGAAGGGGAAAGTCTGATGGTAGGGACGACATACCTTCGAGGTGGCCAAACTCGATTTATACAAGTTGGTAATACTGGTCGCGGCAACTGAAAGTCAGTTTCTCGTCGAATGTACACCACCCCAGTAACAATTTAAGATTTCCATCTTGACTTCGAGCGGATGTGGAAGCTAGGTGGCGAGGAAGCGACGTGGAAGACGTGAGAAGCGGACATGTGAACGGTCGGACTACTGAACTTCCCGAGAGATAGATGTGAAGTGTTATCACATTAGCAATGAGAATTACCCCGTCTGGGATGATGAGGGGGACATTATTGCTTCTTCTGATTCCTCGACTTAAAGGGGTGAAGGGGAGGGTGGCGAATGAGTCATCTTCCATGACCTAGAAGCAATTGATTTGAGTTATATATTTCGAGATGACCCACCTCTGAATCTATCACCCAAATCTCGTTCCGCCGTACCCAGCGGCAAACTCGAGTCGAGTCCTGACAAATCCATCTCTTTCTTCTTCGTGATGATTTCCTCGTACTTCTTTTGTCGTGATTCTTCGTACTTCTTGTCCAATCTCGAGGTCCTTGTCCCGGCTTCTCACTCTGTCTGCAGTCTGATTCCTTCTCGGCTGATTGATTTAATCTGCTCGCGTTTCCGATCGTTCAATGAAAGATTTGACTTGCCCACGTTTCGTGACGTCAACTTGGGTCGTGGCGTTCAACGTCACCGTTTCCACTTTCGTTCCTTCGGCTCCGTTCGTCTTCTTGAAAACAGTCAGACTTCAGGCCGACAACTATGGATAAGTACAGCTGGATACACTGCCGAAGAGATGCTATATCGTAGAAGAGTGAAAGAGGATGTGAGGTGGGAAGAGGAAGCAGAATGTATGTACGAGGTTGTACTCTCCTAAAGGGGGGGATCATATAAAACGCGGGTCGCAGCCAACACTGTTCCGCGCGCAAATGACCACCTGGAATGGAAACATCATCCTTCCCCATACAACCCGTCCAGTGACAGTATATGCATCATTTCCACTACGCCAATCAGCATACACAAGGTCAGTATGGTCCGCCGGATAATGGCAAACTAACGTAGCCCGAAATGAGCACGTATTGTGGCGGTGGAGTCATATTCGAGGCCTATGGTCATGCCAAACACCATCTTGGCCCGGGCCTCACACAAAGTCATCACCTCTTTGAGTTCACTACATGCCTGTAAACGCTCAGCAAAGGGAGAGTCTGGTGACCAGGCAAATCTCTGGGCAATTCCGGACTTGTATCTGTCCCACAAGGGCTCGTCATTCGGAGAGACATGATCATGATATACTATTTGACAAGTGATTTCTGAATCAGTTCTATTATACATCAGACTATAATTGATCTGAATTTCAGGGCCTGGTCTTTCAGGTGGACACTGCTCTTGGTATGCAGCCATCTCTTCCACAGTTGCACAACGTACAAATGCTGTGAGGCTGGTATTTTGGGGGAAGCTGGTATTCTGGTTGGCTGCAGCTTGTGATACAAGTCCCACCAGTTCATTCACATCGCAGGGCAGCGATCCGCCGTTGAGTTCCATGGCAGAAGAGAACAACCTCACCCCATAATCAATGCTGGCAGTGCGCGAATATGCCTCGGTCCCACACGGGTCCACCGAAAAAATGCCCATTCTGCGATTTTTGAGATCCTCATAGCCAGCATACGTGACTTCAGTGGGTTGTGACATGCCGTTCAATCAGTCAATACTGTAAGTAGATGATCAGAAATGTTTCAGGTGGGGAAATTGGGAGATTATAATCAAAGAAGAAGAAGAGATTGCCACCTTATCACCATTTCTCAAGCGGATTTCATGGTCCGAAACCTTCCGTATCATCTCGTCGGAGTATGCCGCGTTGCCGGTTGGCCAGGCGTGGAAGGAAGGAACGTTCTTATCGTCCTACGGGCGTGTTGACAGAGGGTATGTACTGATAGAGGAGGTGGAGGAGAGATGTAGACAGATCACGTCCTTCACACCCTCCACTTTCCATTTACTGTATACCCCGAAGATGGAAATCCGTGCGACTGAAGCAACCCGAACGTATTCGACAATAACCACCAGGGAATATACACGATTTGACTTGCATCTGGGTCTAGTGAGATAAATTTCATGTCAAATTGGCTGGTAGTGTTTCGCCCTAGCCATTGAAGGTGCCAGGATGTTCTGACTTGGCCGCACTCCATACAACAACACCTGGTGTGCTGGAGTTGACACCGTTGGTCATCCTGTCATGATCTACCCTACCGATTACTGTTGATCGGTCACATACCAGGTTTTCATGATTGTTCTTGGTACGGGATAGAAGTCATTGTGAGATACTGCTTCAAATGCTTGAACAATATGCCCACGCACCGCACACCAGCCTGCCAATAATCATGCATAGTCAAACCGGAGTGAAAACTCATTCTAGGAATTTGTCACTCCTCTAATGTGACTGCTCCAGATCAATGAGTATCAATCAAGTATCTGGTGGACCAGGAGCCGTCAAATGTTGCGCGGAGTTTTGGGAGGTCAAGCTGACTACCATAACCCTTCAAACCCTCATGGTTTCCTTCCCTCAGCTGACAAGTGATTCCAGCTCATTCATGATGTCTCCGCTTTACACGAGTATGATATCTACCATTCCCTCCAAGCAGTGATTTCCTTGGGAGAATAGTGTGTCAGAGAGTAGTCAGGTTGCCAAGTGAGATTCTTTTCCAGAGGTTGCCTTCTGACAGCACTAACGCTGACACGGTCCAGCACTGTTTTGAGTAACATGGCAACTCGTTGATCAGCTGCCTCTAGGACTGTCAGTTTCCCGCCCCTCAAAGCTTGCGCAAATGCTGAATGATCAGGAAAGGAGAACATTGCTTCAAGCATTCGAAGAGTGCTCGTATCTGAAAGGAGTGCACAAACTGTCGGTTTAGATTGCGGCGGAAAGCTCAATCTACAGTTACGGTATGAGCCACCCCTCTCATGATGTGCGATCTCTAAGGACAGGTCATACAAAACACGAATCTTTGGTTTATTACGTTGAACCAACTTTGTGATTTTTACCCTTGTGGATAAGGACTTCAGGCTTCCAAGAAAGATGTTTGACACAGTGACGTCCCGACTTTGGTAAGTTTTACAAACCTGCTTGTGCCACTCATCTGCAGTATGTGGAAGAGATGGGTTTCCATCAAAAAGAGCCTGCTTGCTCAGTGTGTCCACAAAATCGTAAACTGAGCTTGTGTAGCTGTCAAACCCACTTAGCGGTGTGGGAATCACCTCAATAAGTGAGCCATCATGTGAAAAGTGGGTCAGAAGATCAAGTGAGACATGTCGGTCCATCCTGTTGTACAGACGGGATGGTTCTTATAGTTCATATGGTGAGAAGATAGAGAAATGTGGGGTAGGGGACATATTTGCCACCTTATATCCTATTCCTTCCCCTGCTATACCCCTCTTTGCCAACCCAGCGTTCCCAAGCAAGCTCCACGCGATGAATGGAGTAATCGCCATTTGGCCGGCTCGCCCGAGGCGACACCGATGTCCTGGGCCGTCGACGTCATCACGAAGGCGTCTCGTCAATGGTTCGCCCAGTCGTGTGACCGGAGGAGGGAGGGGTGATAACATGGAACTCAGACATAAATGACCTACCAACTAAGGGAAATCTGAGGGGGGATCATCGGAAAACCGTGGAGGACCTGTGCAAACATCACGATCATCGAGGAATATAAAGGAAAGGTAGGTGAATGTTGATTTGATTTGATTTTTCAATGGGTACATATGTATGACCATAGACCAATGCACCGGCTCACTTCCTGTCATTCCCGCCATATCTTTGGGGGGGAGGAAAGTCAGACGGCAGGATTTCTATGTTGTGTTGCAAACACAAGCCATTATAAGGTCACATTGTATAACATGGTGCATCCATGGCGCAGGCAAGACTGTCTTTTGAGCTCCTTCAATAGCAGCTTTGGAGGGCCCAAATCTCGGGAGGAGAACAGAAGATGACCCGTGCGACCTTCCTGGTCCCTCATGGTACCTAAACATAAATTGTCAGATCCGCATAACATGTCAAACCAAACGTACATACTTGTGCAAGCCCTTGCAACAGCACCGGTATGATGTTTCCGCATACTCAACATATTACACACGCTCTAGGAGGATTTCAGGGACCACAGGGTCATGTTTGCGGACAGGCGATGGGTAGATGATGATCTGACGTGCACTGCAGTAGAGCAGAGCAAATGCAATACATATGATGGTGCAAACAAGTAAAAGGGAGAAAGAGTCATATTTTGGTGTGCACATCTGATTAGCAGCTAATAGTGGGTTTTTCATCATGGCTAAAGCTACATACTTCATCCTCCATTTGGACAGTTATTGGCGTAGTGTTCTGGGCTCCTACACTTGAGGCAGCGTCGGTTCTCCCTTCTCCCAGTCATTTCGTTCTCGCTGAGGCGTCCTTCGTCCTTGGTCCAAGTGACCGGAGGGTCATTTGGTAGACCAAAATTCATCATCCCTGGCTTTCCACCTGGTAATGGTCCTTTACCACCTGAATGCAAGGTTTGTTGTAAAGGGTTCGAAGAAATTACTATCCAATCGTGTCAAATTCAATCGTGGGGGAAGCCAGGTCGTCTCATTTTTACGCCTAGCAGCCCATCGGTTTGCTGCAATCATTGTTTCAGCCATTCGTTGATTCTCCTTGGTTCCTATCACATGTGGTTTGAAGTAGATCCAATCCGACTTGGTTCGAGGGTTGGTGTTATTCACCACTACCACCTTCAGTAGTTCTTCCTTCAGGCCCTGTATGGCTGATGCGATTTTCATCGCATCTGGTATCTTCCCAAGGTGAGTTGACCATGATTCAAAGTTTGCAAAATTTTCAGCTGCGGTGTCGGTCTGTTGTGGCTCTTGTAATTTCCGCATAGCGGTACCCACCATGTTACTGTCCCCAAATTGTGTTCTTAAGTGTTGAATGAATTTGTCGTATGTCTCCAGCCATTCGGTTGAATTCCATATACTTGGGTTGGTTATGGCCGGAGTTAAGAGCATTTGAGGGGTACCCCGTAGATAACCGTACATAAACAGGATCTTCCTGCGATCTGTGGCGTACTCTGCCCCTTTGAATTCGAAGTTCATGTGACATGCTGCAAGGAAGTTGTCCAATTCCCCTTGTTCTCCACTGAAGGTAGGTGGATCCGCACACCTTGTTTGTTGTTGGTAAATTTTGGCTCCAAACAAGGCTTGTTTTCTTCAATTTTGATCGAAATTGCCCCCTTTGAGGTGGGTAGCTGTTGGTTCTGTTGGTCAGCCTTGATTGTAGCCAGTTCTTCCCTTAATGCGTTCCGTTCCTTTTGTTGCATCGTTATAATGGCTAGTAGTTGTGACAACTGCTGTGATAATTCCTTCAGCGGGTCTGGGGTAGTGGTGGTAGGAGTGAGATCATGTGAAATGGTACTTCTTGAAGAACTTGTTGGTATTTCTACCTCTGGGACCAGCCCTTGTTCCAAATCCTCCCTTTCCGGTATCATTTTCCGCACTTTCCCTCTGGTAAGCATGCAATTCTTTCCACTTCGACCCAAGGCGTGTAAGGCTGATTCTTCAACTTGTAACGGTACTGGAAACACGACAACTAAGTTGCAGGTTGGGTCAAACTCGATGGAAGCCTTGTAGAAGGCTAAGTGTCTCTGGTGCTAATGGATCGTGTCTCCTCTGCAATCGATGTAGCCACAGAATGATATTGAAGAATCAGCAAAGGTGATACTTTGCTGATTGTACTATATACTATCTACAGGGATCCCTGTCCTCCTCTCCATCCTACTACAAGCGCCTATGTACATACTCGGACAGGTGAAAAACTGCTTTTGAGCAAACCCAGTGGGGAAATCTCAAAAAGGGAAAACCCGTCCCTACCTAATTGCTGCACTGCCTCCCTTTCTCAATCTTCTTTATCTGGATCCATCGAACTTGATAGAGTTCCCTCGATCCGTAACAATGAAGCCCCTTGGAAAGGCAGGTGTCTATCACCTAGTACAGTCGCTGTCAAAAGCTCGTACCATCCGTACCGCATCAATCAATCATCAGTTACTCACCATCTCTTCTCTAGACATTTAGATGCATCTTTGCTTGTTCAATCACGTCTACAGCCCAACTGTCATGAATCACAAGTATCAGTTTCCTCATGTTTTAGTTTTGCTCTTATACCTTTAAGGCAAAACACCTGAACCTTCAGTTAGTTAAGTCATCCTCAGTTAGTATGCCTGGTATGGCATTAGACCCAAGATTGCAGATTAGTTAGATTTAAGTGTAACGTAGAGTTGACATTGTCATGTGTGCGTCTGTGTGCGGTCAACAGCGTATGGTATGCATCACGTTGCAAAGACCACACAGCTTTCTGATCCATGGTTGAGTATACACACGGGATCAAGAATCACGACTCTTTCCTACACAGTGTCACGAAGTGACAAGACAGTTTGGTAGTGATAGTGATAGGATGGGTTGGGTATTTAACCAGTGACCGGCGGTATGCAGTAACCGCCGGTTAATAGGCCTTTTAGCACAGTGGATTAGACCGCTGCCTCTGAAGGGCACTGTTATATCATCCCAATGCTGGTTAGTTGGTCTCGTGACACGCAGGACGACGGACATCCCAGAATAGACTTGGAAAAGGATACAAACCCCTTGTATTTCTTTCATAGGTTCTTTTCTTCAGAGATCAATTATCATATGTTTCAACCTTTACTGACCAGGTCATCATATACTGCTCTAGCCTTCAAGCTTGTCCTCAACCTTGGCCCCAAGCCTGTCTTCCTTCACATCTTGGGTCTCAATATTGTTACCAGACACGCTTTGGTCATCATCATATTACAGAGAGGAACTCTGACATACTTCAGTAGATCTTGTAACCTTGGGGGCTCCGTTCAGAGCTGCTTCTGAGAGCTGCTTCTAAGAGCTGGTTCTAAGAGTTGGTTCTAAGAGTTGGTTCTAAGAGCCTCTTCTAAGAGTACTTTCTAAGAGCCTCTGCTAAGAGTACTTTCTGAGAACCTCCTCTAAGAGTCGTTTCTAAGAATACACTATAAGAACCCGTTCAAAGAACCCGTTCAAGAAGCATTTTGCCACCCAAAGTGGGGTTCTTTGGAGGGAGCCAAAAAGGATAAAAGGAGGCCTTCCGGCCGCCTTTTCCCCCAAGGATCAAATTATCAAAAGTTACTTCACTTGACCTCAAACCAATAAGTAGCTTACTTATTTCTTCAAGAACCTTCCAGAGCTTGCCGGATCCTTCCAAGTTGATTCACCACCTTCGACCAATACACAAGTAGCGACTACTTCATTCCTTGTAGTCACACCCCTTGTAAACCTTCACTTTCCAATTGTCTTACGTCAGCGAGGTCGACGTAGGACGGTTCGTAACAGGAAGAGCGCTCTTGGAAGCTAATTTTTGACCAGTCCTGCAGGTGTGGCTTCCTTAAAAATTTGACCTTTTCACTCATAACAGGAGTGACATCTTCAATAATAGACTCATTATCTGAACTATCTGGCCAAGGGGGAGACTCTGCTTGACAAGTACCAGCTGGAAGGATGAGGGTATTGACTTGGGGGAGGGGTTGGGTATTAATGATCATTGCAACATGTTCTAAGTATGAGCGGGTTTGGAGAAAGCAGTAGGTGTGTTAGTGTTGATTTGGGAGCTGAGAGATGCATACCTGAAAAGTTGTTAGGAATTGACAATGTGTTTTAGCACTGTCAGTGGCTCATGTGTTGTTTGGATGAGAATTACTGCATTGGGAAATTTCTATATAATTCATTAACCCAACTTGGAACCCGGAAAGTTGGAAAAGACAGCCATTAGTAATGTGGTGCATAGACAGTGAAACACTTCAAGAGAGGTCAAACCGACATACAGATGAGATGGGGACAGGGTAACATATGTGATTGACGAATATCCACAATTGGGTCTGTCTCATTACTTCTTTGAATGATCCATCATGTGAATACAGCATAGAAAGCGTCATCTGTAGCCCTTCATTCAGCTACGAAATCATGTTGACTTCTGGCAGAATCACCAGTAATTTGTCAAACTGGGCTGTTGCCAGCAGCTCCCATGGCCTCCTCCTTCAGCTGTGCACCTGCCCACACAAATGCTCCGCTTTCCACAACTTCCAATACTTCTCCCTCCTGGTCATTAAACCCTGTAGGGTCTACCTGCTCAGTTGCAACTCTGACAGCAGTGACATTACATCCTCTGGCAAATGCCTGAAGCACCATCTTAGCTCTTACTTCAGCCATAGTGAGTGCTGTCGGAGGACTTGTTTCAGAAGTTGGTGAGGAACGAAAGCAGTTCTGGCAAAGACCCTTAACACGATCAGTCAGCAGACTACTGGCCAAAGGATCTGTTTGTGATTCAGGGAACTGCAGTGTGTAGACTCCAACGGATCCAGGATCTTGAGCTGGCAAGTGAACTGGACTGGAACCAGAAACCTGAAGTGACAAAATATAATGGATGGTGCACTGGGGCAATGTTTGTCTTGTGGACAGTATTAAGCCAATTCCTCTGGTAAGCTCCATTTGGTTTGCACGAAAAACTCCAGTAAATGTGTAACCTTGCCCTTCCCGAGACAAAAGTCCCATTCTCTCTGCCGCTGCTTTCACATGTGTTTCCCACTCTGAAGCATTTTTTGGACATTGGTCATCTGTACAGGCCTTTTCAACAAGCTGGCGGATCTCTGCATGCATTCGCGTCATTGTGAGGGTGTCCTCCAACGTGGGGTGCTGTGAGTCACCCTTAACAGTAGATGGACCGGCAACGAGGACTGAGTCTGGCAGTGAGTAGTAAGTGAGAATCCTCAATCGAAGTATGCCTGACATTGGAGTAGTGAAGGTTGTTCTCAGTCTGTCAGAAGAATGTTTGAAATTGGAGGAGAAAGAGAAGGGGTTTCATGGCTTTTATCTCTTTTCTCTGCATGAACCCTAACAAACCTAGACTTCTCAACCACAGTGGATTGATCCCCGAGGCCGTTTCCCCGAGGCCTTCTGCACGAAAGGACTTTTCACGCGTCCGGATCATGTACGTGATCCGAGAAGGTAAGAAACGAGAAGATTCTGTTTTTCTATCAAAAAACGTACTATGCTGTACTAACCACAATGGATTTAAGCGTGATATCATTCATTCTCACCAAGCTATGCAAGAGAAGACCCGTGGGAAAATCTCGAACCATGAATGTTGAAGGCTGATCGTTGGTGGGGTTGATGAACGAGGAGACGAAAGAAGGAGAAATACCCTGTCGATCAAGATGGGTGGGGTGGTCATGGAGTTTCACACGTATTTCAAAAGTTTCCAAAATTTGTCTTGATTATCATCAATCTGGCACGAGTTCATTGATCCAGTAAGTAGAAATGTCACGATAGAAAGACACTTGTCATCGTTATCGGTACAGATATTACGGATTATGAAATAATTCCATTGATCATCTCCATTAACCTCTATCCTCATGGGTCACCATCACCAGAATCATATTCATCCTTTCTAATCTTACATATCGTCGTGGGTTACAAGGTCGGTTCGAAAACGTTCTATGGATGTCGATATATCATCGGCTGTGGTGGTAACATATGTGGGAATGGATGACCTATTTGATTACCCACATGAAGAGGTATATTGTGTCGGAGAGGGATAGATAGCCTGGGATGAAGAGGATGTATGAATTGAGGAAAAGGATGGTTAGAATGGTCGTCTATACTATCTTTTAGTCCCATGTTCTCACTTATGATACCTTTTTCAATGACCAGAATATGGTCTATGCCCATGAGGGCGAGTTAGGATGTTAAAGGGACAGATAACTTGTAGGAGAAGGGGGGGGGGGAGGATTCAAGTTTCGGATAAAGGAACAAAGAGGGAAGGAAGGAGATGGGAAGGATGAGGAAAGAGAGAGAGAGGAACACGGAATTCACCTAGCTAGACGTAACCCATCGATAATTCTTCCGATATCAGGAAACAATCCTTCTCCTAATCCACCTAAACCCATACTTGGGCCTGAACCTACTTCTCGATCATGGATAGGATGGAATGGTTCCATCATCGACATACCCCTGGGGAAGAATTCCGCTGAGGGTCAGTGAGAATCCCACTCAGTGTGCACCTCACTGGATACAACTTCATACAAGATACGATATCTGGGTGGGGAGGAGGACCGGTTTGAATGCGTGATATGACAGGTAAGATGTTTTTCCGGTCAAACGGAAATGAAACAGAGACATTTGCCACACGCGATCTTACAATAACAACATGCCTATCAGAGCAGTAGTCCAGCAGATGGAGGACAACCCATACGAGGTAACTCAAAGATAAACAAAGTGAATCCAAAAATGAATGATATGTCAGAGTATAAGAATAGAATCGAAGAGGACTTACTCTCTATACTAATCTCCCTCGGTCTACCCATTTGTCTGGGAGGTTCCATCTCCGTACCTGGTAAAATACGTAAAAGTTCTTCCCATGGCATACCTTCACCACCTGGAAACCTTGATAAAACAGCTTGAGGACGAGGACGGAACATATCTCTAGATAAAGTCTCTGGATTGAATTGTTTGTGTAATTTCCAAGCTCTATTCACGTTAATTGAATCTTTTCCTTTCTTCCTCCCTTCCCCACCACCATCAATATCGATCGAACTCAGGAATTTCAGATCTCTCGACACAATTACCTCCCTCGTTTGTTGTACTGATATCTCCGCGATAGCCCTCATTCTGCAGGAACAATGGAAGTTATGAAGAGAGTATCCCTGGCGATATACCAGAGAAGGGAAAAGAGGTGGATTTGGTAAAGTAGAGGAAAGGTCTAAGGAGGAAATGAATATATTTCACTCACTCAGTTCTATCTTTCCAATCTTGATATCCCTCCCAACCACCATTAGCATGTCTACCTTCTACCCATTTCTCAATAATGTTTTCTAAAACTCTGACAGGTACGAAAGTATTTTCATTTGCTACTTTTTTACGACATGATGGACAACTGAGATCGTGACCTTCTGCAGCCTGACCTATCAGCTTTGAACCTCCTTTAGATATACAAACATATTGTCTACTATTTCAAGTGGTTCAAAGATAGCTAGATATCCAATCATATTCTCTACTATGACGTGTGATTTCGAAAATAGCTACGATGGAAAAGTTCCCGACAAGTTTGGCCATCCAACATTGTCTTCCGCGTACTTTATACCTCGCCAGCATACTCTGTGATACGAAAGGACATGTGGAGATCTCATCTGGATCAAAGATGAAGAACAAGTAGCATCTGAGGAAGAAAGATCAAATGATATAAAACTAGAGAAGAGGCATGAGAGATTTTATTACTCACCCGAGCTTCAAACCATGATATCCCACATGGTCCACAGATGACATGTCCACAAGGTGAGATTTGATGTGGTGCGACCCTTCTATCAGCAAGAATCCCATTTATCTATCCAAATCCAAATCCCTCGATTCCAGCTTGTGTATCCCTACCCAGTTTCCCAGACCACACAGCCATAAGCCATGGGACTCTAACGGTGCCGACGTAAACTTTTCTTCTGCTAGTACGGAGGCCAAAGACTCGTGAGAGTACTTTTAAGCCGAGAAACGACGGAAATAAGACAAGTTTTACGATGTGAACATAGGTGAGAGCGGGGAACAACAAGAAAAACTCACATGACACTCATACAAATCACACAACTAGCTTCATCCATAAAACCGTCATATATCTCATCCACAGCTTTTCGTCTTTCTTCTTTACCTTCATCCCCGCCAGACATTTTATCTGACTTGCTATTCTGACCTTGTTTGTCAGAACCTATGGTTGACTTCGCAGCGACTGTTTTCTGGGCTGACTTAGGTTCGATAGTACCTCTATCTCTAGTCCGTCTTGATGGATTTCCGGTGTTACCTCTAGTCATAAGCCCACTGGACGGAAGTGGGGAGGTATTTCTGATGAGAGGCGGAGTGACAGCTTCATGTTGTCGTTTGATAGCTTCTTCATCCTTTTTCATCCTATCTTTCCCAATTGGTACCGGAACATCTCTTCTATCTTTGGATATTGGTACAGGTGCTTCATCTCTTCTCCCTGCTTGAATCTGGATTGAAGGCTGAATTGCGATTTGTCTTCGTGGATTTGACTGTTGTTGTGCTTGTCCGTAAGAAGAACCTCTATTGTACATCTGAGGATTGATCGTTGGTTCGATTTGACCATTGCTTTGTCGTGGATACGTTCCTCTGACGTCGTATCCTGGAGGATACATTGCAGTTTGATACCCTTCACTCATCTGTCCTTGACTTGGTCTCATCATGGGAACTTCGCCTATCCCATAACCGGGATTTGGATTCACTGGATGCGGGTAGAATTGCTGATGTCGGTCTTGCGCCGAGTGAAAAGGTTCGTATTGTTCTGGATACTGCGCAGGATGACGTCTATCCGATCGGTCGATATGAACATGAGGTCGAGGCATGTTAGATGCGGTGTTCGCTACTCGTCCGCCCTTTGAAGGGTGACGATGCGGTGGATCTTGTTGAGGGGTGGAACGACTTGATCGGTTGCCCGTTTCGCCAGAGGATCGTCCGGGAGGAGTTCCAATAACTTCTGGGGTAGCTTGGTTGCTAGGTCGAGTAGTTTGATATGGGTGAAGATTACTTGGAGTTGAGGGTATTTGGTGAGGAGATTCAAAGGTGACTTTGGTACTCTTCTCTCGTTTGCCAGCTTGAGGTTTACTAGACTTCTTGTCTCTTTGGCTTGCTGATACTTGAGTGATCGGTTGAGGTGGCGGAACGGATTGATTCGAAGTAGTCGGATTGACCTGTGAAGGAAGAAGAGCGATCTGAGGAGGTTCAGAGTATGTAGGAAGATTATTTATATGATTAGAAGGTTGATTGAGAGGGACAACAGAGTCACGTCGATCGAATGAATTAACTTCTCTATCTGATCGAGGTAAAGTGATACCTTCACCAACTTCTAAATCGGGTTGTTTTAAATGACGTTCTCTCTTTTCTCGTTTATGATCACTAGCTGCTTGAACTGGTATCACCGGATAACTAGGTTGATGTAGCGGAGTCGGGATCTGTCGAATTTGCGGGATATGATTCGATTGATATGATTGGGGTAAAGATGGTTGTTGGTAATAAGGATAAACAGATGGTTGTGGGGTATAATGAGAAATTTGCCTCGTGTTATATACATAAGGTGAAGGCGTCATGGGATGACGGGGGAACATTCCTTTTCTGTACTGGGTAATCTATCGGTCGTCATTCATTCAATCGCATTTCGGGCCCTATCCGTGAGTCAACGAATGGTAGGTGAGGTTAAGTGCTGGGAACTGGACGTTGATCGCGTGTTAGGTAGGAGAGAAAAGAGTACCGATGAGAAGTAAGTAGGATAACACGAGATAGGGTAAATAGAAGATGATAGAAGACGTATGAGGAAGGTCACCCAAAGGTACTCAAGTTACCCACATGTGGCACTGTCAAAACTCACCAGCCAAAGACAAAGATTTCGTCACGTTTTCGCACGTTCAACAATACAGTAGTGAACCACTACAAGGTAAGAACCTGACCTATACAACTCCCCCGCCGTGGGAGAGATCGGTCATTAGATTTTCACAGCTTGAAGGAAAAGATGTGATAGAGAGAGAGCAGCGCAAAGGATGTTCCCTCGCCTTCGCTTAATGCACAAAAGTGGCACTGCCACGTTTACCCTTTCCTCCACCCTCCCATCCCCTTCCCCCCATCCCCCCATCGCCTTTCTTCCTTTCCTCCTCCACACCTCGCTTAGCGTTTCATAAAGAACAAAGGTTCAACTCTCATATATCCTTCCTGTCTCATATCTCTCCAATGCAAGGATGGGTCCAGAACTTGAGATCTCACGATCTGCGGGGTAAACAGGGCGTCTAAAAGCTGTGCGAGGAAAGATCAAGGGGGGGGAAGACGGGGAGCAGTGGGAACTATACAAGACAAGGCGATGAAAGAGTGGCGTCGTACTTGAAAAACCTCTATCAAGGGGGGGAAAGAGAGACAATAGGGAAACAGGAGAGAAGAGAAGAGACGAAACGCGTATCAAACCTGTTATGGACGAGGGTATAAAGGGGTGAGTGAAAGAGAAAAACATCAGGAAGAATCCCCGCACTCTACCAACATACATCTTCACACAAATAAACAAGCCTTCCAGAAGGCGATACGACTTCTTCTTTCTATATAGGTCTTCAACGCTTTCTGATACTTGTTGCAGATTAGTCCCTGGATCCTTGGAATCTTTGGATCTCTGGGTTTTCTTGGAATAGGAACAGACAAGAAGGAAGGGTTTTGATACATTCGTTTTCCATACATTTAGGGATTGACCAAGTTGGATAATAGTCCTCTTCCCTCGTTGGTCTTCCTATCCCTTCTCATACTTGTCTTCTAAACCTTGATCTTCGTCTTCCACATCTTTGATACTCCTCTTACAGATCTTCTTACCACTCACCAGCTCTGATCCTTCTGACCCTTTCAAACCTTTTGCCCACGAACGATCCACAGTGGGCTAAGAATAACGAGGAAGGAATAATCGGAAGCTGTCAAACGTTGTCACAGGCGTTTTCCTGTAAGAAGGAGACTTTACATCCAGGTGATACATAATACGTCTAAGTGAAAGTTAGAAGACTTTCTTCATCCCGCATCCACCACAGTTTACTCACTCCGCTTACCTACCACAACACGGCGAAGGAATCCCATCGACCTTCCTTTTCTTCTGCTTTGGAAGGCCACTAGAACCGAGCAAGTCTTCTGTCCTTTGGCTTCTCTACGCCACCATCCTACTCTAGAACTGATTCAGTAGAGGATAACGTGAGAAGACGATCCAACCTAACCAGGTAGTCGCTCGACTTATTTTCAAACCTTCCGAGAAGACAATTATCAATTCCAACAGGCGGAGACGTAGTAAGAAGACGAAGATGTATCATCCTTCCGCCCCCGGAGGTCAAGGACAAGGATGGGGTGAAGGTTACATGTCAGTAACGGGTAAACAACCTAATTTCTTGCAAAAGCTATACGAGTGGGTTTTTTCGTCTCATAGTATTAATGATTCTGAATTCTGACATTGACTTCTGACTCAACATCCGTAATTATCTGACCTTCTGACCGTGTGATACTTCTTCAGACATCCTCGTCATCCCTCACCGCGCTTCTTGAGAAGCCAAACTTCCTTTCCCATGATCTTCGGGACCTGATATTATTCGTCAGGGTGATTTCACTGAATTTTGATTTGGTATACGGTGACGTTATACGAAGAGAAATGGGAAAATGGGGGATGGAGGAGTGAGGAGCGAGAGACAAATGAAAGATCTCTGACATACAGATTCTTATCTCTTGAACCACACCCTTGTCCAGATGTCATTTATTGGGCAAGCGATTCGAAACAGTTGGTGATTGCTAATCCTGACCGAGTGGGTCTTTCTCTTCACTTCTTCGACATCTTTTTATTCTACATTCGTATCACTTTTCTCATGTTCTCATCCTCATACTGCTTATTCCTACATATCCTCATGATCCCCAAGCCCTCATGACCTGGCCATACATGTGTGATCAAACTCTCATTCATCTCGTTAATATCTACAAAATTGCCCTCGCATATGCTTTCACCCACACAAGCGCTGACGGGCAGTTGGTCAAAGAGGTATTACCAAAGTTGTTCAAACATGATAAATTATCTTCTTTTGGTCGACAACTCAATGTGAGTCATTGATTCTAACTTGTATTGATGCTTTCCATCAATAGTGTTAGGAAAATCCAACCTCCTCACCCTCTTCCTCTGCTCACCCGCACACGCCGAAATCGAGAACTGATACTCCATGTCACTATGTTCAACAGGGGATTTTGTTAATACACAGATATATGGCTTTTCCCGTTTATTCCCTGGTAGACAGTTCAAAGATGGGGAAGGTAACGTTTCTGATGCTTCGGTATGGGCTCGTAAGTCTCTTTCCTCACAAATGTCTTTTGGATCCTGTCTCCTTTCCTTCGTTTCTCTCCAACTTGGTTATTCCGTCCTTTTGCTCTATCATCTCAAGATATTTACCTGGGGTTTCAACCCTTTCCTTTATCGCCCACCCTTAGCAGTGATTTTCCATGTCCGTTCTGCCCCACTAGATTCATCAATCACGAGAAACAACAACTCATAGTCCACGCTGACCCGTATCAGACCCCAGCCTTCATCGTCTTTCCACACCAGGAGAAATAGCAACAATCAAAAGACGAGCCGCTCCTAAACTCTTCCGAACTCGACGTCTAGCCAATGGTCAATTAGTCCGTTCTCGTGCCGGTCCAGCTGTGGAAGCTAAATTCCGAGAAGTACGTGAATCCATAGCTGAAAGTAAACGTCATAAACCTACTATAAACATTTCATCCTCAATTTCAAATTCTTCAAATTCGGAAATACATTCACCGATCGAAGATGGACAATCACCTTTTTCACCTACTACGAGTTATTCTTCATATCATGAAGGTATGAAATTATTACCTTTTTCTCCTAATATGAGCGTTCCACTCGAAATCAATCCTGATGAAGGGATGAACAGACGTATGGATATGGAAGGTGAAATGGGGATGGAAGGAGAAATGGAATTAGAAGGTTTTAGTCCTATTACAGATTATCACAATATTTCAACAGGATTATTTTCTTCTTCTACTTCTACTACTCCTCCACCACAAAATTCATGGGAAGATAGAAGAAATTCAGATGAAATGGAATTAGAAAATCATTATTGGAATTCTTCATCTTTACCAGGTTGGGGTGCTGGTATTCCTAATTCTAATTCAACTTCTACCGGTAATTTCGGAATAACTACGAATGGGATTTCAACGGGAAATCAATCGAGTTTGGGTGATAATTCTGGACAAGTATCTCCATCTTCCTCAGGTGTAGGTGGTGTTGGATCCGGTAATCCCAATGGAAATGGAAATATGATAAGAATAGACAGTGATGGGAATGGGACAGGAATGAGATCAGGAAATACGAGTGGAATAACACTCACACCTAATGGAACAGGAATGAATTGGTCTAAACATAAACTCGAAGTTATTTCAGAAGGTAATGAAAGTGAATCAAGTCCTCATATCTATCCATCATGGGAAGAAGCTATGGAAATTGATCAAGCTTTCGGATTTAATTCAGAACCAACACAAACCCAATCGAATCCTATTAGTTATTCAACTATTTCTGATGAAAAATTAAAACCAGTGACGATTTTGTGTAATGATAAACAAGATAATCATAACCAAATTGAACATTCTATCAATCGATCAAATACTAATTCAGTTATATCAGTTCAAATATCACATACACCTTCTCCTACTCAGATGATCAACCCTGTGATGAGATGGGATAATGGTATTCATGGGAATACAACGAATGAAGTGATGAGAAGGAATTCGGGAGGGATTGAAGAAGAAATGGAAATTGATAATAATAATACATCATCAGAATGGGGTTCTTCTTTTTATTTAACAGAAACACAACATTCTCAACAAATCCAACCTTCTCAACGAATCCGTCAAACTCAAGAATCCCATCAAGCGCAACACGATCAATCAGGTCAACAAGAACAACCAATAAGAATGATCGAAGATGGAATTGGGAAAGAACAAGGAGGGATTTTGATTGATAAAGAAAAGAACGATCAAAATCAAAATATTCAAACTCCTCAAAGAACTCCACAAATGTCACGTTTCCCAATTCCAGATGTACCTCCTACTGAACAAATTGAAATCGATCAAACTATGCTTCAACCACAACCTCAAAGACCTAAACCCAAACCATTAGATTTACATCTATCAAATGGTTCCACATTCAACTTTGATCATTCGATTAAACCTTCATCTTCGTCTGAAAATTGGAGACCTCAAACAGTTATAGGTTTTACTAGATCTCTTTCCAGGGCTTCAAACGTTACTGACGTTGAACAACGTGTTCAAAGAAGTTCAAGTTTGACTGGTTTTCAAGTTGGTTCAAATGGACATATAGTGGAAGGGATGGAGAGGAATTTAGGAATCGATGAATATCCAGGAAGTAAAGAAGGAAATGGGGTGAACGTTGAACAAGGACAAATAAGAGGAAACATTGAAATTTCAAATGTTCAACAAAGAGAAAATTCAGGAATTATCAATGATGTAACAGGTGAAAGTTTGAAAGATCCTTCGACAAGAGTTTTACTTTCACCAACTCCTGCAGATATATTATCACCTAAATCATCTTCTTCACCATCATATAATTTATCTTCTTCAAACGGTCGTATTACACCTGCTCAAATATTATCAGCTGCAAGAGAACAAGTTTTAGGTAATATGTTTTCGATTAATTCTCCAAATCATTCTTTACACATGGTTCATAACAAGTTATCACATTTGAATCAATCACCAACTTCTTCGAATTCTTATAATACTTATAATCATCCTTCAACGATTTCAACGAATGGTTATGGTAATTCGAATCATAATTCTTATCATTCAAATTCACCGAATCCTCAAAATCATCTAGTTTACAATAAGATCAATATGAATTCGATTAATTCATCAAACGTTCATAATGATTTGATTTATGATAAATTGGAAAACGATTCAATTATGTTCAATACAAAATTGAACCAGAACCAAAATCAGAATCAGAATTTGAATCAGAATTTGAAACAAGGTCAAGAGAATTTAATGACGAATCATTATGGTAATATTGGTTTAGGTTTAGCAAGTGTTTTATTAAACAATCCTAATCCTAATTCTAATCCAAATCCTAATGCTAATCCTACACCAACACCTGATATCATCACAAAGAAAGATAATAGAAGAAATAGTTATAAACATATACCTGATTGGAATCAAGTAACTATTGATCCTAAATTAGTTACACCGACAAGTAGTCAATGGAGTACACCTTCAGTTACTAGAGCTTCATCACCAATCAAAGGTTATCATATTTCTTCTAATCATCCTCATTCACCTCAGAATCAATTACCTGTATCAGGTAATTTAATCATAAGACAATCTCCTTCCAATCATAATAATCATAATCATAATCAACTCGTTCAAAATTCTCATAATCCTCCTAATCCTACTAATCTTCAAGATCTTCAGAATCAACAGAATAATCAGAATCATCACGATATTCATGAAATCCCAATTCAATCTCATTCACTTTCAAACGAAAGCCAACAACAACAACTTCAACAAGATCAAACATCAAGACAAGTATCAAACCCAAATCCTTCATACGTAAAGTTCGATAAACAATTACGAAACGTAAATTCAGACATACCATATGAATCACATGGAAATCAACATGGTAATATCTTATTTCAAGGAATTTCAAGTGCTCCTCCTATTTTACAAGAAGATTGGAAGAATAATAATAACGATAACAAACATACTTCTTCACAAGATCAATCATATGGCATGACGACTTTTGGGGATAATGGTATTATAGGACATAATGAAAATAATGTTGGAAATGTTGGACATTTGGTAAATTTTGGACAATTCGGTATGACACCAATACATGCTCAAACTCATCCACCTTTGGGACAAGTACCAATGATGATTCCACTTGGTACTCAAAGTTATCCACCTATAGCTAGACAAGAATTAGCTAGGAGAGTTGGAGAGTTAGGTTTGGGGGAGTAGTGGGTTGCGGATCTGGGAATAGTTGTATCATGTGGAGATCTCTTTGAAAGATTATGTGAGAAGAGTTATCCACCATTTTTGATATTATGGAGGATACGATATCGGGTCACTACATATGAGTGAGTGAGTGAGTGAGTGAGTGAGTTAAGAGATTCTAGGTATTTTGTTGTTATTAAAGTGGAGGAATGGAGGAAGAAGAAAGGAGGGAATGGGGGCAAGGTTCAAATACAAAGGAATTGATTTGTAGGTTTCTTCCAACTTTTTGGTTTCCTCATTTCTTGATTTCCTGTCATTTTGGACATTTTTTCACATGTCATCAACAACTATTTTCAATCATGTTGGATTTCATTATTGATATGGGAAAGAGAAGATGTCAAGTGTTATGATTGAAACACTTGAGTGTGATAATGAGAAGAAGAATATGTAAATCATTCCATGTCATTATGAGATTGAGTATATACAAAGTATTTCATTGTTATCAAATTCAAGAAATACTTTTGTTAATTCAATTGTTCAACAAGAGAAGTTTCTCTGTGTTAGGTATTATTATTTGTGATCATGTAGCTCGTACGATATGAAATGGTTGTGCAAGTGTCTCTTTACCTTCCATCTCCCATTCACTTATCTACAAGTGTGGGGAAATTGATCAATTAGACTGGACAAGAAACAGACGGAAGTATGTGGTATGTTTGTTGTCTTTTGATCTAGAGTACGTTCGTAGGTGAATAACTATACATCGTAGGATATATGATAGATACAACGAATTGAACAAAGATACAAATCCATACAGAAAGATGTTTGACAATCAGTTCAAAAAGTAGTCATAATGCTTGTGAATCTACAAGTATTGAGGAAGGTTTTGAAAAATTCCTGAAATCAAGCTTCAAACCATCCTACTTTTCCTCCTTTAGGTGAAAGTAGATTGATTTCTTCTTCATTTCTTTCTTTCACACTTCCCCAATCACTCCCTTCTATTACATCTTCATCATCATGTGGATCGTGAGTTTGTCGATGATGATAATCTTCATCATCATCATCATCATCTTCATCAAAATCGTCCTCCTCTACTTGTCCCAGATGAATTTCAGCGGTTAGTCGACGTAGTCGAGTAAGTTTCAATGGATCGTATGCGAATGAATGACCACCGTCTTTACTGTTCATCAGATATCACACCAAAGCGGTTGGTGTCAATCTTGACATTTAAACTATATTGATTGGATAAAGACAAAGTGATATTTTCGTCCATCATCAGGGAAAGCGGGAATTGGGTGAGGAGATAATGACCGGAAAACTTCCCTCGTCATAGGTTAGAGGAGAGTTGTTGGTTCTTGACTGTAGAAGCAGATGCCAGTGTACGGCCTCTGTCCCACGGTACGAGTCGAGCTCTGAAGGAGACAGGACATGACAGACAGTGATTTGATGGACATGGCATTGAAGAAGGAGGAAGAAATGAATGGACACTTACGGTTGTACCCTTGCAAAAGGCCATATAGCTCGGGCCACCGCCCACCAAGTGACTTTCTTATCTGATCGGAAGAAAACCGATTTTATGTTCTCCCTCCAACCAAGATCATACACGTTGATTTTCCCAGCTTCTCGACGTAATCTTCTACGTTCAGATTGCGTCATTATATGCTCGCTTCTCCATTTCGGAACTTGATATCCAGACATATTTGTTGTAACACGGTTTTGAAATTGATCAAGGTGGTTTGAATGTGGAGGAAAGGATAAAGCGGGAAGAAGAGCAGTGGGGAATGAATGAGTTATATCTTCTAAAGTTGTTTTATTCCGTCTTTTCATCAGCTCGATTCGATAACATATCTCATTTGACACAAGGGGGAAGTATAGAGTTATAGAGTTGTGAAGTTGATGGAATGAAGGAAGTAGGGCACAGAATTGGATGTGAGAGAGAATCACGATGGGAGAGTATACACATACGACATTAAATGCCAATGATAACCTGCTAAACTACCAACTGCCAGAGTACAAAACACTCCCATTATAGCCATCAACATACTTACTACAGGACTTAAATCCACTTCTGACTCAGTTGGTCTACGCACGCAATCGGGAGTTGTACAGGTGACGTTTGATATCAATAAAGGGTCGACGATGAAGACAGTCGGATCGGCAAAATATCGGAAGGTAGCTATTATACATTCTATCGCTGCGTAAGCGGCCAGGAGGGTGGAATAGTTGATGAAGAGCACAAAGGGTTTGTCTCAGAGGTCAGCTGGGTACAACGCCTTTGCTATTCAGCTGGGGGAAATGTCTCGCGTTTATCGTACACGAAGCGACACTGGATTTACACGACATGATTTTCAATTTGAATGAGGACCGAGTTTGTTTTTGGACTAGGACGAGATATTATCGAGTGGAGACAACATTGATACGGGTAGAAAAAAAGTACTGACGATTGTGATATCCCACACATGTCCCTAGCCATGCGCAATGATGATCCACTTTGATGTTGAGCGTCTTTCCAAATACAAGGCATAGGGGAGACACTTACTTTTCAACACACAACGATCACAAAAACGACAATGATGACATCTATCAGGTTTCCAACCATCACATTTCTTACACCATCTGGGTCCACCCGTAGAGCTCTTGGCCATCAACCCCGTACCCTCTTCCATGACTCGACCGACATCCGAAGCGGAATATCTTCTTGGTCTACCGTCACTCTTCTTCTTCATACCCTGCCCCCTTGGTTCCATCTCCAAACCGCCATCCCCTATTCTCGGAGAGAGATCATTCTCTGTCACGTCTTCGTCTTCCTGTCCTGCATCGGCGGGAGATAAAGGCACGAATGGACTCATAGGGAGTGGGAATGCCGACGGGTTGCTTCCATCCGTATTATGTATGAGTGCCGGGGATATATGCGAGTGAGAAGTCTTCATGGGGAGCGGTGATGGTCTTTCTTTAAAACCCCTCGTTTGGACCCATTGGGAATTGCGAAGGAAACGAAGGGGTATATCATCAGGATCTGTGATCGGAGCTGATCGAGGAGGTTCGAAAATTGATGAAGAATGCTGGGCAGATTTCTCCGACATTTCTTGACGTAGATGGGGAGGAGTCAGGGAGTAGTCAGGATGACCGGGAGAACGATGGGAAGCTGCGTAAAGAGAGAGGATGGTGAGGGTGAACAGGGTGTTGTAGATTATAAACCTGCGTGTCAGTCAATACTAGGGACGATTATAATCTGAGATATAGCTGAGAGCAGCCGACAAAACACAAAGAAGACGCACTGAAAGATGAAATGCCACCATTCACCTCGCCGCAGGAGAGTCTCATGAGCTGACACGACGACGTTGAACGCAAACCAAGTGAGAAGGAGGATGGCGTAGCTCACTATTCGTCAGCATAGATATTCCGAAGTATACCTGTTTAGACCATCTTGCAACACTCGTCACTCGCTCCCTCCCTGATAAGAGACCATGAAGTGGACGGGACATTGACAAACTCACTGAACACTGGTATTCCCTCTGTACATCTCTCCACCTTGGACTTTCTTCTCGTCATTTCATCATATTTTGTCATTGTTCCGAGTCTTTATTCGACAATGTCTTCACCACCATGAAAGTCATGCTATTGTGCAGGTTGATATAGATGCTTTGTGAGTTGTTGATAGAAAGGAAAACGATACACTCCCTTGATCTCCTTTCCCCTTTCCTCGTTGCGGGGCTCCAGTGCTTCATGTTTACGTAACAGTAGCCCACGTGACGCGTCAAATACAAACACGTCTCTCCGCTACAAACTGACTTCTGGTACAAAATAACATAACATCATCCATCTCCCTCTCTTCCCACGTTCAAATAATGACTCTTTAATCATATCTCGTAAATGTCATCTAACGTCAGTGTCAATACCCCTCCTCTCCGCCGTAAACCCGGAGCAGGACGTAAATCTATAAACTACGCCGATTCACCCGCTTCTGACCGTTCGACTCCTTTGCAACCCCGACATGACAATCTGCCTTTGGACGAGTATCATCCGGTAAATGACGATAAATCAGAGAAAGCTATCAGAAGAAAGTCGACTCATTTCGGTCAATTGGGTGTGGAGGGTAAACCTAGGATGCCTAGTGGAGCTGTTCCCGCAGGGGGAAATGGAGCGAACGGAGGGAATGGGTTGGGACCAGGAGGAAAGAGGACTGTGAGCGCTTTAGGGATGCAACAACAGAAAAGGGCGAAAAGATTGAGTGCGGTGGTTCCGAGTGGACCACCGGTCAGTATGGAAGTGATGCATACGAATTTCGAAGAGTGGATGAAGTTGGCGACGGATAATGTGAGTGTTTCTTTTCAACTCTTTAGGTGTCCTACTTCACTCTTCATCTATCATACCTCACTCTTCGTAACGCCATCATCAAGTATGTGTCAACAGTAGGACTGGGCGCGCGTGAACATGGTTTGTGAGGCAGCAATTCGCTGACAATACAGAAAATCACAGCTACAAACACTTGGAATTTCGCATTGATCGATTACTTTGCCGACCTCACCTTGCTTCGGAATGGCCCAGACGATCAGAGTTGGTACACATCTCATGTGAACATGACGATATACTGATGATCAGGTATCAACTTCCAGAAAGCCAGTTGTACTCTTGACGGATGTGTCAAGATTTGGACGTCGAGAGTGGATAGTGTGGCCACTGAAACTGGGAAGCTGCTGAGTGGCTTGGCTGGAGGCGAGTCCATCCTCGGCCTTGTCCCTCGCCTTTCAATACTTTGTACCTTTGCGAAGGTAATTAGCCGTGAATCAGAACTGACGATTAGGTCCTGAGGAAGAGATGGACCAGACGGGAGATGGAGATGAGGAAGAGAATGGAGAACCGTCAACAAAACGCAAGGTGAGTCTTCTTGGCACCCCCCCCCCCCCTTCACTGATGAATTCATCGCATTCGTGGAAACGTGAAAAAACGGCATAGGACTGATTCAAAGGCTCCAACCAGATCAGAAGCCACCCTCGCCAAATCTTTCTCGGTACTACAAGTCAAAAAGTTTGATCTTGAATTCACTGTCGACCCTCTCTTCAAGAAAACCTCTGCAGATTTTGACGAAGGAGGTGCCATGGGTTTATTAATGAACCATCTTGGTGTTGATGGTCGTGGACGAGTAGTATTCGATGCCGGTGATGCTACGATCGAAGAAGAAGATGAAGGTGATCTTCCCGAAGACGAACAAGTAGATTTAACAAAATTGAAAGAATATCTTCCTCCAACAAGTACAATGGAAGAACTACAAATATCCAATACACTTGGAGATTTTAGGTTTTCTTCAGATCCTGACGCAATGCCAGATTTCGCTACTCTTGTCGGTCTCAAAGAATTAGATGATGAACCCATGCTGGAACATACGGATGAAGTTTCAGGGGAAGGTGGTGCACATGATTTCTTTGGTGATGAGAATTTCGACGTTCCTATGGGTATGGAAGTTGATGATGGTATGTCAGTCGTTGAAGGTGATTCGGGGGATATGGAAGATGGTATAGGAGATGGGAATGGAGGATTAAGAGGTGGTTTACAAATGTTGGCACCTGGTGATTCTCATGGACCGTTTGATCCGAGAAGACAAGGAGGGGAATTGGTCATGTCTATGATGGAAGGAGATGATGGGATGTTTGATTATTTTGATAAAGGTTTTGGAAGAGCTTGGGCAGGTGCGGAACATTGGAAATTGCGTAAAGTGTCTAGAAAGGGTGGGTCTTTTCCATCAACATCCATTCCCATCGCGCAATATTTCCGTCCCTCCTGTGACTGTGCTTTTGGTATGATGAGACCCTGGGATTTCGCTTTACCTTCCTCACAAATTGCTTCCCATGTTCCATGTCAGTCCCCTCCAATATGTCTCGTATCTGCCGACGCCCTTGTAGCTCTTGAACTACTTGTCGAATGCCTTCATGATCATGTGTCTGGTATCTACCTTTTCGCAATTGCTGAATCGTAATTTCCTCAAGACCATGCTGACAACAAGACCAAGCTCTTCCCGCGACTATCAAAACTACCAAAGTGGCCAAACAACCATTCCAAATAGATTTCCTCTCTCTCCCCGGACCATCATCCAAGACCCTTTTCGGCGCCGCTTCCAAATCTTCCATCTCATTACCCTCAACAAAGAGAGAAAGGGGTAAACGAGGAAATGATGCTAGAAAAAGAAAAGAAGAATATTTATTACCGGATGATATGCACTTTAGTAGTAGACAATTATTAAGGTTATTCATGAAACCTAAGTTTTCCGTGAGTCTAATCTTCTCCTTCTCCCTCCCTTGCTCCCTCTGTGATTCTCTATGGTGACGAACCATCTCATCCTGGTGTTCGGTACTTGTAGATCATGAATGAGTCGGGTGATGTAATCTTTCCCTTTGCTATGATATCGTAAATTATGGGAAGAATCAAATGAGATATCACGGAAATGTGTATGATGGTTACTAATGTCCAGCTTCGAATGCGCCGAAACGCAGTATCGACACGAATGGCCGAAAATCCAAATGGAGAGATCGATGAGAACTTTTGGGCTCAAGCTGCTGCTGACAGAGCGGAAGGCGATGTGGAAATGGAAGGTGAGTGGGATTCTTGCTTGATCATTCACCTCCTCCCCCTTTACAGTACTGTCCCTTCTTCCTCTTTCCCCTTTCTCCCCTGCTTCTCTTGCCGCATCTTGTCCCTCCGCCACTTGAGAATCTCACGTGACATTGTAGACAACATCAAGTTGACATCACAGACAATCCAGCACCAAATCCATTCGAATCTCAATTCTTCCATGACGACGCAACAGATGCAGGAGATTATGCAGATGTAGATGATGTCCTCGATCCTGATACCGCATATGGAGAAGAAGAAGATTTATGGCAAGGTAGTCAAGGTATTGAGTTAAAGAAATCTCGACCTGAAAATGTCAATTTTGCTAAGAAAGCGAAGAGGGTCGATGTGAAGAGATTAAAGGATGATATTTGGAAAGGACTTAGAGGTTTGGTTCCTGACACTGAAGGGGTTCCTACTTCTGAAGATGTGAGTTGGGTCGTTTGTGATTTTCCTCCACCATTCTGCCTTGTCACCAATTCCTAATCAGCCGAAAATTGCGCATATCTCACCAAAACTAAGAAGTACCGTCCATGTCACTATCTTTGAAAGAGCTCAATACCCTGTTACAAGACGTGAATTGTGACTTCGGAGTATAAAATTGATGAATCAGGAACCTCAAGAAGTTCAAACTCCGAAAGAAGAAGTGAAAACTTTCGATACTATCATCACATCTCTTCGTTCTTCTTACCCTCAGGAGAAAATGAGCGAAATCTCAACTTCATTCTGTTTCATCTGTCTTCTTCATCTAGCCAACGAAGAGGGTTTGCGGATTGAGACAGCTCGGTTTGATGGGAAAGATGGAGAAGATGTTGGATGTCAAGGTTTGGCAGATGGGGTAGAGGTCGATGATACGTTTATGAGAAAGGGAAAGTTGGATGAAGATGAAAAGATGGATAGGATAGTGGGAGAGTTACAAGCTTTGAAGGTTTTCAAGGTTAGTCAAATGGACTTTCCCTTTGTTTCTCTCATCCTTTCTAAGATCTTGCTTTCTAGTTTTGAGCGAGAACCTTTCATGTCTCTTCTTTCAACCCCGGCGCACCTTTCTATCCATCAACAACGTCTCTCGTCTCCTCGATTATGATTCCGCCCTTTGGTGTCCCTCTTCATCTCTTCAATCCTCACCTGTTTTCGATAGTTCTTCACAACAACAACACCTCTAGTGTCAACCCATCACAATCCATCATCTCATGACATGGCTTCGTCTCATTTCTTCTCAGTTCGAAAAGGGATCCTGATTCCCACGTCGTTGATGTACGAAAAAGCTGATGGGACAGGATCCGAATGCTGGTCGAGCTGCTTGAGATGTATGTTTTCTCCATTCAGCATCTTACCTACACCTATCATTATCCGATCGTACGCACAGCTACCTGTCACTTATTGACAAATTTGACTTTACTTCGTACCCGCCACGTATTTCCCCCGTCGGCCTGTCCGGTCAACTCATTCATCGCCATCGGCCAGAGTCGCCTTCCCGCGGTTTCGCCTTCCGGAATGGAACATAGCCTCACACCGCTTTACTTCCCTCCCCACGTTACCAAACGGATATAAGACGTGATCTATGATCCCCGATCACAGGTTCTTCACTCACTTACATTCATAGACGGATGACTTCGTTGGTTCAATCCGTGCATCACGGGGACACGCCTTTCTCTCGTGGACTAAGTATTCATGACACCATTGTAGCTCTCACTCATCCAGACCGGCTTACGGCTCACCTTTTTTTCAACCCTAACGATCATATGATACCTATGATTGTATCATGCACCGAAGACAAGACAACAGTACTTCTCAAACTACCTCCGGAAGCTAATGAATTACTTAATCGTCATACACTCCAAGCTATCCCAAGCATGCTAGCTTGTACACTGACAGCACCATTGGAAGAACGTGAATCAATTTGTAAACAAGCTATCGATGAACTTATATCAACATCTAAACAGACATTTCCTGATTGTTTCATAAGTCCACATACAATCACTGGCACTTTTACTCAATTGAGGGATGATTATTCACAATTTTCGACGGAAACTAAACAAAGAGTAGGCAGCGAATTACTTGGTGGAACAACATTGGTCAGTCCTGATCTTGACAATGGTTCTCCTCCAATATTTATTGAACATGTTCTTGCTTTTACTCTAAGTTTGATCAGCCAAGATGCAACTAGGATAAGAACAAGTGAAACACAAAAGAATTGTGTTGTTATATCAGGTAATTATAATACGGCAACTCCAGATCATAGTGTAGCCTTTGTTTTTGATCTGGAAAGAATGGTCAGACCAGATTATCAAAACAAATTCTTGAATACAATTCCACCAAAGGATCCAGTATAGCTCTTGGAATGAACACACTTTGTGAATGTTTTCTAGTATGAGGTTTCATCATGAAAATTTCCACCTTTACCTATACCATACAATTTGAATTGAATGATTGGCTGATTGTTACGGGGTAACAACGAATCGAGAGGACTCTATCGAGTTCGACGGATTAGGACAGAGGAAAGCGGGAGTTGGAGGCAGTGCTGCAGTAGGTAGGGACGGGTTTTCCCCTTTCGAGATTTCCCCACTGGGTTTGCTCAAAGCGGTTTTTCACCTGTCCGAGTATGTACGTACGTAGACGCTTGCAGCAGGAAGAGGACAAAGGGCGAGGATATCCGTAGACAGTATATAGTACAATCAGCAAAGTACCAACTTTGCTGATTCTTCAATATCATTCTTTGGCTACATCGATTGCAGAGGAGACACGATCCATTAGCACCAGAGCCCCTAGACTTCCACGAGACCTCCATCGAGTTCGACCCAACCTGCGACCTAGTCGTCGTGTTTCCAGTACCGTTACAAGTTGAAGAATCAGCCTTACGCACCTTGGGTCGAATCGGAGAGTACTGTATGCTCACCAGAGGGAAAGCGCGGAAAATGATACCAGAAAAAGAGGAGTTGGAACAAGGGCTGGTCCCAGAGGAAGAAATACCAACAAGTTCTTCGAGAAGTACCATTTCACATGATCTCACTTCTACTACCACTACCCCAGATCCGCTAAATGAATTATCGCAGCAGTTGTCACAATTGTTAGCCATTATGACGATGCAACAAAAGGAACAAAATGCATTAAGAGGAGAACTGGCTGCGATGAAAGCTGACCGACAGAACCAACAGATACTCACATCGAAAGGGGCAAGTTTGATCGAAGTCGAAGAAAACAAGCCGTGTTTGGAGCCAAAACTTACCAACAACGAACGAACAGGAAGAACCAGGTGTGCGGATCCACCTACCTTCAGTGGAGAACGAGGAGAATTGGACAACTTCCTTGCAGCATGTCACATGAACTTCGAATTCAAAGGGGCAGAGTACGCCACCGATCGCAGAAAGATCCTGTTCATGTACGGGTATCTTCGAGGCACCCCTCAAATGCTTATAACCCCGGCCATAACCAATCCAAGTATATGGAATTCGACCGAATGGCTAGAGAGCTACGACAAATTCATTCAGCATTTACGAACTCAATTTGGAGATAGTAACATGGCAGGTACGGCTATGAGGAAATTGCAAGAGTTAAGACAGACTGATACGGCCGCCGAGTATTTTGCCAACTTTGAACTTTGGTCCACACACCTTGGAAAGGTACCAGATGCAATGAAAATCGCCTCAGCCATACAGGGCCTGAAGGAAGAGCTACTGAAGGTGGTAGTGGTAAATAACACCGACCCTCGAACCAAATCGGACTGGATCTATTTCAAACAGCATGTGATAGGGACTGAGGAGAACCAACGGATGGCTGAAACGATGATTGCAGCGAATCGATGGGCTGCTAGACGCAAACATGAGACGACCTGGCTTCCCCCTCGATCGAATTCGATGCGATTGGATACTAGTTTGCCCAACCCGGTAGAACGCCACTCACAATCGACTGGTAGAGGACCCTTGCCCGGTGGAAAACCAGGGATGATGAATTATGGTCTACCAAATGACCCTCCGGTCACTTGGACAGAGGACGGAGGACGTCTCAGCGAGAACGAAATGACTTGGAGGAGGGAGAACCGACGTTGTCTCAAATGTAGAAGTCCAGAACATTACGCCAACAACTGTCCAAATGGAGGAAATACGAGAAACAATATTAGGGGATCCCCAAACCCGCATAGCTCACCAATTCCTAGTGGATCGAACTCGATCCCAACCGGATCCAAAGGGCCATTAGTTCGAGGAATGGCGGTAACCTTTGAAGAAGAGGGAAACGAATACCTGGCCTAAGTGATGCGACCACTTGCGGCCAGGATCTAACAGAATCGCACAAAATTCAACTACCAATAGATCTCAGTAATGACTCGGCTATAATATACATAAAGATACAGACAGAAGAAGATACCCTACGATTTGGAATGTTAATTGATACCGGAGCTACCGGAAGATACGTACAGCCGGCCTGTCCATTATACCATTTATTTCCAAAGAGACAGTATCAGGAACCACGGAAGATCAGATTCCTCGATGGAACAACCGCGACGTTAGTGACCGAGTATGTAGAAGCTGAATTGGATTTAGGAGAAGGACTCAAGATTGCGACTCGATTGGATGTGATGGCATACGAAGGCCCCGAGGTACTGGTGGGATTGGATTTCCTGAAACAGTTTAGGGCAAGGATTGATTGTGGAAAGGGATTGATCGAGTTCGACGGAATCGGACAAGATAACGGTTGGAAGTATCCGAGGTTGGAAGAAGGATTGGTAAGAGGAACAGCATTGGAAAAAGGAGAAGATGAGATGAGCGAAGAAGAGTTACGACAGGTCATACCGACACAATGGCACCCATATCTGGAGCTATTCAAAGTGGAACGAGCCAGAAAACTACCACCGAGAAGAGAATGTGATCACGAGATCGAATTGACCCCCGGAGCAGAACTAAAGCCAGGACCAATCTACCAACTGGATGAACATGGGGATGCATTCCTAAAGCAGTGGATCAACGATGGTCTGGCCAGCGGCCATCTACGAAGAAGTAAATCACCTTACAGGTCTCCTGTATTCCTGGTTCCAAAAAAGGGAGTGATTCCCTATCGAGTGGTAACGGATTATCGTGCGCTGAACAAGGTAACCATTAAGGATTCATACCCAATGCCACTCATCTCGACACTACTCGATCGACTTCAATTAGGAAGGATCTTCACTAAGCTCGATTTGAAAGGGGCTTACCAGTTAGTCAGGATAAAGGAAGGAGATGAACATAAAGCTGCCTTACGAACAAGATACGGCAGTTTCGAGAGCACAGTCCTAAGGGATGGGTTGTGTAATGCACCAGCCACCTTTCAGAACTTTCTACAAGACATGTTTCACGATCTACTTGACGAAGGGGTAGTAGTTTATATCGATGACATCACGGTATACTCCGACACGATCGAAAACCACCAGATAATTGTCCAAAAGGTGTTAGACCGACTACTTGAAAACGATTTGGTCGTCAGTCCGAGGAAATGCGAATGGAGTTCAAGTGAAGTAAAGTTCCTGGGGTATGTAATAGGACACGAACGGATCGAAATGGATCAAGAAAAGGTGAAAGCTATTCTAGAATGGGGAGAACCCATGACAGTCCGGGATACTCAAGTGTTCTTGGGTTTTGCGAATTTCTATCGGAGGTTTATCAAGGGGTTTTCGCATATTGTAGGACCTCTCACACGATTAACCAGGAAAGATCAAGCTTGGAACTGGACACGAGATTGTCAAAAGGCTTTTGACGATCTAAAGAAAACATTCACCACAGCACCAGTACTTCGGCATTTTGATAGAACTCGACCGACTTGGATTGAAACCGATGGATCCGATTGTGCGATAGGTGCGATAGCGTCTCAGAGATTCCCTCACCCATCAATAAAGGGAACCACCGAACTTCACCCAGTTGCGTATTGGTCTCGAGCAATGACACCCTGTGAGCTAAACTACACGGTAGGAGAGAAAGAATTACTAGCCATCGTGGATTGCTTGGTCGCCTGGAGGCCCTACTTGGCCAACAGCAGTGATGTTATAAAGGTCATTACAGATCACAAGAACTTAGAGTACTTCCAAAGCAAACGACAACTAAATCGAAGGCAGATGAGATGGTTGGAAATATTGGGAGATTTCAACATAGAGATCACTTATTGACCGGGTAGCAAAAATGGGGGAGCAGATGCTCTGACGAGACGAGGAGATTATCATCCGGGAAGAGGGAGTAGCAAGGACCCAGACCTAAACAAAGGTAACTGGCTACAATTGCTACCGACACACGAACAAATTGGATTGAATTTGATGGACTCAGAACACAAAGGACCAAGACACATAGTAAGAGGAGCAATCCGGGAAGACTCATTATTCGGACTCATTAAAAACGGACTGAAAGACTCAGAAGACATAGCAAACATACGACAACTAGGACTACAAATAACACGGACACAGAGCACACAGAACACACAGGACACACAGAAGACACAGGCTAGCAGCGAGACACCAAGAGTATCATGGACACAGAGCGGATTACTCTTGTATAGAAACAGAGTAGTCATACCAGAGGGACAGGCAAGATTGGAAGTAATGAAAGCAAGACACGATTCGATACTAGTAGGTCATCCAGGAAGAGACAAAACTATCACCATGGTCAAAGAGGACTATTACTGGCCACATTTGGACGAATATATTGCGAAATATGTAAAAGGATGCGAGATCTGTAACCGACATAAGACTCATCGACATCAGCCGTATGGACATCTAGTCTCTTTACCAGTACCCACACTCCCCTGGACAGATATCTCTATGGATATGGTGGGACCCCTACCAAAATCGACCGAGTTCGACGCGATACTAGTGATAGTCGATCGACTAACCAAGATGGCTAGATTCATTCCATGTACAACTGGACTAACAGCGAACAGAGTGGCCGACATCTACATCAAGGAGATCTTTTCAAAACATGGAGTACCTCGAACAATTGTATCAGATAGGGGAACTCAGTTTACAGCGGAAATTTGGAAGGAAATATGTCAGTTCTTGGGAATAAAGAACTTATATTCGACTGCGTATCACCCTCAAACAGATGGACAGACTGAGCGAGTAAATCAACAGATGGAAACCCTGCTCGGAATGTATGTAAACTACAACATGGACAATTGGGATCAACTTCTACCAATTGCTGAGTTCGCTTATAACTGCTCGCCGCATAGTAGCCACGGTCTGTGTCCCTTTGAAGCCTGTTACGGCTATGTGCCACACTACGACATCCATTCGCACGACATTCGATCGAAGTCAAACAAATTGGAGAAGAAATGGAGAGATATGGGAGAATTACATGCGACTGTCCAAGAACAGGTCAGGATGGCTAATGAGATTAGTGCAGAGTACTACAACAGGAGACACAAGACCATACCAGAAGAATTCAGAAAGGGAGAACAGGTACTACTGAGTACGAAGTATCTTACGACGGAACGACCCAGTCGAAAATTAGAAGCAAAATACATTGGCCCCTTCAAGATCATGAGGAAAGTTGGGAAAAATGCTTTCGAATTGGATCTACCTCCATCGATGAAAGTACACAATGTCTTCAATGCCACGCTGTTGGAACCATATCCTAAGGACATGATACCAGGTCGGCAGATACAACCCCCACCACCCGTAGTAATAAATGGCCAGGAAGAATTCCATGTGGAAGCAATTGTGGATAGCAGAATTCGACGAGGGAAGGAAGAATTCAAGGTAAAATGGTTAGGATACACAGGAAATGCGGCCTATGACTGGGAACCACGAGAAAATGTGGAAGAGTTGGCCGTTTTTGGTGAATTTTTGGAAAAGAGGAAGAGGGACCCCAGAAGAAAGTGAGAATTCGATCAAGATCAACAAAACTGGGTCAGAAATGAATGCATACACAGGAAATATAGCTACAAATAGAGAGATATAAACACACTAAAAGTTGGAGGTGGTAGAATTGGCTCGGGGACGACGGGCCGAAGCGGGAATACGAATGACATTGCGAGGGAGAGGAGTATGGGGAGAAGAGGAGGGACCAGCGATTGGCTGAGAGGAACTCAATCCTGTAGGATCACCAGTAGAAGTAAGATGATCCAGAGTTTCATCGGCGGAAGGAGGAGCATAGTTGGCGGAAATAAGATGAAGGGATTTGTAAAGATCCAGATGTTGAGAGGGGAGAGGAAGGAGAAGGGAGGTAAAGAGATGGATGTAACCCGAAAGTTGGGTCAGACAGGCGGGTTGATCATGGGCAGGAAGGGATCGATAGCGGACCGAAGCCGCACAAAGCTCGTGCTCCAGGACAAAAGTAACCTTGGAAGTGACCGTTCTTGCTCCCACAACAATACCCTATACATCAACATCGACCAAGTTCGAAGGAAATAGACAGGTACCTCACGGAATTTGGACTCAGGGTTGTTGGTCTTCACCGAACATTTTGAAGTACCCTTAGCAGAGCATTCACCACACACACCACCGACTGAATTGCATCAACATTGAACGAGTCGCAGCAAGAACTTACGAGGGCCAATACAACCAACACGAAAGTCTTCACCACCATCGAGACGACGTTGACAATCGGTACAGAGCTCACCCTCTAGCCGAACAACAGCACCATTTTTGTTGCGGAGGCGCCAACCTTGGGCCAAACGATCGAGCTAATGATTAGAATCGATAAAACTTGAAAGAATTCGAGACTTACAGCGTTCTTAAACCACTTTACAGTGGGCTTGATGGCGTTGGTTTCGCGGAAACGGTCCAGAGCTTCGTTCTTCAACGCGAGACGAACAGAGGGGAAGGTCATGCTGGCCCAAAGGGTAGCTAACAAGTCAGAAGCGAACAGAACTCGGTGGAATTCTCACCGATTTCGGAGTCTTTTCGATCCTCGAGCAACTTAACCAGTTCCTGGTTGACGGTAACCTTGCGAGGGGCGTGAAAGATGTCACCAAGTTCTTCGGGAACCTCCACAAGTTCGTCGGAAGCCTCAGAAGGAGGACCAGTGGGTTGCTTACCGGGAGAATTTTCATTTTCGACGACGGTAGGGTGTTCGGAGTCGACGGATTTGGCGGGAGATAGGTTCTCACCAGTGGCAGATGGCCCAGCACCCCCTTCGAAGTCGAAATATTGCTCGATGACATGGTCATCAAGGAGCGATTGTGCTTCGCGAGAAGGACCGGATTGATACTTCTCCTTAATGGTGTCGAGAGCTCGTCGAGACGCATCAACCAATGGGGGTTGAGAGGAAGCGGCTTCAGACGTAATTCTCATTCTTTTCGTTTTACGCATGAGGAGTTCGGGGTCGACGTCAGGCAGGATTGCCAAGGTAGAAGCTCGAGTTTGACGGGAGGAGGTGGAAGGAGACAACTAATCTCGTCAGCCAGTGAGAGATAGGAGGATATACATCGAATTCGAAGGGAATTGCTTACAGTACGCTTAGACATGCTCACAGACAGGTCAGAGTTGGAAGGATACTCTAAGATATGAGTAAGATATGGATGGATGATGATAGATAAGTAAAAAGAACGACAAACAAGAGGTAAAGAGAGAATGAGGAGGAAAGAAGAGAAAGAAGACGGGGAGGTAACTTGGTCAGTAATTTCTCGATCACATTGGAGGTCCGTGCGGGTGACGCGTTTTCATGGCAACCGTCACACTAGCGTGGGTATGATGTCAGGGCGCACCAAAGGTGTCTAAGAACAATCCATGTGCATCACCTGGTTACAGGGTTCAGGATCCTCGGCGAGGATCCTTGAGACAGGGGGGGAAACTTGTTACGGGGTAACAACGAATCGAGAGGACTCTATCGAGTTCGACGGATTAGGACAGAGGAAAGCGGGAGTTGGAGGCAGTGCTGCAGTAGGTAGGGACGGGTTTTCCCTTTTCGAGATTTCCCCACTGGGTTTGCTCAAAGCGGTTTTTCACCTGTCCGAGTATGTACGTACGTAGACGCTTGCAGCAGGAAGAGGACAAAGGGCGAGGATATCCGTAGACAGTATATAGTACAATCAGCAAAGTACCAACTTTGCTGATTCTTCAATATCATTCTTTGGCTACATCGATTGCAGAGGAGACACGATCCATTAGCACCAGAGCCCCTAGAGTTCCACGAGACATCCATCGAGTTCGACCCAACCTGCGACCTAGTCGTCGTGTTTCCAGTACCGTTACACTGATGTTGACATCTTGTATCAATGTATGAGTAATGATGGAGTTTCAATGTACAGTACTGTATCACCATACAGCACAGGTCCAAGTATCATGACAAGCAAGTACCCTTAGGAGATTGGTTACCACTTGAATCTGATATCGGGACTTTATGATTTGCTTCTCATCCAATGTTTATCACCTTGATTTATGTAGTGTCAGTACAAGTAAAGGTGTTTGAGAGCTGTAAATGCTTGCGGCCCAATCATTGTATGTGGTACTTGTGATATGTAATATGTAACTACGTCTCTCCTTCTACTATTGCCTCCGAGGAACCATAGAGTAATAATTATCAAAATCCTGTCATTTCAGTTGTGTGATGTACGTTTCCCGAACCTATTCGGTTCTCAATTTCAAGGATCTGCTATGATGTTTCAAAATCTACCCCTTCCGGTGTTTTATAACGCACGGGATCCATTCATATCCTACCTCAAAGGGTGAGATGAGTTTCTCTCAAGGGTTGAGGAGATGAGAATATGTAATTACATCAGTCATCACTCCTGAGAGTTTCCTTACTACAATTGTAGGTCTCAATTTATTGATTTACACGTTTATATATGAACGGAATGATAGATGGAATGACAGATGACGCAGCAGACATTCATGTTGACGGGAACCATGTGGCTACCGAGACCGCTGGCCGGGGTACAGCGGGTGCAGAGAATGTGGATGATACAGGCGACACAGTCTTAGGTCCATTGGATGTGGTAGAGAGGGACGATGGGGGCGACCTGAACGAGACAGAAGGCAGAGATGAGGGTGACGATGAGGTGAATGAGGACGATGCTCACAATGATGACCCTGAAGAAGAAGAAGAAGGAGAAGGAGAAGGGGGAGAAGGAGAAGAAGGAGGAGAAGATGGAGAAGGCGGAGGAGAAGGAGGAGGAGGAGGAGAAGGAGAAGGAGGAGGAGAAGGAGAAGGAGAAGGAGAAGAAGAAGAAGAAGAAGAAGAAGAAGAAGAAGAAGAAGAAGAAGAAGAAGATGCTGATACAGGTTCGTTCCACTCTGACCCATACTCAAATTCTCCCGATTCAGCTGCTAGTCAACACCCGGTAGAACAGGTAGTTCAGATTGCCAGAAAATTGATCGCTGACGGTGCGGTCAAACGTCACGAGCCCCGCGCCGCCCGTGTCGAATTGAGTTCGGGATGGGATCCAGTGATTCTTAGTTGCCAGGGGCGAGAAGACGGTGGGGAGGTTCTTGTTATCACTCCAAATTCGGCATCGCTCCTCGAATATCCCTCTCAATTCCATAAGCTCATCCTCGACGTTGTCCCACACACACTCATATCGCATGCTCTCGACCCGGATGATACTATGTCGCAAGTGCAAGACAGGATCGACTTGTCCAATGACAAGATAGTTTCTACAGGAGAGGGTCATATAGACGAGGAGGTTGATGGGGCCGATGCTGATGATTTTGATAACGCTCCTCCGGAAGAGGGAGAACACCCACCTTGGAATGAGGACCTTGTGGAACTTGCTGTTCCTCAGACTATACTAACAATGGAAGGTGCTAGTGTGCCACCTCTCAATGAATCAGAATATGAGTTCCCTCTCCCCATGATACCGGCCACCATTGAAGGTCTTGCATGCAGCTCACCAGCTTCAGGAATGTGGGAACAATGGGAATCTTTTGTCCCCAGTTGTTTGCTGATAATTAGATGGTAATACAGAGGGGAAAAAGAGCATGCATCAATTCTACATGTCTCTATACTTATCACATTCCACTCACACGCAGTAACCCAGAGACGATCGAATAAAGTTCAGAGGATAAGTTGAACGGAGAAATATTCGACGGAAGGGGTAATTCTAACAGCGGTTCGGCCGTCCTGGTGTCAGGATCACGCGGTTACCACGGGTACCTTACCATGTAGTCGTACTCTTTTTCCATTCCCGTCCCCGTCTCCATTCCCGCGTCCGGGCTTACTCCGTTCGCTACTACGCCTGGTACCATTTCTTCGACACCTCTACCCTTTTTTACATCTCCGTCTCGGTAACTATCATTGCTCTTCCTCTCCTATTCTACCTGGACTTCATTCCAAACTACGCATGCTCTCATCGGTATCATCCCGCTCTCTTTTTAGTATATAGACGTAGTCTTTTCTCAGCAATGTCTTGTCGAATGTATTTTGTGTTTTCCTAGTTATATCATTTGACATACATCTCATCGATCTTACAGATCTCTTCGATACACTACATCACTAGGTTTGTTCCCTACAAGGCCTCATTGTCACAGCTCATCGACGCAGACTATCCCGACGTCTGGTCCTTACACCTGGCCCGATTCTATTGGCTAACACCAGTGGTACGAACATCTATTCTTTGGGATTCAATAACGGTCTCACAGAAAGACTTTCAATTGACTTGACTTATAAACCAAGCCAGCTGTTGATCGATGTTGCAAATGCCACACAACTGACCAATATTGTGGTATTATCCGTGAAGATGATACCTCAAGTCCCTCACCTGGAGCGCTTACCTCCAGTGTGGTAACAGCTGCAACAAAGCAAGGATCAAAGGCATTCCATCGGTTCACCTTTAGCTGCATGACAAGGAAGGGATACTTGGCTAAATACCATTCAGATGTTATTCCGTGATCTCAAAGTCTGGAGGGAACTAGTATGGTACAGTCACATGGCCACACTCATGTATCCTAGACTTGTGGTAACTCCAATGATCAGTGGATAACTGGGTGGTGACCTGTTTCCTGCTTATCAATTTCAATTAGTGCTGAGCAGGTAACACATAACGGAAATCAAGGAGGCCGCATTTGTAGTAACCGTAGATCCGTGTGGATCATTCTCCTTCCTTCTATCATCTTCCACTACATCCCACCACAATCTTCTTCTATCCCATTCCATGAGAATCTATGCTTAGTCATCTCGTAGGTAGTTTGTAGATATAAACCCTTGTAGATAGAAGTATGCATCATCTTTACCCTTCAATTGCCTTTCTACATTGGAGACATTTTCGGTACCCGATCGATCGCGTCTTACAGCATTGACCCCATTGACTTCTGTGGGAAGCCGGATGAATGATGAAGCCATACAAACGCATGAGACTTTCAATTTGATTCTTATCATCGCTCCCGCATCTGTCAAACAAAATGTGGGAAGACTTGTACATGATTCTTACTTAAAGTAGCTGCACTCAGCTTATTTGTGTCAGGATCACGGGTACCTGTAGACGGGTTCCTCAGAGTCGTACGCAGAAGTCGTACTCCACCTACCCCGTTCCCGTCTCTGCTTCACAGATCCCGCTACAGCATCGTCCGTTCTCCATTCCTACCTCATCGCTGTTCTATTACCTTGCTATACTTTTCCTCCATCTCCGTGCCCCTCATCTATCTCTGTCTTCATTCGTTCTTACACCCCATATTATTTTCCAACTTTACTCCATAGATTTTGGTATCACTCCGCTCCCTTTTTAGTATATAGAAACAACCCTTTTTCGTAGATGTCTTGTCGAATGTATTTTCTCGTCATTTAGCAAAGCCTTTGCCACTTGATCTCATCGACTTATAATCTCTTCAATCCACTACATCACTAGGTTTTTTCCCTGCGAGGCCCTATAGCCATAGCTCATAGACGCAGACTATTTTCAACGTCTGGTCCTGACAATTTGGAGACTACAATGTTACAATGCCACATGTCTATAGCCCCAGTGACTAGCGCATTCAAGCTGCCTCTGTTGCCAGGCCCGGTGTGCACCTTTCTCCCCTCCTCCTTACTTGCCAAATCACTTCCTCACAACTTGTGTTCCATGGTACTGTAAAGGTGAGAACGCTTGAATCCGTGATAGGTATGTTGAATAACATGTGTTAGTGATAGTCTTGCGAAACATCATGTACCTCCCTAAATCAAACTTTTCACCTCCTGGTAGTCCTCTATAGTCTTATTCAGAGACAAGAAGTACCAGGACTGCCGCTCTAGGGACCTCTGACAAGGGAAAGCCACCAACTGGAGGTCGGGTACACTCCCCAGGCGCTTACAAAACGGCTTCTTTCCTGGGATAGGTGCGCCCTTTGCGGGAAGCTTACCACGCCGGGTGAACGGTCCTGTTCTAGTCCCACAACATCCGGACATACACGGTGATCCACTCATAAACCTCCTGATCAGAACATTATGACTATTTCTGCGTTGCCCTTCAGTATATTGTAGAGTCCCAGTCTGGTGCACTTGAAGTTGAAAACCGACCCAATCAGGTAAGCAGTTTGAAACTCCGCTAGAAATCGTGGAGAGCATCGCTTTTCTATGTCCTCTTCTCACATCCTGGGTAAGCCTCTCATCCTCTTCCCTTCAATTTTTGACAGACATTCAAACGGGTGGTGAAACATCTATATAGGTTATTGGGACAAAAGGGTACTGCAGACCCTACGCAGCAGATCACCATCCCAACATTTCAACTAAATCAATTGTCTACTTTCCGGTCCCCTGTCAGTTCACATTGCTGTGCTTGCCACTTGGTGACTGCTTCCCACCTAGCAAGCACATAATATAACTCATTTGGTGACTGCCAACAATTGCATTTCTCCGTCTCCAAGATGACATCCAACTGGTTGATTGGCATCATTCCTGTATGGTGTGAAGAACCGCCAAGCATCATGTCACGAACTACGTCGTAACATCCCTGACAACCACCATCACCGACCCTCCTTTCACCATCACCGACCTTCCTTCCACCACCACCAACCTCCACTCGAACCACTGAGACCAACTACGACGAAGTTACGAGAACCAAAGAGGGATTTGTCACGGTAACCCCGTCTAGCGGAGAACTACGGTGAAGTTAGTGGAAAGGAGCCGAGGGAGAGTAGGACAGGGGAAGTTAGGCGAAGTTAGTCGAAGTGAGCAGAGTAGGATATCGGGGATATGGCGAGGTACGGCGAAGTTGAACGAAGGGGACTGAGCGTGAGGCAGTGCAGGAGTTGAGAGACGTTCTATGAGAAGAGAGGAGTAGTATAGATAGTTTACAGATCGCTGAACTTCTTCAGCGATCCTTGATTGTTGTCAGTAGCGAGAGATATATTCATTAGCTACAACCTTCGAGTTAGGGAGAGCTACCACTTAGCTGTTCAACGTACTACGGCGAAGTTAGCCGCAGTTCATCGACGATCATCCTATCATTTACCACTCGACACATCACTACGGCGAAGTTAGCCGTAGTTCCTCGTCGAGTACCCTGTGTTAGTGAGACAACGACGCCCCACTACAACGTAGTTAGCCGAGGTTTGTCGACCGTCGGTCAGTAGAGAAGAAGAAACGACGTTTGTGACACATCAAGATCAGTATGTTGAGGAACAGTTCTGCCCCTGCCCCTCATGAGATCAATACAGTCTGGGAGAAAGCCTTATTTGTTAACAGCTATGCAAAAGTGGGAATCCCCGATGGCATCCGTGCTGGTTGTACTATTTCCAACACTCCCCCTCAAGCAGTACGGATGCTAAGTACCACAGAGTGGACTCGAACCCCGGACTTTTCCCGCATCACTCCCCCTGCTTGGCTGTCCCTTCCTCGTACACAGAGGTAGGCTCCGACTGTTAATCTGTTAACAGCTGTGCAAAAGTGGGAATCCCCGATAGCATCCGTGCTGGTTGTACTATTTCCAACATTATTGGCCGAGGACCGCTCCGTTCCTGGTACAGAAGGAGCATGGACTCAGCGAGTTAGGGAGGCTGCAGCTGGGAGTCCTCACGGCCCAAACCTGAAATTCATAGTTCTGCCTCAGGATCACCATTCGGTACAACCACTGTTAACGAAGATAATGCAAAACCGGTCATCGGGTGTTACAGTAAATCTTTCTGTTCTTCAAGTACCTGGACCTTTGAGCAATTACTGCACAACAGTGATATGCTTTCCCAAGCAACAGTCAGAGGAAGCCGCTAGCAAGATTGAAAAATATGAATCCCTTATCTGCCAGGGCACAGTGTTTCCTCCAGAATCGTCTGGTGAGAAGGCTTTGGTTGAAGTAGCTCAGAAGGGCCCAGCACAAATCAAGAGTTTCTTGGAGTTTCGGGTTACGGCTGTGATCTGGCAGAAGTTGGGAGAGATTGTGGCGGAACAAGCTGACTCTGCTTATCCTGATGTTAATCTAATTTTGAGCTTGCACACCACATCAGGTATCATTGGCAGAGCTTTTGCAGTTACAGTGAGAAGGGGACAAGTTGTTTCAAGGCAACAGCTCTTGCAAACATCAGTGGACAAATTGAAGTCAAGCAGACTCATGTTTGCACCCTGGGTGGCAGTCCAAGATAGTGTCACAGCCACTGGAGGTATTCTGGGCTGTTCAAAGCTTGCTTACTTCCTCACCACTGGCCCCAGCCGCTACAAGTAGGATAACTCCCCATGAACCAGACAGAGAGGCGTCTCAAAACGAGTCCACAGGCTTTTGGAGCTAGGCTTAGACACCCGGACTGGTGCAAGGACCTTGAGAATTGCAAAAAGCACCCTGATCTGTATACACAGTCAATATATCTCAGATGAAGACAACACAGCTAGCCATGCAGAAACCAGTACTGAGACTAGCATGGAAGAGGGAACATTGGTGGGGAGCCCTAATCCCTGGATGAAGGATGAGAAATACCTACTGTATCTCTGAACTGGAGGTAAGTGTTACGGGGTAACAACAAATTGAGGGAACTCCATGAAGTTGGACGGATTAGGATAGGGAAGATCAAGAAAGGGAGGCAGTGCTGCAATTAGGTAGAGACGGGTTTTCCCCTTTCGAGACTCCCCCACTGGGTTTGCTCAAAGCGCTTTTCTCACCTGTCCAAGTATGTACATAGATGCTTGTAGCAGGGAAGGAGGGAGACATGGATACCTGTAGACAGTATATAGTACAATCAGCAAAGTACCAACTTTGCTGATTCTTCAATCTCATTCTTTGGCTACATCAATTGCGGAGGTGACAGGATCCATCACATCGCACCAGAGACACATAGATTTCAACAAGACTTCCATTGAGTTCAACCCAACCTGCAACTTAGTTGTCGTGTTTCCAGTACCATTACAGTAAGCCAGGCCAAAGGTAAAGAATCACCTCCTGACCTCCTAGGCCCCTTATACTGGGGAAGTGTGCCTCCTTCTGTAACAATAGGTGATGATTGTACTGCCACCACGAGTCGTACACAGCTTACCGAAAAACTCCGCAAGATCAAACTCGGGACATCTCTCTCTCTTTTATGCATCCTCTCTTGTCTCACCAACCAACAGAACAGTCAGACACTACCACTGCTGCTGTGTGTAGGCAACCTCTATCACTGTGGAACTGGTGAGCAACATTGCATCAACTGGTCCCCTGCACGTTTCCGGTGAAGCAGTGATAGGTGGTGGGCCAAGAGGGGATCGCGTTTATTGAGTCAAGCGAGATCACGATTGCGTGTATTATCGACTATTGTGTTTATTAATAGGAGGGGATATTAGGAGTGCTAGTACTGGGTACTAGTATGGTTATAGATCTAGACGGATAAGAATAGGTATTGGACGACGGGAAAAGGCGTTATTGGTTTGACAGTAGGAAGCGAAGAATATCAGCTGTCAGTTTACTGCAGTGGAGATGTCTTTGAGACACATACCTACGGGCTTGTTAGGGACACGGCCGGAGACGTGTCCAGAGCTGCATGGTTCAGAACCCCCCTTTTCGACCCGGCCAGAGAACCATGCAGCTCCAGAGGGGTCCAGACACGGCCAGAGCATTCTTAATCTTGAGATCCCCAAGCTCTCCACATTCATAAATCACAGTACAGATATCCTGTGGTACCATCTTCTGGACTCTTGGAGTCATGATGGTTTGGCCACACAACTAGAAATTTACAACACTGCAACTAGTACCTACAATACATCATCATTCAAATCCCCCCTGATTCAAGATATTGGCTGACCTTCGTGCCAAATACGGCATGTGATGATGAACAGCACTTTGATGGTTATGTTAGGTGCCGTACGGAAGACGTGCCACTTCGAAGTGTCATGGGTCTGACCGTGCCAGACTGAAGCTGTGACCCACAGAAGAAGGATCACCATTTTATGGGAAACACTTGCAGGTCCAAAACAACTTCACAGCTGTAATAAGATGGTCTTCATCTGTTCTCTGTCAAAACAAGGAGGGAGTAGCTTATCAGACGCTTGTGCTTTTCACTACACAAGATGAAGGTTCCTGAATAAATTTTCTTCCTCCCATGCATGTATTTGCCAGATTTCTTGTGGTAGTCTCCTTATAATCACTTCCAAATATCATATGCTTGATCTACAGTCAGTCTTGGCCAGTGATGTTTGAGAAACTTCAAATCTTCTGAGCTGCATGACCCAGAAGATGTGACTCTTTGAAGAGTCATGACTTCATCCTGTGCAGCTTTGAAGTGGCACAGATCTTCAGTCTGGCACATAAAGGGGTCTCAGGACCCGTGCAGCTTCAAAGTGGCATGTCTTCTGTACGGCACCTAACACATCCGTGTACATACACGAGATGCACTGAAATGAATTCCTCAACAGTTCACAATATGGTGTGGAGATGTCATGACCGGGTAGCGAGCCCGCAATCATAAACCGTCCTAAAAGGCTCAATATCCCTCCAGGGTGGGTACTACTTTTCAGTTCTAAAGACTTCTTCTCAATAAGTAACTGGCTTTGGATGCTCCTCAAGCAAAATCGAACTTTCTCACTCCACACCAGACGTACTTTTGATGGGGAACGCAGATGACAGGTTATCTCATCTTCCCCCACGCCCTGGTCAAATGAACTCAAGATGGAAGTGGAGCCCATGATAGCTCTAGGCGTCGTATGCGTGAGGTAGATGAGTTCTAGACCTACGTGAAAGGATACGGCTCCACCCTGACCTGGACCATGACGATTTTGATGATCAGGAATAGGGGACTCAACCCTAGGATTTGAGTATATCTAGGGAAATTCCTTTCAAGCAATTACCATCTCTCCACCCCTTCAATTAGTCTTGTGTCACCAAAAATTGGTGGTGTCATTAGCCGGACGTACATATCATCCAAGATTCCACACTCCCCAATCGAGTTTTGACCCCTTGGCAATCCACCATGGATATCTACTCAACAGATGCTATACTAGAGTTCCCAGACGCCGAACACTCACCCAGGAGTACGATCTTACACCTTAGGGAAAGCGGACTCCAGCCCCAGGAATCACCTTGTCATCCTACTGATCTTCTTTGGGAACCAAGCTTGATCATTACGGACGCTTCTAGCTTCCGAGTGCGGGTTGGGGCACCATGGCCTTTGCGTCCGTCTACCGTTATTCCAGGACCTCTTGCATCGCTTCCTACCAAATTAGACATTCTTGTCATGATGCAGACTACAGTACTATCCGAAAATCCAGTTAGTAACCAGATGTTTGACCTCGTCTATGAGACCCTTTGCCAATCTTTTGCCGTAGTCCCTCAAGTGGGGTGGTCCGCAGATACTTAGACAGATATTGTGCGCTCTAATGTGACCACCCTCTATGAAGACACTGACCGATTTCCATCCGCCGAGTTGGTCGTTATGAGTAAGACCGATCCCTCTTTGGAAAGGATATTCGACTCATACCAACCGGAAGATAGTTATATTGAAGCCGCCGTAGTGGGTCCTGGTGATCCTGAGCCGCGAGTGCTTATCTCACTTGGGAATCCGGTAGATTTATTGAGGGAATTTGTGAATCTTATCTTAAGCAGTCACTTACAGATAGCAGCAAGGGTGAACGACCCAACAGACAGCTCATATGCTATTGTGGTCAAGGCAAGTGAAGGCTCTGCGGTTTCACATTGCTCAAAATTCTCCACTGAATACATGAGTGTAGAGGAGTTCCGTACCACCTACCCCGCTTCTTGAAGCATTTTTGAGAAGTGATTGAGGGGGTTACAGGGTGCAGTGGTGGTGATGGAATGCATGGAATGAGAGAGAGAAAGACATTGCCCATGACAGCGAGCCGGTCGGTGGAATCAGCAATGGGCATCCTACACTAACAACCCTCATTGTGTCCGTGTCATGTTTTGAGGACGAAGGAGCTTGCATGACAAGACATGTACGTGGGAAGGTCTAAGTATGACGGAACTCCTGATCTGAATTGACCTTCCTAACGGCGGCACCTAGGAGTTGTTCACCATATTCAGCCTGCTTCCTTGTTGAGGGAGTTAACCAGGAGGGTCTAAAGGTCGAGGACCTTGCCAAGCATTAAACGCTGAGGCAACAGACATTTTGTTTGATATCTTACACCCCTCACAGTGCACCACACATTGTTGTTCCAGTCATCAGACATGTTCAGTAGAGGATAAAATCAAGCTGAGAATAAGTCAATGGTATTAATTACACATCTGTGTGTGCCTGATTAGCCAGGATGGAGCACTTGGGTGTGCCTTACAAGTCAGACGCCAGGGAATGGGCTACAGGCAATATTACTAAAAACAACAGTAGTGATTGGTGGGACCACTTTGTTTTCCAGTTCGGAAACATACTTCCACCCTCGGCGCTGTCACAGGCCTAGAAGTATCTCTTCCCATGTTGTGTTGGGTGGATTGCATAAGCTACAGGTATTGAAACTTTTCTCTTGTTTGCTTCTTCCAATCTTGATGCATAAGTATATTGTTTGATTTTGACTGAGTTTTTCAAAATGAACAACTTTATTTTTGTCACGCAGAGTGAACGGAGGCTGTTGCTCTCTGAAAATGTAGTTCTCCGGGATCGACACTGGTTACCGAATGTTTGCTTGAAACGTTTCTGTAGGGCACAGGAACCCAACTTCCCGCACAACACAAAATCTCTTCCCGCACAACAAAGTCACGTACTGTTTGATAGGCATGCATATCTGGGGTTAGGCGTGCATACCACGTGACCTGCACAGGCCTCCCTTCAACCTCTCTGCCCTCTGGTCAAAGTGAGTAAACCATGTCAAAAAGTCCATGATCTCTACATATAATCAACTCGGTTTATAATAAACATGTAAGGCAATTCCTCCTCTATCTCTCAGTAAAGATTTCACACTGAAATATGAAAAACTCACCGAGATACATTGATTTACCTTCCACCCCCCTGTCCACCCCCTTGTCCACCGGTTGAATTGTATTGTTCTGGCCTGTACTGGCGAGGTTCAAAGTAGTGAAAAGGGGTATTCAAGTGCTCTGAGAACAATAGAAAAGAGTTTGAGACTGTAACTTGTCTGGTGTGGGCTGGAGAGAGTGACGATGTTTATTGATGTTGGATGATGTTGGTTGAAAGTATGAGAAGAGTTGAAACTGAGGTCCGTGCAGGCCACGTGGTATGCACGCCTAACACCGAAAAACCGCATGCCTATTCAATAATCACGTGATTTTGTTGTGCGGGAAGAGATTTTGTGTTGTGCGGGAAGTTGGGTTCAGGGCACAGATCTTCAGCCGGTCATGATCAGACCTGTGACGCTTTGAAGTGACACGTCTTGCGTCCGTCACCTGACACATGTGGGTAACACAACAAAGGGAACAGAGCAAGGGTCCCTGCCTCCGGATGCATAGACCTGGCTGGATCGGGTGATCCGGGCCGCTGCTGAGTTAAGAAAAGAGCTCAAAGCTAATGGATCTGACTTAATGTTCATGCCACGTTTCATACTCCCTGGCAAGGCTGAGTCAAGCGCTTATCAAGGGTCTAAGTCAAGGGGTGTATTGAAGGGGGCAATCATAAAGTACTACACGTCTATTGCGCAGTGACAACCCTGAAGCCACACAAATCACTTACACCATCTTCCAGCCTAGGCAATTTGATGTAAAAGAAGAGACCATCTAATTGATCCAGAAAATAGTTGGGTGCCCACCAAGATCCAGTGCTTGGGCTTCACTTCTAAGGCTTAAAAATGACTCTGAAGCCTTGGATAATTGGGCAAAAGATCACATTTCACTGGCCCTTTGCTTTCTCCTAAAGAAAAAAACACCCGTTTACTTCTCATCCCGGCCTAGAAACAGGGGAAAGCCTCTTTGTGCAAATAATCATACAAACAAATCAAGACACAAACAAACAAGTGAGTGTCAATGAGACCAGCTACTTCTCAGGAGGAATGTCCTTCCGCAGTTTGACAGCAAAACAAGGGGGCACAGTTTGAGTCTGCAGATGATTCGGACTCCTTCAGCCAGTCTGTGTACTGATGCAGTTACTCTTCAGTGAGGGAGCAAGGGTGGGCCAGCTTTGAATCTGAAGTTTGCTGAGGGATATTGAGGGATATTGAGGGATATTGAGGGATATTGAGGGATATTGAGGGATACACATAGATTGCTGATGCAAGGAAAGCCTGACACAGGAGACTATGGAAAACTACTTCCCCCCCTTGACCTACTGCACACAAGCCCCAATGCTTGTACTACAGCCCGGGTGAAGTAACTGACATGACTGTCCATGATGGGCATACAGGGTGTTCTGCAGGCCTAAAAGGTGATACAAAAAGGCACGGATTTTGGCCTCGTGATACTTCAAAGTGTCACAGCTTTGATCCGTCACAATCTGAACCGTGCCACTTGGAAGTGTCACGACTTTGAACGGTCACCTAACAAGGCGATTCGGCCGCTCCGGAGGATCTCGGAGGTCCTGTGTGAGAAGAAATACTTGGTGCAGGGTATAAATTGGGGAGATAGATGGGTCATCACCCCAACAAACCTCAATTCTATGACTTTCACACTGATTACTACACAAAAAGAACTTTTTGCTGATCAGCATGAATTCTGAGAATATGGAAATGTGGATCCGAGATGCAAAGGCAGATGGCAAGGACTATGAGCTGCGCGAAAACACAGAGGACAGCTGGCATTTGTTGAGCAAGACTGTGATTATCCAGGACACCAATGGACACGGTACTTTTGCACTTATGTATGCTCCACAGTCCAAATACCTCACGGATGACTATAACGACCGTGTAAGCAGACTCGTACCGGAATTGATTCGGGAGCTACACAACAAAGGCTCAAACCAAGATGTTTTAAAGAGAGTCCTGACCCAGTTCCCTCCCGATAAAGAACATTTGACAATAGCACACGCCTCTCACCATCTCCGGGATGACGAAAATTCACATCACAGTTATCATGAGAGCAAGTTCTCATGCCGTTATGCGTTGTTCATAAGTAAAGCAGAATCCGAACCCACTGAATGGTTGGTTGCAGAAGAGCCGACTGAAGATCTTAAGGATCTGGTAACAAAACTCTATGGGGGGTGTCAGGAAACATTCAACGACATCTATAACTGCCTGGTGGTGGACGGCCGCTACAATAATGACCAGCAGTTGTACTCTTTGAAAGTGTTCCGAAAGACCAGAGAACAGCTTGAGATTGACTTGCAGAGCTCTGAAAACGGATCATTGCTTAAACTCCCAAAAGATGTGACTGAATGAATGGCAAAAACCAGGAATGCATTGATTGATGAGAGTCACATCTTCTTGCACCTAGATACCCCTTTCTGAGCTACCGACTCCTTGAGCATATGACACTGAGTCACTGCATGCTCACGGGTTCAAGTCAGCCTCGACCGGTGCTCACGTGAAAGTGAGATTAAGGTATGGACGCACGGTTCATGATGGTGAGCTTGGCGGGGGAAAATGCCACACTCAAAAACTGCCACATTCCGCTGTCACATCTCCACCACCCCCATCTCCTATCTATCCTTCTCGCATCTCTCTCACCTCTTGCGAACAAAATGACCATGACTATCCCTTCTTACATCACCGTACCATCATCAGCGACCCTTATCATCCCCTCTTCACCCGTATCCTCATCATTCACCGCCACTCGAAAGGTCATCGTCCCGTCCAGAAGACCTTCCTTCCCTCCCTCCACCGCACCACCGCCACCTACCTCGAAGAAGTTTTCTGTTCCTACCGGATCAATCTCTGCCAATGTGTCAGATTTAGTTTTGAGCTCGTTATTACCTCCTAACCTTCCGAAGTTACCACCGACGAGTAGTAAGAGTGAACCGGGGCGAGTTAAGGAATTGAGTTCACAGAGGGAATCTTTGAGCGTTCCGTTGTTGTCGTACAACTTTCGAAGGTTCGTCACCAGGGTGAGTATACATTAACTCTTACTTCTCCCTTATATCTTTTACTCGGATTGTCTCATTGTGTCTTTTGAGGAGGCAATAAGGAGAGAACTAGGCTGATGCTGATGGTAGGTCGGACCACTTTTTTGGCTGCAAGATAGAGTAGAAGAAGTTCTCTTTTGGAGAAAACCAATTTGGACATGGGGCTGGCTCATGCTGTGGACCTTCGTCTGTGAGTGATTGATTCCATCCACCCATCCACATCTCAAAGCCTACCTTAGTATTTTGGTTACTGTATCAAACACCGACCGGAGTACATCAAGGATGCATTGTACCAAAAGGTAGCATGAACTGACAAGTAGCATTCCAACCTCGTATCCTCCTCTTTCTCCCCTCTTTCATCCTTATAGTCATCCTCTTACATGTTCACGAACGAACTCACCCATTACCTTCTCTACTCGGGGTCTACCTTCCTCCACCTGCTGCAGGCACGACCCGCATCACCTCGACTACCACCGGATCCGGATCGGTGTCAAAGGACGGGTCGTACACCGTCACCACAGGTACAGAAGAGACACAACCTGTGGTCCCGCCTAAAGAGGCTGAGAGTGGAGTTGATTTTCTTGTGAACATGCAAGCTATACAAAATCTCATGTCTCTGGTGTAAGTCTTCATCTTTCTCCCTTTCCTCACCTTAGTTTTATTATTCCTAGAACTTGTTTCCCCGACGTTTTCCTCGATCAATATTTTGCCACGCTCACTCCGCTCACTCACCTTGACAAATAAAGATCATCCGGACGAGAATCTATACTGTCAGACTGGTTATATAATTAACTCTCAGATCCGACGCATACGACCAAATAGCTCCTCTTATCCTGATCCTGACCTCTCCATCCACTTCTCAATCACCCACCTCGTTACCCATCACCCCTACCCTCATCCTTCTCTTATTCCTCCCTCCTACCATACTCCTTCCTTTGATCCCATCATGGGCCATCCCTTACCTCCTTCTTCCTCTCGGATGGATCCCTCCACTGATATTTCATCCCAACATTACTCCTTTCCTCCTCTCCCTACCCACTCACCCCACCGCACTCCACCTGCGTAGCAAATTGGAAGATCTAGCAATGACCGACGCCCTTGACAATGTTGTCGGTCGGTCTGAAATCTCCAAAGTTGAAGTGTGGGAAAACGAACGGTTCGACTCCAGCTCGAAGCCAGTTGGGTGGGGGAGTAAGTTTCTTCGTGCTGGGGAAAGGGCACCTTGGGTGAAAGTACTGGGTGAAAGTAGTCCATGGGGCTCAGATATCGTAGGGGAGGTCGAGGGTGGATCTGGGGGTATAAAAGATAAGGATGGAAAGGAAGAGATTATTAAGTTGAAAGAAGGATGGGAATGGGTACCTGGGGAAGAATGGAGAGTAGATAGGGATTGGTCAAAGAATGGTTTAGATGAAGGTGAATTGTGATCCCTCTTCTTTCCATTGTCTCTCATTCATGAAATAGCGCCCTTTTCTCTCGTCGGGATGTTCTGGAGTGACAAGATGACGGGTTGATTGGGAAAGAGAGCTTACCGTTAGATGGGTGGGTATATACCGACGATTCTTGGCAAAACCCTTCATCCTTACCCGTTACAGAACCTGATCCTTCGAACTCTAGCGGTGGTATGCCAGTGACTCAAAAAAGAGTCACTAGGAGACGTAAATGGTATAGACGAGTATATAGAAGTTGACTCAACCATCCAGGGACGACCACTTCTCTCGTGTGTCACAGATTGGCCGCCGATTTCCATCCGTCACATCAAAGTGGTAGACTCTGATGTCCATATATCAGATAAATCCCGATTATCCCTCCATGGTTTGTCGTATTTGTTTCGTATGTACTTACTGTAGCTCTCATGAACGCGACATTCAATTTGCAACAAATGGATGCATAACCCATATCTTGCATATTCATTCCGAAGTGTGTGAATATGTTGCTTCTTGTTCCCCACCTATAATCTTTTACTGTATCCGAGTCTTACGACCTTTTGTCCTTGGAATCATCTTAGATTTCACTTAGAGATTAGATTTCTTCTGTCCCTCTTCTTCTTTCGCCAACCGCTCAAACGCCTTTTTCACAGCGGGTCTATCATATCAGTTCTTTATCTACCAATGAGTGTCTTTGCAAAACTCACCGAGCTTTGACTTTATCAAACCAAGCTTTGGTTGCTGGTCCAACTTTGAATTTACCTTTTCTAGATCCTTCGAATAAAGATCGAATAGGGAAAAGCATGAGTATCTATAAGCATTAATCCCCATACCCGTATTATGTACTTCAACCTTGAAAGCGTGCCCCTCGTCTCCTAGCTTCTGGTCCGAATCTCAAGAAGATGGGAAAAGGATAAATGTGGATCCATTGATGCCTACGTATACCATGGCGGAAATTGGGGACCATTGACGATACAAGTGGGGAGAATAAGTGAACGTACAGTCGGTGATTTTGTGAAGTGGATGAATGATGTATTCAGAAGGAGAGAGAACAATCACTCACATCCCCTTCTCCTGGTTTATCAGTGCCAGAGAAGTATTTTCCAGGATGAGCAGCGAGATAAGCTTCGATCTATTCATTAGTCTATCTTCTGGATCAGACCCCACAAAATCTGAATTTGCGACGATCTCCGTAGGGACATCAGATGGTAGGAGTGATATCTGTGAGAAACAGTAGTGAGAAGGGAAGAAAGTAGACCAGGGGGGAGGGGGAGGGGGTTCGGAGGTTAGGAAGAAGTTGAAGGAAGGTCTTACTTCTTGTAGATGGACTTTGCTTTGAGCACCCAAGACATTAGTCTAATTATCAGCCGCTGACATACTTGATAACCTAGCTCAGTATTAGGGACGCGTGGGTGGGTGAATGGAGAGACGTTATCCCTAGATCATAGTCGATAGACAAACGAGTGATAGGAAGGTGAGGTGACCATTCTAGTAGTGCAAATTGGTTGCGTAGGTGGTTCATCGCAGATTGGCAGATGAGAGAAGTGAGGAGAAAGGGTAGTAAGTGAAGACCAACTCACCGTGACCCAAGTAGCATAATCCCCAACGCTCTTTTTTCCTTCTTCACTGATAGGTCCCCCTGCACCAGCGAGGAAAGCTTGACTTGATCCTCCGATCAAAGCGGATGCCTTTGAGGTCAGCATTGTCATCCCTCACAGGCAACCTCGTCAGGGTCTATGACAAAAACGATAGACAGAGGACGAATATCAAAAGATGGAGAAAGAGGAATGAGATGACGACTGACCTGGAAGAAAGTCATCAAACTTCCTTCACACCAATGACTCCAGAAAGCACTATCATCTCCCGTCACATCCTCCAGATTCTCCCTCCCCGGAGCATCCTTGAGAGCTAAAAGACGTCGGACTATCGAGCCACTCTCAGCTAACAACTCTCCGTCGAGCTCCACCACCGGTGCTCTGCCGAAAGGGTGAACTTTCTTGAGTTCAGGGGGACCGGCACCGCCGGGAAGACGGTAGTATACTTTGACCGTGTAAGGTAGACCGAGTTCTTCTAAGAGCCAGACTGAGTGAGGTCAGTCCAAAATCACCCCTCAAATTTACGTAACTCTTTTCTGAGCTCGTTTTCGGACGATTGGGGGAATCCCAGGATGGAGGACGCCGACAGAAGGGGAGGAAAGGAGTCAGTACTCACATAACCTTTCAGATCTCGAGGCGTTCAAGTGATGAAGTACGATTTGGTGTGACATTTTAGACTCTTTGTAGGTGTTTGATATGCGAAAAGGAAAAGTGTGTGTGAGAGGGAGAAAGAGGAGATGAGGGTGAGTTGGAGATGGTGATTTCGGTGACGCCATCGATATCTCCTGACCACTACCGGATATCTCCGAAGGGTCCGTGTTATCACTATCACCCACGTGGCTACGACCTCAGGGCTCAATCACACGTCATTATCGCACGGTACACGAAGATGCATTCACCCAGATCACTTTACAGGGATCTCACACAATGCAGACTAGGTTGATGCACCAGTGTGATTTGCATGGTGAATCATTATGACATGTGGAACAATTTGATCTTACTTGCTTTTATGGGTGTGGACAAATAGTTGTAGCTTGATAGTTGAGATGAGTGAAATTGTCAGGTTCACGAGTATCCACATAGGACGAGTTCCTCAGAATCGTACTTCTTTTGATTGTTCCCGTCTCTGTCTTCTCATTCCCGTTGAGAGATGATTTTCGTTCTCCTTTTACACCTAGTCGCTAATTCTATGATGCGTGACACTTTTCCTCCAGCTCCATGTCCCCCATCTATTTCTGTCTTCCTTTGCTCTCCTACTGTCATGACCAGGTAGCGAACTGTCAGGACCAGACGTTGAAAAATAGTCTGCGTCTATGAGCTATGGCTATAGGGCCTCGCAGGGAACAAACCTAGTGATGTACATAGTTTATAGTCTAGTGATGTAGTGGATCAAAGAGACTATAGTCAATGAGATCAAGTGGCAAAAAATTTGCTAAGTGACGAGAAAATACATTCGACAAGACATCTACGAAAAAGGGGTGTTTCTATATACTAAAAGGGAGCGGAGTGATACCGAAATCTATGGAGTAAATGTGGAAAGCGATATGGGGTGTAAGAGCGAAGGAAGACGGAGATAGATGAGGGACACAGAGATGAAGGAAAAGTATAGCATGGTAAAGAAGTAACGATTAGGTAGGACAGGAGAACGGAGGACGCCGTAGCGGGATTAGTGAGACGGGGACGGGAACGGGTAGGTGAAGTACGACTTCTGCGTACGACTCTTGAGGAACCCGTCTATAGGTACCTGTGATCCTGACACGAACCCGCGATCATAAACCATCCTAAAAGGCTCAATTACAACTCTGCTAGTGAGAGTTGATCTCGCTATAAGTACTGGTCGTGACACCTACCCCATATCATTTTCCATCTTTACTTCATAAATTTTGGTATCATTCCGCCTCCTCTTTTCTATATAGAAGCGCCTCACCTTCATAGATGGCTTGTCAAATGTATTTCCTATTCACTTAGCAACTCTTTTGCCACTTGATCTCATTGACATATAATCTCTCTGATCTTCTGCATCACTAGACTATCTACTATGACACTAGGTCTGTTCCCTAAACAGCCCTGGAGGCTATAGCTCATAGATGGAGACTATCCATAACTGTTAACACTTATAATTAGATGATAATACAGAGGGGAAAAAGAGCATGCATCAATTCTACATGTCTCTATACTTATCACATTCCACTCACACGCATAATACCAGAGACGATCGAATAAAGTTCAGAGGATAAGTTGAACGGAGAAATATTCGACGGAAGGGGTAATTCTAACGGCGGTTCGGCCGTCCTGGCCCGATTCTATCAGCTAACACTCCCCCACGGGACAATGCACAACTCTGCAGTAGTCCCGGACGATTTATTGATGGTGACGGCGAGGTTTGTGATGATGTAGACGGTAGTAATGACGAAATATTGAGTGTTATGTGTGTGGTAGTTGTCACAAAGTGTGTGACAAGTCGAGCGAAAGTCGGGGAAGGGTATTTAACCAGCGATCGGCGGTAGTGTTAACCGCCGATTAATAGGCCTTTTCGTCGCAGTGGTTTAGATCACTGTTCCGTTGGGCACTGTTATATCGTGCATATGCTGGTCAGTATGTCTCGTGACAGATTAATCGGCGGTTACGGGTAGGATCCTGGGTTCGACTCCCCGGACGGCGCCGGGGGTAACCCAGGCCCTACTTGGAAAACCTCCCTCTCGGAGTAAGTTTTCGGTCTATCGTACCCTTCCCAAGTGTGGGGGCCCAAGCGGGGTCCCCTTGTCGGGGCCCCAAAGCGGGGGCCCAAGAGAGTGCATAATGTCACAAAGTGTGTGACAAGTCGAGCGAAAGTCGGGGAAGGGTATTTAACCAGCGATCGGCGGTAGTGTTAACCACCGATTAATAGGCCTTTTCGTCGCAGTGGTTTAGATCACTGTTCCGTTGGGCACTGTTATATCGTGCATATGCTGGTCAGTATGTCTCGTGACAGTAGTAGTGGTAGGTGAAATCGTGAAATGAATTTCGGTGGGGCCTCCCGCGGGGCTCCGCTCTGACACGTGGCTACCACTCACTACTGACAACTGACTCTTCTCTATCTTTCCTTTTACTTCATCACTTTTACCTCCAATTATCGGTATGTCCACCTTTCGTCTTTCTCCACCTCTATCTCTCATTTCTGACTCTCTGAACTTCCCTTTATCCTGTCTGCTTCTTAAAACTTCAGGTTTGCTAGTAGAATCCCGAGAATCGATGAAATTGCTTCGAGTACCTGGCTGACGATATCTATCATTAGTAGCAAAATCATCATGTCCCAAATTTCTCCCTCCGTTTTCGCGACTGTTGCTACTCCCTCGGTTCCTGGACCGTCTGATCGTCCTGCTCTTAGGTTGCTCCCCAGCAATCCTCCCGACTGTAAGTTTATTACTGTCTGTCATGTCATGAACTTTATTGAGTTTGAGATCTTTCTCAGAAGGTACAATTTGAGCTGGGGATTTTGAAATCGAACCTCGATAAACATTTCCTTTTGCTAGGGAACGCTCTATTGGAAGGTGGTGGTACCCATGCGAGGGTACAAGAGATCGTTGATACTGTCGACTCTCTCCACAAAAAGATCAAAGCTGTCCTGGGTGGTTATAAAGTCGCTGGTTACCAGCCCAAGTTCCCGGTATTCGTGGATTTGACGATGGAGGTTGAGTAGAACCTCCGCTATGTATCATCTTATCCCTTCTCTTACTCTTCTCTTTCATCTCTCTAATGACTTTAGGTTCTACCGGTGGTTTCTGACCTATCTTCAAATTACTCACATTCTTAGGTACACCTGAAAATTTTACATTTTGGCTCACGAGAACTTTTCCTTCAGTGATACCTTCGGTGGGTTTCTCTGAAGTTCCTTCCACCCACACTTCTCCTTCTGGTACCACTTCGTTCTCTGTACCACCTGACAGATCTCCTAGGTCCTCGAAATCAGAATAATCGTAATCGATGATTTCATCATCATCTAATGTCACGTATACTGAACCAGTGTTTTTCTTCTTCAGTGGTTCTACCCGTATCGCTGACATATTCACCGAATGTACTGGTCCACCTAAAGCTTTTGTAAGTACATCTGCTCTCTGATAGACAGTGCTGACGTATTCTAGTTCAATAACTTTATTACTGACTAGATCTCGAAGAGCATGATGTCAAATATCGATATGTTTTGTCCTCTGGTGAGTACCAGGTTTTCTCGCCAGTGATATCGACCCTTGGTTATCGCAGTTTAATATAGTAGGGTTTAGCTGATCGTAGCCTATCTCCCTCAGTAATCCTCTCAACCACTGAGCCTCCTTCGCTGCTTCAGCCATCGCAATGTATTCTGCTTCGACTGTCGACGACGATACCGTAGCTTGTCTTTTTGAACTCCAGGTTATCGGTGAGTTGTTCATCATGAATATCCAGCCTGTAGTTGATCGTCGTGTGTCTTTACAACCTGCCCAATCGGCATCAACCCATTCTGCTAGATCGCTAGCCTCGCCACCAAGACGAATACCATGTAAACGAGTGGACCGAAGGTAGGTAATTACCATTATCCCTTCTTCCCAAACTTTCTTCGTTGGTTTGGTGAGGTACCTAGCAAGGTATGGAGCTGCATATGATATGTCGGGTCGAGTACATGTGGCTAATCACTGTAGACATCCTATTAATTCTTGAAATGGTCGAATTTCACTTTCCACCTCCGACATCGATGGATTTTTTGCAGTAAGGGGTAATGGCGTTTTTCGGGCTCGATGTAAGTCGTTTTCTGGAAACTTCTGAACTATCTTATCGATGTATGCTGGTTGGTTTAACCATATTGTCTTTTCTTCTCTGTTCCTTGTTACCTTCATACCTAAGATAGTACTTATCTCCCCCAGGTCGGTTATTATCCACCTTTTTCCTAGCCCATCGAAAATTTCCTTTGCTTCTTCCTTCGATTTCGTGGCTAATACTAGATCATCGACATAGGCCAGCAGTATTGCTGCTCCCTTTCCTTCGATTTTCCCTTCTGGTCTGTAGTAAAGACCCCAATCTGACTCGATTCTTGAAAAACCTAGGTGAGATAATCCTTCCCCGAGTTCAATCCACCACGTTCTACCGGATTGCTTTAACCCGTAAAGAGACTTGACTAACTTCAAGGTATTACATCCAGGTTTTGGTTTTATCCCCTTGGGATACTTCATGTAAATTTCGACATCGGGTTTACCGTTTAAATACGCCCCTTCGACATCGGCCTGACGAATTTCGAGACCTTTGGTGGCCGCTATAGTCAAGAGTATTTGTAATGACCCCGATCTACCGACAGGTGCGAATGTCTCTTCGTAATCGACACCTGGTACCTGTGAGAATCCTTGAGCTACTAGTCTGGATTTATACTTTAGTAAGTTTCCTTCTGAATCTGTCTTCACTTTGAATACCCATTTACATCCAATGGCTTTACGACCCGGTGGAAGTACCGTTTCCACCCATGTTTCTTTAGATTCGATGTTAGATATCTCTTTCTCCATGGATTCTAGCCACTTCTCACCATCTGCACCGTTTACTGCTTCCTCAGGAGAGATAGGATCAATGAGAGAAGTATCACTTTCGATACCTGCGATAGAGGCGAGTGAGACTAACTTATTAGGCTCGCGACCAAAATCTAGGAACGAGTCTGTTAGGCCTGCGAAACGGTGGGGGGGTCGAATAATTCGTCCGTGACGTGTCGTCAGGATCCCCTCATCCCCATCATCATTTCTTCCTTCCTCATCATTTCTCTCATTTTCGACGATATCGTTCTCATAGATCCAATTTCCTCCCCAGATGCCCTGTCCTCGTCGTCTTTCAGTAGGTTGTGGGCCTGTATTAGGTGAGTTGTCTCTGTCGACATCATTTCCTTGTTCATTATCGATATTTTCCTGTTCGCCACTTTCTGAGCGGTCGTCAGGGAAAATTTCTTCGTTGACGACGGGGTCTAGGTCCACTTCGATGGCGTCAAGAGGGTTTGGATGACATCTGGCGACTCTCTAGTAGCCACCATTTGTCCTGTCGAGCGACGAACGTCTCGTGAGTGTTCGATTCGTCCCGATCCGTCCATTCTAACAATCCAACCGCTCACACCCTCATCCTGACCTAGTATAATCGCTGACAAACCCCTAGGTATCGTGAAGTTCGACTTCAGCCTTATCTCCCTTGGTATCTGAACAAAACATCGTTCACCAAATCTCCACACGCTATCTAGATTCGTGTATCTTCCTGTGAGTGATGTCCAACCTGATTTGCCACTGACACCAATTGATGTTTTCATGATTATAATGGCGGCGTATCTGACAGCATAGGACCAATATTCGTTCGGTAGTCCTGAGTCAAACAACATCGTTGATACCATCCCCTTCAAGGTACGTATCATTCTTTCCACCACTCCATTTAATTCTGGTGTGTATCTTGGTGTGATGTAGTGGTTGATCCCTGCTGACAGGTAGAATTCCCTCATATCGAGGCTATCGAATTCACCTCCCCCATCAGACCTAATCACCCTCACCCTTTCACCAGGCTGTTTCTCTAATTTCGAGATACACTGTCAAACGATATCTGACGATTTGTTCTTCGTAGTTATCGGTATGGCGAACACAATTCAACTCGCCCTTTCCACACCAACGAAGAAATATCGTTCACCTTTTATCGCTGGACCGAACGGGCCAGCAATATTGACATCCATTCCTACTCCTTCACCATCTCCTTTTAACATTGGTGCTTCTTTATTCTTCGGTAGACGTGTTATCTTGGCCTGCATACAGGCGGGACATTTATCAGTTGTAAAGGGATCGTTCTTGTAAGTGTCCCAGTCCTTCTTCAATATTCCCTGTCTACCTAGACTCTTTAGTTTATCTACACCTATATGTCCCAGTTGCTGATGCTCAGATTCAAGTGGTGAAGTTGCCTTCGGTGTCGATATCACGATCATCACGGCAGACATTGCTCTGCCAAATCGTACCGACCACAGTGAGTCATGTTTCCTCAAACCTAGTTTCTCTTTACCTTTACCTATCCACCCACCACCGCTGCTTAGATTCGCCTTCCATCCCCATGAGAGTAACTTCGAAAGGGAGAGAAGACTTATCTTTGCTGTGGGGACGTGATGTACATCTTTCAGTACCATTTTCTGTCCTGAATCTAGTTCGAGGTTAATGTCACCTGTTTCCCAAGCCATCATTGACTTGCCAGATGCTAGTCCGAACACTCTCGGTTCCACTAGTCTTTTAATATTCGTCATTATCGACCTGTGAGGAGTTATGTGGTGAGTAGCACCACTATCCACTACCCAGGTGGGGATTACACGAGTGTGGCTTACATCATTAGACTCTGTAGCTAATCCCACCCACTCATTATCCTCAACCCACGGGTTTTCAATTTCTTCGGGCCACACGATGTTACTCGTGTACCCTTCGTCATCATCGAGCCATGATTCTGTCGACATGGCCATCCCGGCCCACGCCTCATGTTCACCATCCAATGACGAATACATCAAGGAGGTTTTGGAGTTATCCTTGGACTGGTTCTCATCCTTCGAGACCGTATGTCCTTTCTTATTATTCTTATTATTATTATTCCTCCATTTCTTTTTACCTCCATCCTTTCCATCTGTGTTTTCTTTCCTGTTCGTATCCTCTCTTTTAGGTTTACGACAGTACTTCGCTAGATGTCCTACAGTGTCACAGTTATAACACTTCCTGGTTTCATTCCTGGGCTGACCATCAGAGATATTATCTCGGTTCACCCTCATTCCTTTATTTCCTTCGACGAACATCGTGAATCCCTTTCTATTGGTCCTACCAACAGGGCGCGCTTTACGTCTCGCTGTTTCTTTATTGAAGATCGATAAGACCTTTTCCCAAGTTCTCTCCTCTGCTATGAGGGATGTTACTTCGATCTGGATGATCCTGTAGGATGGTGCTAGAATGGTATTGAGGAATAACCCAGCTCTTTCCTGTGAGTCAAACTTCAACCCTACCAATCTCGCTTCGGACATCGTCTTCGAGAAATCCTCTACATGCTTAGCCATTTCTTCGGCCGTCGCATCGTCCCTTAAGTCATAGCTAAACAACGCTTGACGGACATTCCTTTGATTCTCGATCGTCGCTGTCACATGCAGGGCTACGCAGTAATCCCACATTTCTTTAGCTGACATCTTCTCAGATATATCAAGCATCACAGCATCCGACACTGTTCCCTTGATCATCCCCTGCGCTTTATTCTCCCTCGCTTGCCACTTTTCCCATTCCTTCCACTCTTCTCCAGTAATCCTTCTACCAACCACTTGCCCTTCGACGGGCGTGGTAGGAGGTACTGATCCCGCCCTCTCAGCTGTCGACCTAACCCCTACGTGACCAGGTTCGGTATCATTACCCGTGACGATATTCCACACGTCACCTATCTGTAGATACACCTCGATTGACTTCCTCCACGGAGCATACGATGCTGGATCGTGGGATAACTTTGGGTGGCTCTCAAGAGAGATCTTAGACGACACAGAGGTCATTATGAGGAGAGTAGAAGTAGGAACTTGCCTTAGTTATACACAGAGGTATGTGGACTCCGACTGTTAATCTGTTAACGCTTATAATTAGATGATAATACAGAGGGAAAAAGAGCATGCATCAATTCTACATGTCTCTATACTTATCACATTCCACTCATACGCATAATACCAGAGACGATCGAATAAAGTTCAGAGGATAAGTTGAACGGAGAAATATTCGACGGAAGGGGTAATTATATAACGGCGGTGCGGCCGTCCTGGCCCGATTCTATCGGCTAACACGTTGGCCCAAAGCGCCAGCTCTAGGATCCTCATCATGAATTGTCCTTTTTTATGGATTGACTAGGGTTGGGGAACGGTACTGGAAACGTGATGAGTAGGTTGCAGGCTGGGTTGAACTTGTTTTAACTTGGTAGAAGTCTAGGTGTCTCTGGTGCTAAGTGATGTATTGTGTCTCCTCTGCAATTGATGTAGCCAAAAAATGATATTGAAGAATCAGCAATGTTGGTACTTTGCTGATTGTACTATATACTGTCTACAGGTCTCTGTGTTTCCTCTCCCCTACTGCAAGTGTCTATGTACATACTCAGACAGGTGAAAACCCGCTTTGAGTGAACCCAGTGGGGAAATCTCAAAAGGGGAAAACCCGTCCCTACCTAATTGCAGCACTGCCTCGGGCCTTCTATCCTAATCCGTCGAGTTCAATGCAGCTGCTTCAAGTCGTTGTCACTCTGTAACAGTTTGCTGCATGACCATGGCGGAAGAAAGGTACAGAGACAGGTAGTATTTGGTATGCTTTTCTTCCCTCTGCACTGTGATTTGCAATTGGCATGTCCAGAGCGCTGTGTGTGAAGCTCCAAGACTATGTATCTGCCCTCATGTTCACCCTGATCAGAAAACCAGTTCCTTTTTCATGTTCTGTCCCTTCTACTCTGACCGGTATAACACGCCTATGATACGGTGCAGCCACCTATCACTGTTACAGCTGACCTCCCAGCCTTTTGGCTCATCTTATATATTCCATCCCCCACCGAGGGTCCAAAAGGAGATCCGAGAGCGTGTTAGGTGACCGTTCAAAGTCGTGACACTTCCAAGTGTCACGGCCTTTCAAGGACCCCTTGAGTGACATGCCAAAGCGTCATGACACTTCAAAGACGCACGGGTTGATACCATGCTACTTCAAAGTGGCACGGGTACCGTGGACAGGAAGTCTCAGGTTGAATTTCCCTGCGGCCAGTTCCACTTCCACTTCCATATCTTGTACATCTTCCTGTTTTTCGGGCTTTGAACAAGACACATGCCAATCTATACTTCCTCCATAATGACAGAGGTTCTCCTTGGGCCTTGTCAAGACCAAAGACCAACGGTTTTGAAATACAACCATACTTGCTGCAATGGAATCTTCATAGGAGGGTTGTAAGATGTGATTGAATGGTGAGTACTGAACATATCTCTGATATCGAAAGTCAATCATGGGATAAAGAAGATGCTTAATACTATTTGCTAAACATGCATGTACTTATCTACCTAGCTGAGTAAGCGTAGAGTCTCTCAAAAGCAGAGAAAAAAGACCAACATAGAATGTGGTTCTTATGTAAGACCCGATTGAAGTAATTACTGAAAACATCTCCAATGTAGAAAGTCAGTTTGAGAGAAAGAGATGCATTCCGTCAATCTATCTACCTATTTTTCATACTGACTGTATCCTGCCAAGTCATCTTTCTAAGAAGCCTACGACATCTATACTTTTAAGCGGACTAAATAGTTAGCTAGCATCCGCCAAATGACTATTGGAACATACATTTGGACCAAGCAATTCTTGACCATACTTGGCTTTGAAACGTTCCCTAGCCATTACAATCCCCTTCACATGAGCCATCATCTCAGCATGCTCTTTCCCAAACCCTGCCTGCAGAATACCTCGTCTTCCCCGCATATGCCTTGTCATTATCTCATGCCAAAGCCAGGACTTGTATTTCCTAGCCAGGTGCAGAACCCGACGAGTGAGACCCCATGTCTTCCCATCCACTTCCCATTTTTCATTCAGCCATAAATCATCTTTGCCCTTCATCCATCGCGGATAATCATTGAGAGGACTTTCAGAATGCCAGAATCCAGAGGGAATGTCGTCTTCGTTGTAGTCGCTCCATGTCTCAAAGGTAGAGCAATTGTCAGGCCACTGAGTGGAATCACTATTGGCTCCGACTTCTGATTCCGACTGAAGATCTGAAAGTGAGGGTGGAATGGATGGAGCAGAAAGAGAAGCACCTATCTAGATTAGCAACCAGCTTGGTCGACTTGTCCGTGATATGCTCACCATCTTCGGACTCCCGTATCACTTGACTTTCTTCACTCTCAACAGACGTCTTGTCTTGTTGACGACTCTTCTTAGATTGTGTTGTCTTCCGACGACGTTTTGGCCTTGGTTCACCAGCGTCAGATTCACTGCTGGAGTTTTCGATAAAAGTTCTTTCCGTGGCCGTCAATCGAGAGTAGTTCTTACATTCTCTTTCCGCTCCATGACAATAAAGTGAACACTTCACATTCTTCTTTTTGCAAGGGCATCGAGTGGTGTGACAATGTCCCTTACAGTTGCACTTGATCTCCCTTTTAGACAAGTCTCATGGGTAAGCATACTATACTTCCTATGACTCTGTACTCACGGAATATCTTTTTCACTGCAGATCTCAAGGACACCAGGGGCTGATTTTTCCAGTCTAGAGCTGCCAGCCCTACCACAATGGGAATTTCAAATTGATCTGCCGGATTCAGAGCCTTACTTTGGTAGAGACGATTCAGCACTCCCGCTTCACAAACAAGTCGATAAGCTTGAGGTTCATTGGGCTTGGAGAAAACTTCACAGACAATACAGGGAATTCGACTTGCCGGTGCACCAGGGCGATCTATTGCCGGTATATGAAGTGTTACTTTGTCGCGGATCTTGTATTTGAAACTGTGATGGTCTTTTCCAAAACGATCTATCATTTGTTGACGAACAATAGCTTGACGTTTCTGAAGTTCAATTTGGAGTTTCTTTCGTTGAACCTCATTGGTTCTCCCCTCCTGCATGAGCAGTGTGAAAGGGTGAGATTCTCCTGCAGATGAGTTTGACTGTCCTCTTTCTTAACCCTATCAATGTTTTGAATGACTTACCAATACCATCCATGTCTTGATGTCCATCACCAGTAGCTCCTGGACTTGAATGTCTAGACTCATCCGCAGCTTCGCTTACATTGTTCTCCTGAGGTCCATTCTGCATTTCTCTTTCCCCAAGAGGTTCTTGACCAACTTCTTGATCACTATCCTCTTCCCAACAAAAAGGTGGCAGATCCACATGTTCTTCTTCATCCGTCTCCATTCCTGTTCCCAAGTCCAGTGCAACTTCAAGCACAGCTTCCCTATCTTCTCCCGGTAGCCACATCTGAACTTCACGGTGAGTGCGATTGAATACAGCTTCGTACGGGGTGTGAAGGGTTGCACTGTGTTTTGTGTAGTTGATGGAACGTATCACATGGGGTAAACCATTGATCCTGGATATCAGAGCATGCCTTCGCAAGATTTCATAGCTTACCAAGGTTGTCCTTCATTCTCCAATCTCCACTTGGACAAGCGAGACTTGACAGTGCCATTGGCTTGCTCTACCAGCCCTTGAACACGAGGCGTTCGGGGCAGACCATGCTTGATTTTCACCGAGTATGCCTGGGCAAGATGTGTGATGATCTCGTTACAAAATTCGCGGCCATTGTCAGATTGCAAGATCTCAGGAGCCCCATAATGGTTGATCCATGTCATCAGATGTTTCTCAACATTTCGACCTGTTTTGTTTGTCATTGGATACTTCAGGGTCAGTCACTGTGCGGCTATCCTTCTTATTCACTCACAATCTGGGACAGTTTGGTGAAGTGATCTTTGATATGACATATCCAACGCATTTTCTCCCCTTTTGGACCACAACATTCATCTGCTCGCATATCAATGAGATTGATTTGGATGCGTTCAAACGGTGAGGAGGATGTAATTGGTTGGAGTTGACCAGGGTCTTTATTGCGGGCTCTGTTATGAGTTAGCGACTGCTTGCAGTTGACATGTATCAAGACCCACTTGAGTTGACAGACATTGCAGGCATCGATAACTGCTTTAATCTCCTGTTTTCCAATCCCTCGATAATGAGCTCGCAGTTTGGCCCTAGTCTTGTTTTGCCCAGAATGTGCAAGCGTAAGACAATGAACATGTTTGATTCTTGAGAACACTTGTGAGATTGGGACCAGCTTATACCATGTTGGTGATGTTGGTGAGGAGCGAGTGAGGATATCTTGTTGATCTTCACTGAGACAATTGTGCTGTTTGGTCCGGGTCAACCAAGAGTTGTGAGGTGGTTGGAAGGGTGGATTTTCAGCCGGATGTTCTAATAGCCATTTACGATTGGAATACTCCTCATCGGAGATTGTGTGGGCAAACTTTTGATCACGAAGCCAGGACTCAAAGTTCTGTTCAAAATTGGTGCTGAAGACAGATTGAATGCCGGTCATGGTATGTATGATTGAAGGATGAAGTAATGCAGAATTTCAAGTACAAGGAGGATTTGTGGGTTTCATAATACCGCTGGTGTGGCACTCTACGGTCACTCAAAGCCAAGAGTCGTGACCGTTGAAAGCACAAACGTTCCACTTTGAAGGCGCACGGATTATACTTGTGACCGTTCAAAGCTGTGCAGCTTCGAAGGGGCACGGATTTTGGCCTCGTGATACTTCAAAGTGTCACACCTTTGATCCGTCACGATCTGAACCGTGCCACTTGGAAGTGTCACGACTTTGAATGGTCACCTAACAGAGCGGACCCGTGGAAGAGTGAAAGTGCCACACTGCCACATGCCACCTGCCCACATTTTCTTCCCCCTCCTTTCCCCTTTTTCCTCCTTCCCGTCCATTTATTCTCTTCCGATCTTGTAAGACTCAACCAACCATGTGCCAAAATGGTTATATCAGCAGCGAACACAAAACACTTGGATATACTTTATCATCCTTTACCGCAAGATGACAAAGTGATACTTGAATTACAACAAATTTCCATCCAGAAGGAGGGGGGAGTGGTGAGGAATGAACATGAACGAAATTACCAGCAGACATCCCGGAATACATCAGATTCCACAAAAGCGAAGGAACCGTGTACTCAATTTAGCCGCGGAAACCTTGTCACAGACGTTATCCATGCTGTGGAATGTGACGAGGGACCTACCACAGGTAAAAGGTACTTGAATGGAGGACACGGCGGGAGTCTAAACCCGATTGATCAAAAGCTATATCACGAGGAAGAGTTGGGGATGAAAGGGTTAAATCTACCATTGAGATCAAGAGTGAAACTACCGGTTTCAGTAGCGGAAGGTGCGATAAGAACGACGGGATATGTCGGTAGAGGTACAGGAACGACGGGAACGACACTTTGGCCCAGTTCTCAAGTATTAGCAGCTTATCTCGTTTCTCTTTCAACGGAAGAACGAAAGAAGCGGTTGGTGGGAAGAAAAACTCTCCCACATGCTTCTATCACGTCCATAAAAGATGGAAATCAAAAGTCAATGATGAGAAGCTTTCCCGGTCACCATAAACAAGGGAACCGTAACCTCGTCGAATCATTCAACTCCACCAGGACCGACGTCGATCGAATAGTAGCCCCTACCGATGAGAACTCGATGACAATAGATGCCAATGGGGATCCCAATGTGAACTTTCTCGAGGGATGTATCATCTACGAAAGCTCGGAAAAGATAATGGTCAATGTGAAATCCTCTGGAACAACTCAAAAGATGATAGGAGATAGACCATTAGTCATTGAATTAGGTGCAGGAACAGGATATCTTTCTCTTGTCTTATCGTCTTTAAACTACGAAGTAATATCTACAGACCATCCTTCCGTCTTATCACTATTACAATCAAACATCCATCGTAACCTTCCTATCCTCTCTCGAGCAGGTTATGACCCACATATCGTTATTCATCCATTAGACTGGGAAGAAGTCAAACGATCTGGTAGATTACCGAAACAGCTCTTGGACAAGAGAGAAAGAGAAAGACCAACATTGGTAGTGATGTCCGATACTGTCTATTCGACTGATTTGATCATTCCTTTATTGGAGACTATACGTCTTATTTGTCTATCACCCGAATTACCTGAGGTTTCACTTTTTGAGAGATTTCCATCTGAGGATGCTATCAATGAGAAACAATCATTGATCGATGAAGAATTAAATATCTCACAAGAACGATCGTTCATCCACCAAGAATTACATATGCGAGAGATGAAACATTCGGCGAGTAATGATGAAAGACAGCGGAACAGGGACGTAACGGGGAAATTTGAAAAGATGAAATTGAAAAAAGGACCTACGGTAATTATCGCTTTAGAGAGAAGAGATCCGATGTTGGTTGATTCTTTCCTTCGACAAGCTAAGGAGATAGGGTTAGAACTTCGGAAAGTCGGAAGGAGAAAGATGATCAGGGCTTTGAGACTATGGGGCATAGGTGAGGGACTTAAGGATGAAAAGAAGGGGATCAAAAAGGATGAAATTCAGATGGGAGCTAATGGACTATGGGGTGAGAATGAGAATTTTGGGAATAAAAGAAATAAGATGAAAGCTAAGCCAGTATCGGACGGACGATGGCACGGTGATTCAGATGATGGAAAGGAGAAAAGGGATACAGAGCGGGGGAAGGATCGATCTGAACGTATGGACAAAAGTTTTGGTGATATGGACCAAGAGAAAGAGGAGGAAGATGAGGAAGAAGGAACTGAATGGGATGATGTAGAAATTTATACTGGTCGTTGGAGATGATGAAAAACAACAGACACTCGCATTCTTTACGCCACTTTATGCATATTGTCTTGCCAAATGAAATGTAAAGGAACATCTACTCTTGTTCAATTTCATCACTTCCTTCGATAGACCCACTGTCACTGGATCCACTATCCAACTCTGGCATTTCTTCATCTTCCTCTATTTTCATATCTTGCACGACGGACTGAGGTGACTTGGCCTCCCGTCTTACCTCCAATCTCGTTTTCACCATGGTCATCCCCACTTTCGGATCTATCTGTTGTGTTCGTACGTTTGTATTTGAATTTACTTCCTTTATCGTAGATTCGACTCGATCTGGCTCTGGAAGAATGTCCGAGCCTGAGACATGTTTGACCACTTCAATTACAGCGGACGAGATTTCAGACTCTACCATCACACTTTCAGCCGGCGTCGCCTCCCCTGCATCTCCCTCGGTCCTCTCATCCGCTCCTGCCACCCTGTCTATCCTCGAAACAATTTCTGTTCTCGGTACAATTTCATCCATTTCGTCCTCCACGTGCGATGGAAGAGGAGCACCAAACCCTACCTCCTTTCTCACATCCGCCTCTTCTTCCGTTTCCTTTCCAAACAGGTGCAAAGCGCTTAACGGCGGTCCGGGTCGCATGAGAGGTGGTAAGACAGGATGTAACATCGTCCCTAGACCTCTGGACACTTGAGACGATTGGAGGACGAAACACAACGAGGAATCAGAGGCGAGAGATTGTGAGCTGAGATATGTGGCTGGGGAAATTGGGAGGAGAGAAAGAAGTACGGTCTTCCAACTTCTCGATGTACCTCCCTCGCCTTCCGTAGATAAGGCTAGATGGTTTAACACTCCTTGTGTAGCAGTTTGGAGGGAGACAATGCTTTGTGGAGAAGGCTTAGTTAGGGTGGGAAGGAGAAGGGAGAGGGAGAGTAGTAGACGGATGGAGAATGTGAGTAAGGCAGTTGGGAGTAGTGGAGCGGTGAGGAGAGAAGGTAAGACTATATATCAGCAGAATTCTCAAATTCGCAGCGTAACTTCACGAGGTGTGTTACATGTGACCTGATAAGCATTGGAACTTGGACGCAAGACGGGAAAGAGGTGGGGAGAAGGCAGAGGTCAAAGCTAAAAGTCGGGCTGACAGGGAGCTGGGGCAAGGACGGAGACAGGGGTGAGTGAGGAATGAAAGAGGAATAGTACTAACGATTCATTACTTCCAACATGACCCCCATTTCCTCATCCGACACTCCTCTCCCATCTCTACCCTCCAACCCAGAGATAAGCCCATCTTCGTCATTTCTAACTCTTTTCTTTCCTCTCTTCCCACTCGAAATCAGGTCTTGTTTCGGTCCATGGGACGATTCGGATGGTTTGTCCAAAATGGGAGAAAGACACGACAGGACAAATTTGGTAAGACGGGTAGTATACTCCACAGGCCAGATAGTGGCGGGATATACGTCCAAGAGGAGTTGATGTAGACGAAGTAGTCGTACTCTGACCTCGCTATGTGTCAGAAACCTCGATGTAAATGTAGATGCGAGAGGGTATGGTCGTTCGGGGACAAGAAGAATAAATTTTGGATCCCAATAATGAAACCCATAGTGTGTGAGAGAGGAAAGGGACAAGGAGGGTTGAAGAAAGATGACGTAGACTTACATTTGAGATACGGGTACAGACTCTAGTAGATAAACGCTGTGTTCTAGGATTGAACTCAAGTGAGGAAGAAGATGATCTCCGCATCTGATGATCAGTCCATTTCTTTTGGCTCGTTATCTCTTGCTGTTTAGGGATAACCGGAGCATCGATCAGCTCGCTGGAAGAGATGGGAACATTACGAAAAATGAAGTTGAGCTCACGCCATGGCCATAGCCCCAAGAAGAAGAGATCCAACTGTCCATATTCTGGGCAAAATAACAAGTATTGAAGCATGATGATGAGGACTGATATAAGAGACCATCTATCTGTCAGAAATTCTGCCTCATCTCTTTACGCCGTTTCATTTTAGGCCATGTCGTCAGCTCAGGTCCATCTCTACCGTCGAGGACCTTCGAAGAGGCAAGAGTCTCGACAAGACCGTAGAGGTTGACCTGAGCTGACGACAGGGTTTTAGATAATTTGAACTCACAGGAGTGTCATATGTGATGTTCATACACCTCAACGACGCCTCTACTATAGCGCCGATTGGCACGGGTACAGGTCGGACAGTGACGAATCTCCAGAGTCAGTTTATAATCAGACATACAAGACGTGATGACATACCTTAGAAGGGCCAGAATAATCTCTGTGCTTCCCTCGAGGATTGAGAGAGCTGTGGGTAGCCTCTCCGTCGGGTCTACAGGGAGAGTGGCTAAAGAAGATGTTTCGAGCGTTGTAGGAGCTGTGGTAGTCAACATACAGCACAGGGTGGACATGGATGAGTCGGTCGAAGCGTTGAAGAAGGAGGTTGGTCAGGTGGAGACAGCAGCAAGTGAGCCCAGACATGTGAGCGAGACGCGATTCCAAGGCAGAAGCCCAGGTGACAAGTTGGAACGTTCAGAGTGTGACCAGTGAGAAGAAAGCAAAGTTTGTACTTCGGTATCAAACACGGGAAAGCGACAAGAAGCCCGCCACAAAGATGTCGATAAGTAAGACGGAATAGAAGAGTATGTAGCCAATACAAGCGAGAGCATCGACTGACTCACTTTCCCAAGCATCCCTCATTATAGCACTGAGAGAATCATTCATACCCCCTAAAGCACCTTTCATTTCCCCCGCCCAAGCCTGTGCAGCTTGAGTCTTTCCTCCACATAAATGAAGAGAGGCCAAGAGGTCGGAAGCAGTCATACGAACTGGAAGAGGGACATCTTGCTGATGTAGTATAAGATCTAGAAGATACGTCCGAAGAGGAGAGAGGGAAGGACGGAAAGTCGAAGGAGAATGACATAGGACTGTTCTTGTTGAGGTGAGGGTTGTGAGCTGGATGTTAACCTCTATAATCGCTAACAATTAGGTTATCAGTATGACATTTCCAGCTATCACCAAAATTTTCACGCTTATACGTATGTGAGAATCGAGGAATGACGTGATTGATTGAGACGATAAAGCTTACCAGTGTAGACCAATCGTTCCCTATTTGCTGTAAAACTCCAACCAAAGTCACACTTATCTTTCCCATAAGAGGAAGGACTGATTCTCTTTCAAACGATGGCCATTGAGGTGAGACGGTGATGATCGTTTCGAGTAATCGGATAGCTGAGTCCGTAAGAGTTGATGGAGAAGCCTAAAGTATGAGTAAAATGTTTTGCCTTGCAACCTTGGTCAGAATAGAGATAAGGTGACTTATCAGAGGTGTAAAGATTCGGAGGGATGTCAAAATAGATATGAAACTCACATTGATCAAATCTATAGTTATTCCTAACCAAACTTTTCCCCACGTACTAACCGCCCAACCTTCTTTATCCCTCCTAACCACCCTGAGTAAGATTCCAAGAACCGCATCAACCTCGGAAGTTCCCCCTCGGACCGTATTGTCAGATCGTAAAACAGTAGTGCAACGTTGTAAGAATTTCACGTTGGCTTTCGTTTGACGCAAAGATGTCGTCTCTAAGATTTCCAAGAGAGCCGGGTGGGTGAGAGGCAGGTCTGAGAAAACCAAATTTGACGAGGATTGAGACATTGTATGAAGTGAGGTATATACTAGTAAACGATCCCCTTTACGTCGAAAGTGGTAACGCAGGAGATGGAGTAAAGTGTGTAGAAGAGTTAAGAGGGTTGGGACAAGGACCAGAGGAAAACTTCATGTGGAGCCCCACTTTGATGACCCTGGAGGATTGACAGAAAAGGATACAGTACATTCATACTTACACATAAAATTAGAGACAAGAAGAGGATTCCACCCAAAAAGTGACTCACTTTTAGTGCAAAGAAGCATACAAGGGTTTTGCCTCATGACAAGCACAATCAATGTATTTTTAAACTTTTACTGATTCCAATATCTTATCAAGGATAAACTTATTTCAGAGCAAGCACAATTTCATCACAAGTGACTCAAACTAACCACAACCAACAGTTCAAGACGGGTTCCCAGTATTGGCTCACATCAATCCCTAAACCGTGGAGCAAGTGCCTCAGTAAGCTGTGATGGTGTCATGCAAGTCACTTCAAACAATGTGGAATTCGGTAGTACCGATATGCTGAGCAGGGCACAAGACTTAGGACCAAGATTTTTCCCCTTCATGTATGTTTTGAATGTTCTCATTGTTTCCACTGCAAGGTATACTATGGCTCTGCTTGGATGTCTACCAAACCACTGACTCATTGTGTAAGTTCTTGTATCATCATCATGAAGTGAAAATCCATGATGATGAAATGGACAAGAAAAACGTCCGTGAGAGTCGAATAACTTGTCAGAAAGTGGTAGATTTGTCTGGAAACAGGTAATGACTTCTGTCACTCTTGTTTCATCAATCTTTGTTCCTTCTGGTGGATCAATATCTGTTTCTGTTGGTGGATCAAGCTTGCAGGCTGAATCGATTGCAGCTTGTATTGAGTGGGCTGATACATATTAAATCTGTGGACCCTAACATTGTAAGAATCTGAGGTACAACTTCTGTCATTAGTTTGATGTGGCCAGTATTTGGCAATGGATACTTGTTGATACACAAGATTCTTGACCCAAGAGGCTGCCCATCTTTATCATAAGGCTGGGTAGGTCTTTCAATAACTATGAACATGGGATTGTATGTAATCATAATCAATCTTGCTCTTTCCACACTATCAGGGGCCTCAGGGAGGGATCCTCCCTTCTGCAGCACAGTCAGGGCAGGCCAGATGATTTCTACCACAATTTTTTATTCAGCAGTTAGATAGGCCTGCACTACTGCCTCACCTGTGTTGATTTCCACTTCTGCCTCGGAGGCTTCTGCATTGGAGGCTTCTGCATCGGATGGCGCACTCATTTCAAGAGAAGTGGAGGTTGTCAAGTGTGTCTACGACCTAGGAGACGGTTCGAATGATTTCGCGGGGTGGGCGACGACAGGTGTTGGAAGATCCAGTAGTCACGATTTAAGTGAGGGATCGAGAAGGAGGAGGAGGAGGAGGAGGGGAGGTGCTTGTAGACTTGAATCGAAGAAGAAGAGGAAGGCGCGGGCGGGACTCGAGAAGCGGGACCCCCGGTAGGGTGAGAAATTCGTTTTTAGAATCGTTAGAAAGGATGTCCACCTCTGGACGGGTCGAGCCCGTCGCCCGCCCGAGGGCGAGGTGGCGAGACCACATAGTTTGTCGCGGGAGGGATGAACGGGTGAGAACGGGTGGGAGATGAGAAGACAAGATTATGCATGGCGGTGCGATATATACAATGGCCGAATGGACTCACCAGCCTCTATTCCCGTATCGTACTCATCCCCACGAAACTGGCCATGACAATGGATCTCATATCCTGTTGCTTCGGGCCAAATCCTATCTATGGCGTCCGCTGAAAATCAACCTCGACGGCCCTTTCATTGTCTATGGTAAACGTCGGCGGGGGATACACCGCCTTGGCCCCGTGTGAGACTGTTTATCAGCTCGGCTCGCATAAGAAGTTCGACTAGGAAGCATAAGTCAAGTAAGAAAGACCAAGTGTGGTTCGAGGGGAGCTGGGAGGAGCGGAGTGAAGCAAATTTAGCGATGAGAGGATGTGATTTAGGGGATTACGAGAACGCAAACTCACTTGGCTCGACTCCACGCCTTGATCCTGATACTAGAAATATCGATGAACCCAGTAGTCGCCGTAGGTTCAAACCCTCCCATCTCATCCATACTCGAAAACTTGGCATCATACAGTCCCTCATCACTATCCCTTCCCAAAACTATCACATTCCCCTTGTACAGCTTCAACCTCACAAATCCATTCACAGTCTTTTGAGATGCTGGGATAGCGGCTGTGACAAATTCCCTTTCGGGAGAAAAGAAGAATCCGTTATAGAGGATCTGGGATAATTGAATGGTTATGAATTGATCTCGCAATGCTCGGACGTTACGGTCCAGAGTCATGCCTTCCAGATCCATGTGGGCCACTCGGAGGATGGTCGCACCAGGTGATTCGTAACAACCCCGAGATTTAACACCGATGAATCGATTTTCGACGATGTCGATCCGACCCACACCGTGTTTCCGAGCCAAGGCGTTAAGGGTGAGGAAGACATCGACGGAATCAGTGACGACTTTCCCGTCTTCGCATGTGACTTTGACGGGAAGACCTTTGGAGAATTCAATGGTGAGGGTTTCAGGAGTTTCGGGAGCTTTTTGAGGAGATGTGGTGAGCTTCCACATGTCGTCAGGTGGTGTGGTGTTGGGATCTTCGAGAATTCCGGCTTCGTATGAGATGTGGAAAAGGTTCTCGTCTGTCGACCAAGGTTTGGCAGCGGTTTGGACAACGGGAATGCCGTTCTGGGCGGCATATTCAAGGAGGGCGGAACGACCTGCAAATCGTTGGTAGAATTCTGGCACGTGAGCTTAAGTAACGAGTAGGTGCCGTTGCAGAAAGCTCACCTGGAAGACGCCAAGGAGCGATGACTTTGATACTTGGAGCGAGACCGTAGAAGGCAAGTTCGAAACGGACTTGGTCATTACCCTTGCCGGTGCAACCATGGGACACGAAGCTGTTGATCAGCACGGAACAGCAGAGATTGGAAGTGAAGGCATGGTCAACTCACTCGCATTTCTCCCGGAGGGCAACTTCGATCATGCCCCGGGCGATGACGGGCCGAGCAAGAGAGGTTCCGAGCAAGTAGACATTTTCATATATGGCGTTGCATTGCACGGCGGCTACTACATCAGCTCATGCGGGACGGCGAACGGGACAGCTGACGGTAGATGAGTTCTTCGACAAACTCTCGTTTCAAATCTGCGAGGAAGAAACCGACAGCACCACATTTCAAAGCCTTTGCACGTGCGGCTTCAAAATCCTCATACTATCAGCTAATGAGGCTCATCAATAAGCATTTGTCGCTTACCTCTTCCTGACCGACATCAGCCATGTAAGCCACGACATCATAGCCTTGTTCAATGAGCCAGAGCAAGATGCAAGAAGTATCTCCACGGTCAACGATATACAATGCATACAGGTACAAATGGCTCACCAAGACCACCAGAGTAGGCCAAGATGACCTTGCCTTTTTTATCACCTGACATTATGGTATGACTGACTGTCATTCAGCACATTCCTCTAGCAACGACAAGTTGATCATATGAGTAGACGAGTAGATCAGACATCCAAGGAAGTGAAACTTCAAAATAGCATCGCCCCATCCCTCCTCGTCCCGTTTACCGGCTGACACAATCCTAATCACCTAGGTTTTCGGACCGCGCCCACGGTTGAGGGACTTCAACACTCAACAGGTAGGTTCAACCCGGAATGGAGAAGTCCGACTCGGTTGTGGAGGAGAACGGGGGTGGAGGAACGGGTACAAACTCCCTGGCAGGGGAGGACGCGTTCAGTGGAAACTGCGTATGGTTTTAAAATATGTTTCATCATTTCGACTCGTTGCAAGGGCTGAAACTTTGGCCCAAGCTCAAGGAGAGGGAAGGGTGGGTGGGAGAGGGGAAGAAATAAACTCACGATGTTATACTACGGAAAGGGAGCAAGATGTGAAGTGATCTGTCGTCAGAATCTTCAGAAGATCATATGAATAGTAGAATAAGAAAGTAATGATCAGACAAAAGCACTGGCAAGCGCTGAAAGCTCGTCTCCTTGACGAAAAGTCAAGAAAGAAGAGGGTCCGGACAATCCCCGCGAAGGGAAGGTCCTATCTCGTTCGACATGGTCGGTAAGACGGGGAGAGAATAGAAGGTCATCTTTTCGAGTAAAGAGGGTATGGTTTGTATCTCAAGAAGGATATGAACTCACCTAAAGTATAGAGAGGGAGGAGAAAAAGAGGAAAAGACAAGATAGAAAGAGATGAAGATGTCGACTGAAAATATTTCAGATCATTTCAACGTGACTCGGTTTCACTTATTGCCGCCGAAATCCCGAAGTATACGAAGTGTGGCACTCGTCATACGGCCGATCGCCCCCTCCCCTTCACCCCTCCGGCTTCGCTTCTAACTACCACCAGCAAGTCATTCATTTCGTTATGGTGGTAGCTCCACCTTTTGGCTCTGCCTCAGCTTATAGAGATACTTTCCCTTCCCCTCCGCCCAAGAATGTGACCGTACAAGCGGAGACATGTTTCAACTTGGGTCTTTTCAAAGGTAAGCTTAACTCGTGTCTTCTCTCCTCTGTCCTCCCCGATCTTTTCGGACGTCTCTTCATTCAAGTGACAGAGCTGATTCATAGATATGGTCAGACAGTATCGTAAATTAGATGATCAGATTATCGTGAGACTCAACAGAGCTCAGGCAGAAGTGCGAGATCGGACTCGATCTCGTAATTTGGCAGGGAGAGGGCTGAGGAGAATTGAAGGGAATGAGGGGATGTGTGCGGAGATGTGGTCAGAGATGATGTGTGAGTTTTTTCAAAAGCATACTTATCTCCCTACAATCACCTCCATTCGTTCAGTTCCCTTATTCCGGGTTACGGATGTTTTACTTATGTCATGGATTTGAGGTTTCGCTGACATATAGCGGGCTGGGCACATAGACAAACTTTACTTTCATACTGCTTGGAAACCGTCAATGCATCGTTGGAACTACGACGATCTACCATAGGATCATCGTCAGTTAATCACAGGATCAAAGGTAGCCTTCCTGGCTACGGTGGAAGGGGAATGAAAGAAGAAGAAGTCTTGGTGAGTCTCTCTTTCATCCTCAATTGTTAAATTCTTCGTCGAGCTTTCCCAAGATTGGGGATAGCGAGAAACTCACTAATATTCAGGCGGATCAATTAGCCAATGAACATAGTATAGAAGCTATCATTAGGAAACGTACGCACGACGGTATGTCTTTCTTCTCTTCTTTTCTTTTGACCAAACCTCGTATGTGATCAAATCCTGTATGGTCATTCATGTATTCTCGGAGAGTCTACTTTTTCGTCCCCCTGAACCAGTTGATAGATCATCTCGCTGACTACCAGCTTTCCGTTCCCGATGTCCTTTCTTCTCCCCACCGTCAGATCCCATATCAAAAGCATGGTGGGATCTTGCACAATCTGCTGGATCAGGTCGTGGGCCAGATTTACCACCTTCATCTTGATTGGTCCGATCAATCTTATACCATCATTTCTATTCGCTGAACTCGAAGGCGTCAGATTCGAAGCCTCAGCCAGCCTGTTAAACATATCATGGTGTTCCGCGTCAAAAGCAGTCTATGGAGGTTGTACAAGGAAACATTGATTGTATATACACCCATGTTGGGCTTCGGCTCAATGTTTGAGTCTCCAATTGGCGCTTGGTTATACATATATTGAGGCATCATCTGTAAATCATCATGACACACATTATGCATATCTCTGATCATTCACACTGCTCGCAATCAACCTCTCATCACCTACGACCTTTCTCTTATGAAACGACCACCGTGCTACCGCCAGTATCCGAAGTTTGGTCATCACTCCCTGGTTGCGGCCCTGACAGTGGTCTTGTAAATCTCGCAAGCACTCGAGTTTTCCTGCGAAAAGTGTACCATACCGTCAGCTCGGTCAACATTTGAAACCACTGCTGAGCCTCGTTATCATTGTCGAACGTTTGTAATTTGTCAAAAATCCGATTCCCCTCTACACAATCCAATCTCTTTCGTATTAAATCTGACCATTCCTTTATTGCTGTTTCCACATCTTGTGATTGTTTTTCAGGAAAAGATATGTCCCCTTTCCTTATCCCATCCTCTCCCACGATGATCTTTGTGTTCACAGAGACAGCTCGCTTATTCCTCCATTTCACATTTGAATCATCATCAGATCTCAAACTATCTGACGCCTCAGTGCCACTCAGCAGTTTTGTAGATATTCTGACTCTTCCTTCATTTTCATAAGTATGTCCTTCCTGTACGATGTGAAGAGATCTATCGATCCGCTCTCCACTCTTCTCCACCAATAGGGAAAACTCCATTGGATAAATTGTCCATGGCATAGTCTTCGGCCTCAACTAGCATGTAGTCGGCACTGCCCAGTATAGTCATAGGCTTTGTCACTTCACACTTGATTCCGATGGGGTTTCCTGGCTGCTCATGTAGGTTGTAGAGGACACTAACATGTATATGTCTGTTTCTTGGATCCACGTGGTCTGCTGCCCGTGATACGGCTGAACGTATATTTGATAGAAAATCCATGATCTTGTCACCACGTGGTATGTACAAAAGTACGGACAGTGATTGGAATGATAACTTAGGAGCTTGAAATCAACTGGAAATTCCGATGGAAACTCGCGATAATTTGAGATGATCTCTTGGCTGATGATGGGAGTGAAGGTATTAAGATGGGTAGGTTGGAGTGGCAAGAGGAACTCAAAGCTGATATATGAGACAAAAGGGAGCGGAGTAAGAAGTGACTCTGGTACGTCATGGGAATCGCAACTGGCCGTGATACCGGACAGGAAAAGAAGTCCGAGGGGGAAATTCTACTCTGCGCGTCATGATATCGTTATTAATCATTTGACTAAGGAAGTGTGTCTCTAGCAAAGTGTTTTTGGTGAGTTGGTTGTGGATCTCGTTCGGTGTGCAGTTTGGCATCTCTGGTTCAGAAGGATTGTCATGGATGGGGATTGCCAAAACTCCTTGGGATCAATAGTGAGACCGCGCACGTGTTGGAAATAGTACAACCAGCACGGATGCAATCGGGGATTCCCACTTTTGCATAGCTGTTAACAGATTAACAGTCGGAGCCTACCTCTGTGTACGAGGAAGGGACAGCCAAGCAGGGGGAGTGATGCAGGAAAAGTCCGGGGTTCGAGTCCACTCCGAGGTACTTAGCATCCGTACTGCTTGAGGGGGAGTGTTGGAAATAGTACAACCAGCACGGATGCAATCGGGGATTCCCACTTTTGCATAGCTGTTAACAGCACGGAACATCGGGCGGGGAAGGGAGTGAACTTTCCACAACGATACGAAACGGATACTGGTACTCAAGTACTTCACTGTACAAGTATATTGTAGTATACCTACAGAGATAATGTGTGTAGAGACGGATAAGCCTGTCTGGTGATCATGTCTTTCTGACTCACCATTCTCACTCAGCATAATCAATTACCAATCAATCCTGTAGCTTGCACAGTAGATCATGAGGTGGAAGAGAAGGTTATTGTCCGTCATGATCAGGTAACAAGCCCATGATCTTCGAGCTGATCCTCAATTCCGCTCAAAGGATTAGCTTTGGCTACACTTCTTTGTGGTGTGATATAAGGATACTGCATCATGGCCTACAATGCTCCGTTCATGCAAATATCATTTGATGATTTCAGACACTCATTGATCCTATATATGTTGCCATCAATAGCCAATTCATCATATATTCACGGACTCAAATTCCTGCACTCCTGCCTCTTGAACAGCTCTCATGATCACCACAAGTAGACTGGGTCCCATGAGAGATAGCACGGGAACACACATTACCTTCAACCTGAAGAAACCTGATTTGTTACTTCATATGATTGACAGACCTGTCCAGTCTTCAGGAGAAGTGACTGCTTCAATATCCACTGGGGTTAGTGACCAAGAACTTACAGAGTCATTCATGAGTAATTGAACAATCACTTTTGCATAAATTCCATTCTCCAGAAGAGCTTGTTGCCATATCATAGTTGCCCGACTGCAAAGGAAACTGGCCACCTTCTCCTCTCTAACCAGAGAGTTTAAAACCTCTCTACCGGAAGTGTGTGGAGGACATGCCATACTACATTCAAAGACAGATCGGTATTTCTCAATCCATTCATTTGTCTCTTGATCATCTTGAGTTGGAATACCCACTGTAAAGTCAAACTTCCCCTCTGACGTCCTAATTATAGATAGACAAATCTTGATGGTTCTACAAAGTTGCTGTCGAGCTTTTGTGTTCTCTGCCTCCACAAGTGTGGTAAACCCAGGAAGGGCATCTCGAAATTCAATCTTCATTCCGCTCTTTGTTGGAATTTCGTTTTCTATTGCTTGTTTGAAACGATCTTGGAGATTTTGGGTCGTACCAGGGAAAGAACCTCTCTCATATTTCTCACTAAAGAGGGCAATAGACTTTGCCTGTTTCAAGACTGTATCAAGGTCGGACTTCCGTGTTGACCTGTCACTTTCGTTCAGTCCCGTGCTGGGTAAACTGGCACTCATCGCTATGAGACCCTGATTGAAATCTAGTACAAATGAGACATTAGCCCGTATGATTGATCCCATATTATGAATGAAAGTACAAGGATGGACGAAGCGATGTTGAAGTATGATTGAAAGAGATGGAGAGTGAAATGTGTGTGAAAGCTTGGTAGAAGTATTCACAAAACCTGGTTGAATGGAAGAAGAGAAACAAGGGAAGGTTCTCGACGTCATTTTCTCGGATTTTACGGTGGAGAGGATGGCGTGTCAAGGTTACCCTCTCCACCCGTAAATTCCCAAGGGAAGGGATGCAGCAGTTGACGTGTTCTAAAGGGTAAACACACTAGAAGCAGATTCAAAGGCAAAGAATCGACCTGACGCCGAGGAAAAAGTCTGTCTCTGTCATGAAGTTGCTAGTCATGGTAGTAGCCTACTCGTAGTGTTCGAACTCTTCTTACCTGCATCCAAGCTCCCAAAGAACTCACATACTACCAGTCATGGGTGTGAAGTTGGGGCTTGTGATCACGCTACACAAATTTCTGGGGACAGTACCGGCCTGATAAACAAGATTCATTGAACCAAAAGGAATGGTGACCCGGGTAGGATCTCGTTCATTACTCTCCCAGCTCATTCGGTTGCACGGATACAAGCAATACAGTCGCCTCATCATTATGCATCATCATTCCTTCATCATCATGTGTGTAAAGCTTAGTCTCTTATCCTGTTGCTTCACCCCGACTGAGACTCGTCGGGTCTCGTTGTGGTTGCTTCTTTAGTGGTGGATAACAACTGAGGGGATCTCCCTCCATCTTCAATGTAGATACGTTCATCAATCAAAGCCTCTCGAAGGCGAGCTAAGGCAAGGTGTTTTGCAAACGTTTGTGCTTCTTCTCGTGTGCTTTCAGCCCTAAGTGGACTATCCATGTCATACGGAAACTTGTTAGTGATTGCAAATTCTGCCCTGTACGGCTCAAGAAGCGCATCGATGGTAGGATCATCATGGGTACCCAAATTTACTGTTGGTTTCCAAGTACCATCTAGCTGTTTAGTGACCTCTACATCCAGTAAGACCTTGGCCTCATGGCGAGCTAATTTCTGTCTCCGACTGTCAGTGAAACGTGTGAGCTTGTCATGTTGTTCTTTGGACAACACCTTAACATTGAGATCGACTCCAACGGTTGGAGATCCGATGGAGGACAGGAGTTTCTTGAATTTTTCCAAACTTCCCGGGTATTGGGTGGACCATGCTAATTTGGTCCATTTGGGGATAGCTTCAGACGCTAACTTGAAAGTTGGCCGGTCCGAATTGGGATCGGGTATCAGGGTGACGCAGGAAGGATCTTCAAGTGAGTAGAGAAGAAAGAGATCTTTAGTATCCCTGTCAATGGTGTTCATCTTGTGTTGTCTGACTATATGTTAGTCCAAAGGGGATTGAATGTTGAAGGGGTTGTTTTAGAGACTTTATATCCTGTTCACCATGGCTATTAGAAGAGTATATAGCCTTCTCTGGTGGAGACTTGAGAAGAAGAGTATCATCATGGGACTAGATTCCTGCTCCACCCGATTTTTTCTTCCTTTCTCCAGCTTCTTCTTCTCCTTCTTCTCAACACAAACAATCTTCTAGCACCCTTAGTACTCCATCGGTTTTCTTGGAGATGTCATGCCCATAGTGTACAGGGATCACGTCATTACGTATGCTGAGTGGAGCACGACTTAGTGTACGAACTCTCAGCCCCACAGAATGGTGGAGGTAGGGGACAGAAGGCAGAGGTGAGGTGGAGAGTTTGGTGAGAATCACCTAAGTGGGCTTCCATCCCCACTTGTTGGGATGAAACATCATACACATAACCCAGCTCGCCAAATTGTTAGCCGGCAATTGGCCTGGTGTTGAGGGAATGGCAGGTATCTTCACCTGCTGGCCTTAGCAGCTAGAGAGAGGTTGTTCGTAGTCCGTGCGTGTGTACTGTACTGAATAGTCCGTTATTTGCTAACGGCTGATGATGATACAGGGGGGTAAAGTGCATGTAGCAAATCACCATGTCTCTATACTTATTGTATCTGTTAAGTGACGGACGGAAAATGTGATTCTTCAAAGCTGCATGGGGGAATTTGTGACGGACTCAAGACCTGACACATAGAAGGGACTTGTCTCTTCCAACACATCCTTCCTTAAACCAGAAGAAAGCAAAGTCTCAGATTGTAGTTTTCAGACCCTTCCCTTTTTGACCGCTAGAATGGGTTGAATCTTGAGATACCTCACATTGTGAGAACAACTGAAGAGGATATTTAGGGGAAGAGGGCACAATGTATGCGTTACGTGACGGACGGAAGCCGTGACGCTTCGAAGCGTCATGGGGGTCAGCGTGACAGGGGCACTTCCTTCTGCTCCGAATTTGAGTCTCATCAATTATCTTTCTTATTGGTGATTAGCAAAGTCTCAACCAACTCAAGGGAGGATCATTGTCTTCGTCGGCAGGGGGAGCGTTGTCCTCCTGTGGGTCTGAGTATGTTATCAGAACTCATTCCTATCCTTTGTTATTGACAAAGTTGACAGATCAGAAGGAGGAGTATCATCTTCATCCATTGGGGTAGAGAGTGAGACTTCTATAGGAGAAGAAGGATCACCTCTTTCCGTAGCTCAGCATCTATATCATCGGCGACCAAGGCAGGTGACTCACCCTCAGAATCCGGCCCATAATCATTGTCATTGTCTCCACGATTGTCATTCTCTTCTTCTTCATCACTTGAATGATCAACTGGTCTATAGTTACGGCTTTGAGCACTTGACCATGAACCTTAAAAGTCAGTGTTCACAAATGAATGGTGACTCACTTCTTTGAATGGAAGATGACATTTTGAAAGATGGACCAACTATGTGTCTGTGGTATTGGAACGGATTGATGGTTGTTGGTGCTATTGGACTCTCCCATGATTGACATGTATATATCTTCCTAGAGGGGTATCAGCTTTGCCAAGAAAAGTGCTGCCTACCCTTACAGATCAAAGAGTACTTCATAGATCTGAAATTGTCAATGGAAATCAGAAGCAATTTTCAAGCTCTCCATCTCTTCAGCTCCATCTGTCTTCTAGAGGATCCCAGATGATAAGAGATAAGACGGTATGGAGGGATTTGAAATACCAGAGAACGGCAGAGACAACCATGTACTAGAGGGGGGAGACAATCAAAAGATCGGAGCATTAAACCATCATCAAAACAAGCGGTTTGTAGAACAATTCTGGACTCAAATTTCACCATGAATGTGGTCAAAAATGCGCCTCATTGTAGCAGGAGATGAAATCAAAGGGGCAATATACATCCTGAGCCTGTCCAACTCAGTTGTCATTGTACATACAGTCAGTCTTCAGCTACCCAATTATGCATGAGGATCAGGTTCGAGAGATGCACAATTGAATCAAGATGGATTCTTCCATGTATCATGTCTTTGGTCCATCATGGATACCCCCATGACGCTTCAGAGCATCACGGCTTCCATCCTTCACCTAACATATGTATACCATCTTTGAGGCCCAAGTGGACCACGAGTTCACAATATCTCTCACCATGTCTTGAGCGAAGTCTGGTGTCATCTGAGTCAATGAGGAAAGATGGAGATGGAATGTCCCCATGGTCACGGTTGTGTCGTGACATCGACCCATGATGTGGTGATATCAACCTAGGTAAAAGTCATTCCTCTCCCTTCTCCTACAGTCGCTTAGTGATGACGCGTGTGGAATCTACCAGACAAGAGTGATGTCACACAGTTTGGGTAGTGGAAGTCTACAAAATTGAAGGCTCGGGCTTCTTACCTGTCCATCACGTCAATATCCCTCCTAGTTTCCGGATCGTCGAGGGGGAAATCATCTAGGGGATCCAAATGCTGATCCGTGCGTCGCGGAGCAATGATCAGGTTGTTGTCCAAGTCGTATTCGAAGTCTAACACATGCATGCAACACGAATCAGATGAGTCACTGGATCTTCAAAGTTGCAAGAGTTAGATATACTTGTAGCCTCACTGAATGAAAATATGTAGTTCATCATATGCATCACACCTTTTCTAAATTCTCAACAATGACATCCACAACCTTCCTCCCACCAGAAGATCTAATCCCAACATTCCCAACCATAACAACCTCACAACCTTCGATTCCGACAAAGATCAGTCACTATCTGAAACCACGATCGGTTCTTTTTCTCTCATATTCCCGACTTTTGTCTTTTTCCTACCTCCTACACTTCTTGGACTGGTCGGACTTGAAGCTGGTCTTTTTATCGAAACCACCCTATCATCTTCTCCAGTTCGTTCATCAACAAAAGCAGATCTTGATTCCTTTGACAAAACCTCCCCATCATCAGAGTTATAGTCGAGATTATCAACCTTCTCTTTAACGTATCTCTTTCTTTTATCCAACTCCACTTCAAATCCCATTTGCTTTCTTTCTCCCTTGACGTCTGTTCTTCTTTCTTTTCTCCCGTATTCATTTTCTCTTCTTACAATCCCACCACCAGTACTTCTCCTTTTTTCATCATCCCTTCTTTCCTCATGTTCATCATTCTGACCCTCTCCGCCATTTCTCCTCCCTCTCCCATCATCTCTTCTTTCCCCTACACCACCATTCCTCCTTTCCCCTCCTTCATCTCTCGGTCCATTTCTCATCCGATCTTGTAACTCGGAATCTTTACCTTTCCTCAACATATCCCTAATCGACTCATGTCCTTTTGCCATCCCACTACCATCTTTACTCTGAACCAACTTATCCTTAACCCGTGGTTTAGTCCGGGCTCCTTTTGTTCCATTACCCAACCTTGACCTTGATTTTCTATCAGCAAAACGATCGTCATTTGATATTTCCGGATGAATAGAAGATGATCCACCGTCTCTATCTTCATTTCGAAGACGCAAGATATAATCGACGTCCTTTTTCGAATCAGTTTCAAGATCATCGGTCCGTCTATCCGGCAAAATGGAAGATGATCGATCATCTCTGTTCATCTCCGTTTTTCGTCGAAGTTCTTCTATATCTTCATCAGAATCGGGTTCATCTGGTAGAGGAGATGAAGATTGTCGAACGTCTTTCGATCGAGAAACAAGGGGAAAATCTTCTTTTCTGACAGGACGCACCTCTCGGATTTGTTGAACATGGACGTCAGAATGTACGTGTCGTCCTGTTCTGAGAGGGTTGAATTCAGGTGTCGTCAAACTGCTCAAAGGTGATTTCTCTGCTTCATCCATTGAAGGTCGGGCTTGAGGGAGTTTGGGTTGATTATGATTCATCAGACGGAAAGGTGGAGCTGAGAGAACAGGTGATTCTAGTGTTTCACGAATATCTTCTTGTTGGACATCCATACTCTGGTCCAATTCGTCCACCTCATCTTCCTCGTTATCACTACCATAAAGTAATTGTAAGTTCTGAGAATGTTCTCCGTGGGGCGCACTACGACCCAACCTACTTTGTGTGGATGAAGCGTGAATGTGTCCCGACTTGGGTATATACTGCGTGAAGGATAAACGAGGGGGTGGGGATTTCTTCCTTTTAGGCGATACATGAGTATGGATATCGTCGTTCTGCATGACGAAATCTGGGTCTGGCTCTACGCTCGAAGTGGGATGAAACCAGGTTTTCGACTTATCGTCATCGGGATCTACTTCGTCTCTGATCGAGGTCGACGGGGATAGGGAGAGACCGGGTTGAGAGGATGACCCCGCTGTGGGTCCGATACGTCGATCAGGTGATTGACGGTGATGAGGGGTTGACTGACGCGGACGGTTAAGTGAAGGTTGTCTCCCTGAATCAATTGGAGGAAGTGGAACAGAGAAATATCGCGAAGTGGTCGAATCAGATGGAGAATCATGGATCGTGAAAGATCGTTGTGAATCAGAAATGTCGTCCAGAGTCATAGGAACATCATGGGCCGGAGCGGGTTGTTTGCCTTTTACTAACGAAGGATCTATCATGTCATCATCCAGATCCATCGGTCTTTCTTCCGAGGGTGTGTCATTGTGGGATAATCTTCGAAACGGTATATGTTCGTTACCCTGTTTCTGTGGTGATCGGGAACGCTGATGCGATCGTTGCATGTCTTTAGAGAGTGGAGATCGAGATCCGGTCGGCCACGAACCTGGCAAAGACGAATTAGGAATCAATACCTCGTCTTTATCATCAACGTGTTGCGAGTTTTGAGGTGTGGATATATCAATGTCAGAGTTGGTATGTGGATTATCGGACGCGGAGAGTCCTATCTGTGGAGGTTTGGAAAATTCCGGGGAGGCTCGAAGTCTAGTAGTGGGGTTCCCTTCATTGTGAGTCTTCGACGGATCGTTTGAATTTTGAACTTCGGGAACATTGATTTCGTCACTGTGATCCTTGTCTTGGACGTCTTTCGAATCAGAAATGGGGAGAGTGGTAGCTTTTATCCGTCTATATTCATCCGCAAGACTGTTTATGGTGACGACCCAAGTTTGACGTAATTGAAGAGCTTCCGACGCTCGCCAAACGGTTTGTAAAAGGGCGTCCCATTGAGGTCTATCGTCCTTGGAGGCATAAGGGACTCTCCGCTGTGAGTCAGCCACGATCCGAAGGATTCCCTACTAGAACCCTTGCGGTAGCTAGGCGGGAGCATAGGATCATACTTGGACGATGCGGGAGACTTTAGTGAGGGGTCAGAGCATGCAACTGATCACTAATGGAATGTGGAGCGGGGAAGGAAATGTGGAGGGGGGATGAAATACAGGAGAACTTGGAAGAAGGAGGACTCGTGCGAAAAATGGGAGGTATCCAATATGGAGGTGACGGAAATGATCACCAACCTGTATGAAAGACAAAACCTCTTGTGGTCGAGATAAAAGTTGTTCGGCATAATGAACGAGATACAACCCACAATCCGATGAATTCGGCTGAAGAGGGACCTATTGATAAGCCGCCACACCTGAAGTACCTTACACTTCGAACAGCCGACACATGCAAAACAAGGAACTCTTTTCAACTACACAGATCAAACCGCGTAGAAACAGAAAAGAAAACCGTCTTGTGAGATCGAATAGAAGAAAGAGACGTGAGAGGCTCAGAGACAATTGTGAGAAACTGAGTGTCACTCACACTAGCTTCAAGATACTGAGCCGACTTGATCGGTACACGACCATCTTTGACCTTGTCAAGAGCTTCAAACTTCAACCATTCGGTAAGACACGTTCCGACGGCTTTGTGAGCTCCACCGAGAGAATCAAATGTCAATATCCAAGTTCTGGCCATTAGTCTGATTGACTTTTTGTCTCCCCCTCAACCTCACTGACCTCCCACCGTCAACTCCGCTCCATCACTTCTTACCCATTTTCTGACTTCGTCTCATTCGCTCGGTCTTCATGCGAGCATTTTTGACCCACACACTTCTACCCGAACTAAGAGCTATGCCCACTGGCCTCAACGACGCCAGTGGGGAAAGAGGTCATGTACTTCCATGAATCAGAGGAAGAGGTCGGGATGATGGACCACTATATCAGAGTAAAGGGAAAATTTGACTCACCCCTCTCCACCCCATACATCATAATCTTCCAACTGCTTCTTCTTCCCAGGGGAAACTTCTGCTTTCTCCTTGACAACCTCTTTCACCAATTCATTCTGCATTTTCACAAAAGTCAAAACTGACGTCTTTATAGGTTGACCCCAAGCCTCATCCGTCTCTGAAGAATTATCATCTATCGACATGTTCTGTACTCCCTTGGACACTTGATCATCCTGGACAAAAGAAGTTTCGCCGTCGTTCGGCTCACTGATAACATCTATAGGATCAATCGATTGCCTAGATATATCCGCGTCATTAGGGGTATCCGTGCCATTGGGAGATTCCGTGACATTGAGAATCTCAAGATCGTCTTCGTCTTGTTGTTTAATGATGGACGATCGGGAATCTGGGATATCACTCGTTGGGCGTCTGTCTGGTGTAGTAGGTGCTAGAGAACCGGTGACAGGACGGTTTGGGATCGGTGGAGGATCAGGATCTGGATTGGGGTTGGAGTCGGGAATACCTAGGATCCCACTAGGGTTATATATGACGGCGAAGTACCAGTGAAAGCTACGTGTCAGAAATCAAGTGACAAGTATACCCGAATGGGCAGAAAAGACTAAGAGGAAGTAGAATCAAAGGAAGCGAAAAGGAATGTCTAGGATGGAAAGGGCGATCTTGTCAAGGATTATGAGCGACAAGAACGTACTGCTCGTTTATGGGCACAACGATGAATTTCTTTTCGAACAAATTCTTCCCTTTGGTCCATTTCCTAACATTGTCATAAGCGGGCCATGAATCTCCATCACGTTTATTCCTATCCGTCAGTCAATCACTTTGAAACCATCGAAAGATATACTTACCTGCCCTTGGCAGATATCTTGTTGTAAAAGAAAGAGTTGAATAAATGAATATTCTCACTTTGTCCAGGTGGTAAATTACTGATGGCATGTCTGCTCATCAACAACACCATTCGCCTATACTAAACTCACCTCAAGCCAAAATCGACAAGGATATCATTAAGGAATTCATGAGCTTCAATTCGCCATCGATCACCTTTGGTGATACTCAGATCGGATCGTCCCGTCAGAGGATACGCAAATAACCTGGAAAGATTAGCCAAAGTGAATTGATCAAAGTCGAGGAATTGATTCACTCTTCGTTCCTATCAGCAGGCAAGGGTAAGAATTGTTCCGGTGCCACTGGACTATTCCGATTGCTATTGGTAACTCCTTGACCGGATATCCGATTGCTCCTTCGACGAGGCATGGATTCAGAGATGGAACTACCGTCAACGATGACCAGAATACCGTGAAAGGAGTGATACATACAAAGCGAGAGTGGTTTGATTATTCTCGACCTCGGGCTTCCTTTTCGTCGTTGCTCTCGGTCTCGAAGGTCCAGCGTCTGTATTACTATCCAATGATGGTCGTCGACGTTTAGGTTCTCTTTGTACATCACTGGAGAGGTGGGCTGTTCGATTATTCTGAGTTGCGGAAATGTTGAATGTCTTCTTTTGGGGTTTTTCAGAGTTCCATGCTCTTGATATCAATTCCTGGAATGGCTCCCAGGTGCTGAGATCAGCTGATGATCAGACATAGGTCACTTACGATGCAGTCAAACATTGTCCATCTCCTTTACTGATGATTTCTGCAAATCTCTCAATGGCAGTCACCGATTCTGAACCAGGTTGTAATTGTAATAATACATCGTGATCGCCACTCATAACCTCTGTTCAAAGTTATTTCATGCTCAGTAATTCAACTTGCTATGAAACTCACTATGATGATCGGGGATCATATTCTCGAGAGCTTTAAGATCTGCGAAATCCTGGATTTTCGCCGTGAGAAAAATCACAGGGTGGCCCGCTTCTGGGCAAACCTGTATATCTGTTCAGCGCGATTGAAGCTATGCGATCTGATGGAGAAACTTACATTGGGTGCTCCAGATATTATCTTGAAGGGTATGTTGACGATATGAGTGCGAGATTTGTTGAATAATGCTACCGCGTCGTTTCTCAACAGCATCCCAGTCACATCCAATCGAGCGTTGTCACACGTCGCACGGACGATCTTGACCTCCAATGATAAGTTCGACGATGGTATAGCTGCAGATTTGACAAGCGACGTAGAAGCGGTATTATGAAATTTGGGACCGGCTTTTGTCCCCTTTGAAATCTGCTTCGTTTCCTGTAAATCAACTTCCACCTTCAATTCACTGTGAATGGACTCACTGGAATAGTCCCATCTTTTTTCATCATGATTTTTGGCCTTCGACCCAACTCCACTCCAGGTATCTTGTTGGATGATCGAACCACTGGTCTCAAATTCTGTGTCTCAACCGGTCTCCGATCTATATCCCAGGCCTCATCGGGATTCTCCACTGGTTCCGATACTTCCGAATTCTCTCTACTCCGCACGAGTGAAACACTATCAACATCGCTGATTCTTTTAACTGGGCTGATACTTGTTTCACTCGTTCTTCCTTTCTCACCATTCTTCTTCGCATGAGAGCCGAAACCACCTCTTCCACGCGAAGTAGGATGACGAGATGGTCCAGCTTCTGGTTCATCGTCGATTTCTACGTACCGTTCTCCAGAAGGTTTACGGGAGTGATTCGTGGTAATTTGAGGAGGTAGCTTGGAGGTTCGAGAAGAGGCGGTACCATTGGGATGTTGTGATCTTCGTTGTTCAGATACACCATGGAAAATCTCGTTTGCTGTCCGTTGGTTCGTAAGTGTGTTACGGCCAGGTGCGTACGGTGCATCCGTTGATTTTCTCCCTGAGGCCTGAGATGTTAACATGACCCTCAAATATACCGAGAATGATTGATGTAGACCTACTCGTGGTTTCTTCTCTATATCCTGTATTCTCCTTTGCGACCCAGGAGTGTAATGACCATTTTCCAAAAAGGTACTGATTACATCAGTTTTCAGTGTTTGAAGTATTAAGAACTCACACTTCTGATTCGTCCGACTTTCTTGGTGCACCACGTGCAGATCTCAGACCTCCATGCACTTGTTCACCTTCCATCCTCCGCATGTAAGAGGGTATAGCACCCACGTTGAGAGAAGTGAGCGGGTGTCGGAGTATCGAATGAGTAAGATTTATAGGTTCGATCGAGGGTATCTGTCGTGGTTGTTTGGGATCAGAAGGTAAGCTTCTAGTGTCAGCTAGTGATTCTCGGCATGAAAGATGAGCTTACTCGGGGTCATAAGATTTGTTTAAAGAGTTCAAGAAGTCGTATCTGGGTTTAGGCATGGGCACCCCCCTATAAGAGGTCCCCTGTCGATATGTCGCACCGTTTGTCACCAATCAAAGGAGAGATCTGGCAAGTTCAATCTCTTATCAATAGTTCCCGATAGTGAGAATGCAGCTGATAGGTTGATATGAGATGAGAAGTAGATAGTGAGAGAGAGGATGAGGAGTGTATAGTGAGAGATGACGCGAAATGGGTGGATAGAGGAGCGGGATCAAATATTTACCATACGACGGCTAACCTCTTTCATACTCAAAAACTGCATACTTTCCTACCTGTCATACATCACCAACAAGCTATCATAGGGAAGGATGAGATGAGTAAGGATGAGGAGAAGCAAAGTACAGATAGTCAATCATGGCCACAAGCTACAAATTACGATTTTACATCATTACCGCGGGAGATATCTTCCTTACCTGGGAACCGTCTATCCGGCAATGAAGACAACTTTTTCAGGAGTGCAAAGTGGTATGTTCTCCGTCTCACTACCTTGCTCTACCATGAACCCTCCTTTTCATATGATACCTCGAGTATGGTGCTCACGAACAGGTGCTCTGACGGGTCGGCCATCTTGACAACTGCTGAAGATCGAACCGTACGGATCATACCCACGTCAGTCGTCTTAACTTACTCCTGGCTGATCTGATTCCTCAACTTACACATGACTGAGTTGACTTTCAGTCCCGGAGAAGAAAGGATCCTAGGCGAGATAAAACACATCCCTCAACCTGATGCCGTGTTGGGTGCGATATGGTACCCCTCAGCTTCTTCTCTCACACCGGAGACATATTGTTTCACGGTTTCCGTTCGAGACACACCAGTTCGGTTGGTGGATGCTACAACGGGATTGGTGAGTTTCTCGTAGGTACCATAGGAGTGAAACTGAAAGAATAGGTAAGAGCGAGTTATCCCATTGTGGATCATCGAGAACAATTCGTGGGACCTCACTCTATGGCTTTTAATACCTCGGCGACAAAGTGAGTTGGTCATTGTCCCTCAACTTTCTTTTCCATCTGTTGATTCAATTCCAACCATTTACTTCGCACGTATATTCTAACTCATACTGTAATCATCTTGTGACAGGTCAAGATCTTTCGTCGGCTCTATTTACTCCAATGATATTTCCATCTAAAGAATCAAGTTGTGTGAAGACGCCCACCTCATCGAGCAAATCATGATTGTGGAGTTGAAAGGCAGAGATGTGAACGGGAAGATAATGAGTATAGATTATATTGCGGTTTTCAAAACGCCATAGAAGTGTTCGACGTCGCTATGCCAGGATACGATACTTCCGACCGGATCAAGACCAGCTTCAATAAGAAAGACCCTGGCGCTCAGAGGGGTGAGTCGACTTGCTCTTCACATTAAACTCCACATCGTCACTCCACAAATTTCCCTCCTTGACGTACACCCCATCTTAAACCCATAGATCTGCTGAGAGACTTACATCTGGTAAGCTACCATTGTGTCTTGACCAAATAGCTGAGATCAGGTATCATCTCCGCTCTTGGGTTCAGCTACGATTATTCAGGTGTATATTCCGCTGGATCATACGATGGGACAGTATCGATATATGACGAAGATGTTAATACTCCTGTTTTACATTTAGAAGGTGTTGAAGGTGGTGGAGTGACTCAAGTGGGTTTGTCCTTCTTTCCTTCTTTCCTTCTTTCCTTCCTTCCTTCTTTCCTTCTTTCCTTCTTTCCTTCTTTCCTTCTATCCTCGTATCCCTTCCACCTCATATCATACCCGTCTACCCCCAATGATGACGCATTCCGTGCAACAATTGATACCATTCTCCTTGATTCGTAATCAAAAACATCCCCTCTTACTCGGAAAACTCTGACAAGAGATTCACAGAGAGTTCCAAGATTACCATCATGAGATCTTTTCACAGTGAGCGTGTAATGAGGATGAAGCAGATAAGATACTGTGGAGATACATCCTGACAATCAGACAACATTCCATCCTCTTTCTTCTCAAATACTATTCGTAGCTTCACGCAGATCAACCGCCATACAAATATTTGATCTTCGGAATCCTCTAAAACCAATCTTATCACTCCCCCGAATGGGAAATACCAACCAACGTCTTAATTTCGATGTCGATCCTTGGGGTAGGTATTTGATAGCTGGTGATGAAAATGGGTTTGTCAAAGTTTGGGATATTTCTCAAGGTGGGAATGAAGTGACTCTATTCGAAGAGAAATTACATGATGGTGAGTTAGTTTGACTTTTCTCATTGCTTCCTCACTCCTGATGATCATGAGACAAAGTAAATATTGCAATAATGCTAGGATCCCGAACTATGAACCCTTTCCTCGGTGTTGTTATCGTTCCCTCCCCCGTATGACATCATTCTGCCTTCAATTCTGTTTTCCCATATGTCTCCTCATCGTCTGCTCTTTCAGTATCATTTCATCCAAATCAGTCATCGGGGTTCTATTTTGATTTCCCTGGATGACCTTCCATGTTTCTACGTACCTGATAATGTCTACCCTTCACTTCTCTCGACCTCATCAATGACAACAAACCATCACCTGTCTTATAATCTGACCAATTCAAACATACCATCTTCACCTAATCTCTTCTTCGCTTCACTCCGTTAATCAAGTCCATGTCTATTGTGCATAAACAAACCTATGTCCATTGTGCATAATCAAGGCCCTTGTCCATTGTGCATCCACTCTCCTCTTTTCAGCAAGGAAAGAAGATCAAAAGAGAAAGAAACAGACTAACACTCAGCTCCAATCCCTTCAACACAATTACATCCTTTCTTCCCTCGTCTTCTCACTATCTCAGGTACCAGACGTTGTCCAACTTCCACTTCTTTCCCCTCAACCTCAACCTTAAATTCAACCAACTCCGACTCCGACTCCGACTCCGATTCCGACTTACCCGACTCCGACTCACCCGACTCTTCTCATTATATTTCCGACTCCGACTCCGACTCGGACTCTGACTCTGACTCTGGTTCGGACCGCAATTCGAACTACAAGACAAAATCAAAATCAAGACCAAACCCAACCTTCCACTCTATATCCGAAATAGATTCCCTTTCATCCGATCCTATACGTTCAACCCACTCCCCGGTCAAATCTCTCAACAGGTTGTATCAACCTTCAACCAAGCATGACTCTCTCCCTAAAGAAACGATGATCACCAACCCGGACAATGAGACCAGCTCATCGGACTTGTTACATGGTACCAGGAGTCACACCGTGGATTTACAAAGTGATGGTGTCGACTATGGACACAAAGGGGTAAACGCACGGATGGAGAAGAAAAGAAGAGATAATGTCAGATTGAAAATTTGGTCTTTGGACTCTCAATGTTGATGAATCCTCTTTACATTTAATCCAAATCCATTTATTCATGTCAAAGGTAAAATCTGTCTAGGTAGAACCTGTCTAGGTAGAACCTGTCTAGGTAGAACCTGTCTAGGTAAAATCTGTCAGGTCATTTCAATCATCTTTTCTATACCCTGACCACTTTCAAAGTCAGGATCGGTCGGGATTATGAATATGAAATTCTTCTTTCCATCGTCATCCTTTCCGAATGCTTTGATGGCTTGAATGAACAGTTACGTTATCCAAAAGCTTTCAACAATACTTGATCACACTCTCGACTTATGGAAAATCTCTTCTCGCTTAAATATAACTAGAAATGTACGTTGAATCCATCCTGACTTAAATCTTACTATACCAAGTATATATATAAACCCAATTATCGATGGAATAAACCATTAGAGTGATTATAGTATAGTATAGTACTCTCTGGTATTCGTATTCCATGTATGGTACATGTGGTAATGATAACCTGACTATCTATCTGTAGATTAATCAAAAAGAATCATCATAACCGTGTTCCCCACTCCACCAGTAGATATATGTACTCGTACTTGTATAATCAAAAACAAAGTAAGTTCATCACTTCATGAATCATCCATAAACTGTATGTAAAATGTAAAGATGTATTGATATACATCAAACAGATTGTCAAACGAAAACAAAATAATAATAATCGATAAACATATCAACTCATCCCATATATCCTCCAAATCGCCCATAAACCAATCAAAGAAACTAAAATCATACTACCGCTAAAACGTATCAACCAATCACCTAATTCATCATGTAAATCTTTCATCTCTTTAACTTCTTCACATACTTTTTCCAACTTTTCACCTAGGATGGTAATGTCGAATTGTTTAGAATGAGATTTAGCTGAATATTTCAAAGATGTACGGGTTGAAGGTGATAATGATATTAAATAAAGTAAAGCTTTTGACCAGATTTCAGGATTGGGTGGTATTAAAAACCCTGTTCCTTTTACTCTTTCTTCTTCTTCTTCTTCTTCTCTCTTCCTTGTATTTTTAGCTCCCTCTATATCTTTTATATCCTTTTTTCTCTGATCTACTACCCCTTTTGTGTTTTTGGTGTTATCTATCATTCCTTTTGCTTCATCTTGTAATACTTTCGTTTGACCTTCCCAACTATCTGGATCCTCAACCGTTCGTATGGTATCGTTATCATGTTCTGAATCTTCACCTTTCAATTCTTCGAATGAGTCAAGTTGTAGGGTTGTGTTCATGACAGGTGTTTTGGAGGATGTTCCGGAAAGTTGGATGGGGAAAAAAGACATGTTTAAATTGATAACAGTCTCTTTAGGTCCACCGGAATCCACACAGATGATAGGTACCCCACATGCCATAGCTTCAAGTGGTACAATACCGAAATGTTCGTTGGAAGGTGTGTATAATAATGCCAAGGTATTTGGGGAATTGAGTAGGTAAGTTCGTTGGGAGGTCGTAAAGTTGAGTAAGAAGATTATTTGAGATTTGGATGATTGAGGATTAGGTTGAGAGGTTGAGTTGGATGAATTCGGATTAGTTCGAGAGGTTGCGTCGGATGAAAGATTGGGTTGAGAGGTTGAGTTGGATGAGAGATTGGGTTGGAAAGTCGAATCGGAAGAAAGAACAGAATAATTCAATCGTAGATTATCGCATAGTGTTTTCAAAGAAGCAAGCGTTTCACGATTATCAAAAAGAGAAGGATCGTAACCTCCTTTATTATCAGCCCAACTCATTGAAAAACCTAATATATCCCTCAGATATCTTGGAATCTCTTCATCAACTGATGGAAGTGTCCTTTACATGATTGGATTTTGACGATAAATAGGATCGGTAAAGTTCTCATCGACAAGTGAGTAGGATGTGATATATCATACAGGGAATAGGGTAGGAATGACCCCATAACAGGTATGGAGAGAGATGATGAGTTGTAGCCTGATAAGATATGGAAAAAGAATATGGAAAAGACATACCAGCAATCACCAATCGCAACGAGTTGAATGTATCCGATGAGAGAAGATGATCATCTCGAAGTTTGGCAAATGATTTAATAGCTAAAGCAACGTTTTTCTTAGCTTCGAATCTGTTTAAAGAGATGAAAGTCGGTCGAGAGCTGTTCATCAACCTCAACTTTCGTTTCTTATCTCCCTTCCTGAACTTTCCAAAAGAGATATACGGATGAAAGAAGAGCTTGACATCTCTCATGACTCTTTACAAACTGTCCAATAGATATACGCGGATCAAAAAGAGTTTGACATATTGAGCTTCGGAGAATTCTCCACCATGAAGATGCGTTTCAGATAAGACTTCGAAACGATGAGACTTGGTTTATAAACTTCACTGGCAGCTAACAAACAAACCAGCACGGTGTCCCAGCCAAATTGGTTTTGTACCGTTCAGGTTTTCATGTCAGATGCAAGTATGATACCCAGATGAAGATAAGGTTGAAAGGAAAGTCCAACATATCAAACTTCGATAAACTATTCAATACCAGGCAGGACCCGGATTAGAGAGGGATTTGACATATCAAGGAGTAGGTACAGTTCAAAGGGAGAAGTGAAGAGGGACATACGACATTATCATTTTAACTCCTTCATCTTTCTCCGCCAACTCAGAGTTGGTATGATAAGCTTTTAAGTCGATACATGGATAAATTACTCTTGGAGGTCGGTTCGATAATGATGGGAAAGCTTTACAATAGATTTAGAAGTGAATTGAGAGTTTGAAAGTATTATATCTGCTTGACCTGGATTATTAATATTCGTACTCTTGCTCAATTCAAAACTCCCTTCCCCTTCCCCTATCACTTTCCCCCTTCCCCCTCTGTCCTATCAATTAGTATACTGATATCGGTGGTGAATTAAATGGTTTCGTCCTTCACAATCCCTGACATTCGCACACACAACATGGAGTTGTTCAATATTCCAATCCCAGTTTACTACCTGGTACTTTTCTCATCCAAGTCATTCACTTTAAACATTTTAACCCGTATACATCAATCCTGTGAGACGTGATGGTTCGATTGGCAAGATATAAGGAGGGAGAGTGTGATTTGAATAATTTCCAGTAACGGGTTGAATGAAAATGGAGAATCAAGAACAAAGAAAAGGAAACTGACCAGTGGTCCATTCTTCCAATTTATCAATAGGCCATCTATACAACTTCTTTTTCCAACTTGTATTTCTTTTCAGCCTCACCTCTTCTCCCTTCGTTACCTCTTTCTCCCCTTTCGTTCTCTCCCCTCCTCCATCTACCATCCCTCTCATCCCTTCCTTATCATTCTTTACCCGTGTCTCCTTTCCATTAACACCGCCGACACCGCTAAGATCGGTGAGACGATCCTTTTGGTCGGAAATAGACTCTATCTCCCATCCTCCAGATAACAACTTATCAGGAAAATGACAATAAAAAACCACCCTGGTTCCTGTTCCTATCCTCAATAAAGGTACGCAAACACTTTGTTGATCCACTATGAAAACGTCGAATTTCTTCAATGGTGATAAAGGGTTGAAAGCCGATGCTGGACCGGGTAAGATGAGTGATATGATGAGTAAGATGGTGAGTAGGAGAGAACGTAGGATTGAGAAGACGATAGTTAGAGGTAAACGGGGATGTAAGAGACGAGGTAGGGAAGAACCTAGTACGTGGACTTTGAGTGTACCTATGTTCGTTCAGTGGTCTTTTCTAACTTTGAAGGTTTCTTGGGAAATTTTAACATCTGTATAACCAAGTAGGAATACGATGATGGTTTATTGGTAGTTGGAATGGGGGTAACCGTCACGGGGAATTACCATACTGGAATAGATTGAGTAAAATGGGAAGATTTGAGGGTATGAAATGTGGTAGAGCGACAGAGTCATGTCATGTATGAATAGGCAGAGTCGACCGAGGGGTGAATGACACAAGGTGGTAGTGTCAAGGGTGGAAGAGTGAGCATGGAGGTGAGTGAGTTGGGAAAGTGTATAAAGCTATATGATAGAGAAAACTCACCATCCCTAGTCTCCTCGAAACATCTCGAAGGATCATGTCGACTGGTGAACATGACGACGTCATGTCCTCTTCTCTGAAGTGATATAGCAGCGTCCACTACGAACCTTTCCGCTCCTCCTGATACGTCAGCAAGGTGACAAATATCTGAACCTGCTAGTCCAACCTGTAGCTCCTCACGGGCAAGACCATCCTCCAGCCAAAGGGTCATAATCAGTCAGCCAGAGCTCGGGTGATGGTGCTTTTATCGGGTGGTGAAGATGAGTACGGGAGAAGGGGCAGAAGTTGGATAGGTGAGGTGAACTGACCAAGACCCAAGTCAGGATGTATGAAACCTATCCTCATTTTACTCTCTCGCTGCTGATCGTTCATATGTATCTCTTCGTCATCAAAGTGGACGTGTTCGCTATTCGATCTTGGGTGATCGTTATGTGGGAAGACCATTTAAGGTGTCAAATCTCCACTGACATTTCTATACGACATTGTTGCGGGCGCCAGCTCGCAAAGTATAGGGGTGAACATGACTCGAATTTCAACGTAACTCCTTCTCCCCATTACTCACCCGTCACACCTCCTATGCTCTCCAAACTACCACCATTAGACTCAGGGAGTCCATCTCCACAGCTCCATATGTTTTAATGCATGCATGGAGGGCTGTAACACCTTCACTGAGAAATTGGTCAAAACAGGGACTTTACGTAAGCTTAGTCGTCCAAGTGCTGCAGATCCCATCCTGCTAGCTCATCCACTCCTTACCTTGACTTCAAGTTGGGCCTTCTTATCCCCACTTTTTTCTGCCCATCCTAATCTATTGGTTCTCCGGGCTACACATTCACAGGGGCTGAGTTTTAGCAAATTCACAAAGAGGAGATTGTGAGGAAACTGGTAGGTCTTCCCTTGCCCTCCTCTCAAATCACTTCAATCAACATCATTGGCTCACTTGGTAGAGGGGTTCAGTTGGTAGCTCTTCTTAAAGTTGACTCTACTCTTCACAGTTGCCCATCCTCAGATCTCCAATCTCGAGTCCTCCCACAACTCAGGACACGCCCGCTCACATCGCCTCCCGAGTCGATCGCCTAGTCATTCACTCATATCATATAGCGAACACCTTGCTAGCACCCTTCTTCATCATACAAACAAGGAGTCGACCAGGTCACATAGGAAAATCATAACGGAGAGACCGCTGCTCGCTGGTGCTACACGACATGGCTTCTACCGCTCTGCCACTGGTAGGGTCATCAAAACCTCATCCACCCATAACCATCCTCAAAAGAGCCAGGACGGATCAACCTTTATCGTTGACGAAATTCGCTAAGAAGACTGCGAAAGGGAGGGTGTTGAGTGGTCAGTCTCTCTCTCTCTCTCACTGTCCCCTTCATCACTTTATCACTCCCCTCCCCGTAGATACATGAAAGACCCCCTTCCCTCACCAGGTCGAGATTTACATACTGACCACCCCGCTGACTCTCTCAGTCCTTCGTGAACGTTACGTCAGAGATGATATCCCATGCGGTTTCTCATCTTGTCAATCATGTTCTCCATTCCCAAACCAACGTCCCGTCTTACCTCTCAAAGGTTATTTAGGTCATACAACTTTGACATCAACCTGTGGTCATTATTTAGTCATCGATACGAATATAGTTCTACATCAGGTAAATCTCTTCCCTCCTTCTCTGACCCTCCAATTTCTGCAGCTGGTCATCTGTTGGAATACGTAAGGGGAAAGGGGGAAGTGAAAAATGTAATTGGCTGACATTCAAAAGATGGATCTCCTAGCTAGTCTTCCTAATGAATTACCAATAATCTTACCATCAACTACGATCCGTGAAACTAGACATAGATCTTTACCACTCTATAACCGATTACAACAGTTGATTCAGGATGAAAGTAAATGTGTTTGGGTTTGGTGGAATGAAGAAAGAAGAGAAACTGCTACTTATCAAGATGAGGTAGAAGGGAAGGGAGAAAGTGTTAATGATAGGAATGATCGTGGTGAGTCTACTTTTACATAATTATCCACGCCAATCAAACCCCTCCTCTCAGACGTCCTCCCTCCTTCCTCACGCAACGCCCTCTGCCCAGGGTGGAGACCGTAAGCTAGAGTGTCAAGTCACGCCCTCGGTCTGAAGTGATAGAAACGATGTTGACAGTTTAGCTATAAGGAAAACCCTTCATTTCTACACTGATCATCTCAAATCTTCCGTAAATTCTCCACCTCTTTTAGTCCTGCTAAGTGACGATAAACGTAATCGAGAAATAGCACAAGAAGAGGGATTGGTAGCTATCTCCACTAAAGATTATGTGGATGGATTGAATATCCAAGAGAGGGAGAAATTGGTAGATCTGGTCGTTGGAGGTGTGGAAGAATTACAATCTGGAGAACAGAGAGGGAAGAAGATATACGATGATGTGAGTTCAGTCCGAGAGTCACTTGATTTCTCCTTCCCCCGTTCGGTTGTTTTGTACAGCCAAGAGCTGTTCGGAGGTTGTCTGATGACATCTGTCCCGTGTTATTTAGAGCTGGTTGAATTGAGAGCTGACCAGAAAGTACCTACCACAAGACGTGTTGGTGGCTGGCGTAAAGACCGGACGGTATCATCAGGGACATTTCAGTGCTAATGCTTATAATTATCTGGAGGTGGGTTCATCTTACTCTCTTCAAACTCCTCTCCGCTTTAGATCTCATTCCAAGCTTGAATTCTTTCTTTCACTATCGACTTCGCCGCTCACCAGCTGGCCTGCTCATGTCTCGCGCTCACACGAATTATAATCCTCCTTGCATTCGCGACCATTACTTCTCATAAAGCCTGATCCCTGTCGTCTATCTCATGTGTCTCATTGGAAGGAATAGTTTTGACAAATAGGGCACTGTAAACGTACCAGGTCTAGACAAACCAGTATTGTTAGTGGGAAGGGAGAACATGAATAGATCCGTTCAAGGAGACGTGGTGGTAATTGAGATCTTCCCTAAGTCTCAATGGAAAGCTCCTGGAAGTGAAGTCTTGGATCAAGATGGTGAGTTCACTGTTGACCTACTTCGGGGCTGATAAGTAGACGCATTGAAGAATGACGATGCGGAAGACGATGAAGGTGCTGGTCTTCCAGATGAAGAGAAGAAAGAAGAAGAAGAAGAGAAGATGGATGTGGAGGAAAGTACTAAGAGGAAACCAAAAGATGTGCTACCTACTGGGAAGGTGGTAGGTGTTATCAAGAGGAACTGGAGGGCGTAAGTCTTTGTTTCACCATTTCACACTTGGTCTTTCCCTTGACCTTCCGTGCGCTCCCACCTCTTCGCCCGACAATATCATCACGATGCAACCCACGAAGCAGGACGATCCGACATCATCCCACTTACCTCATCACCATGAATCATTTCTCGTTGATTAGAATTTATCGTATCTCACTTCAATCATCAAAATAAATACAAACTGATCGCTGATATTCAGCTACGTATGTCATATAGATCGTTCTTCCCTATCTGCATCGTCTCTAACATCTCTTTCTCAACAAACAATATTCGCAACACCTCTATCACGTACATTACCACGTATACGTCTACGTACCCGACAAGCACCATCGTTACTAGATCAAAAAATCCTAGTTACAATCGATTCATGGTCTATTAACTCTCGTTATCCTGATGGTCATTTCGTTAGATCGTTAGGAAAAGTAGAAAGTAAAGAAGCAGAACAAGAAAGTTTGTTATTAGAATATGAAGTACCATATAGACCTTTTGGGAAAGCTATCTTGGATTGTTTACCTTTAGAAGGAGAGGATTGGAAAGTACCTTCAAAAGAAGAAGGGGATGTTATATGGAGGGATAGAGAAGATTTAAGAGATTTGATCGTTTGTAGTATCGATCCTCCTGGTGAGTTGTTCATTTAATTTCCTACTTCACCAATACTTTTGATATTACGAAAGTCCCTACCTGTATTTGAGCCATTCCACTTGTTTTCATTATCTGTAAGCGAACGCTGTGGCTATCAACGCGTCGACGACACGGTGTGAAGTAAATCGCGTAGTATTGAAGTACGAATAGGTTTGTTGATTGAATGTTGGTCTTTCTCCTCTTTGAAGAGGATTGAGACGGTTCGGAGCGTTCATGAAAAGGGAAATTTGGGAATAATAGCTGATATTCAGCTTGTCAGGATATAGATGATGCCCTTCATGCGAGAGAATTACCAAATGGGAATATCGAAGCTGGTGTTCGTGAGTTCTATCATACCATCTATCTTTACTCTTGGTTTCCATCCCCTGTAATGGAACTACCTCACCTCCCCCTTTCTCTCTTTCGTCGGTGTTTGCTTCATCCAAACCAAGACATCTGTCCTCTTATCACTGAAGTGAACTCTGGCAGGCAATACCCCTTCCCTATACCTGAGCACAATATGTCATTCAATTCATCTGACTTCTTCCTCCTGAGGCCAACTCCATCAACTCAAGTACTCTACGTTCTCCTTGCTCGGAAGACCACTATCGTCCTAGTTCTCCCTCTTCACCATGCTTAAACAAATTCTTTTGCTTCCGAGTTCATCATACTCGATCTTTGGTACCCTTCAGTGCAAGAAATCTCCCCCGTGTCATCTTTATCATATCAAGTTATGATCATCGGCTGACAGACAGATATCGCAGACGTATCCCACTTTGTACTCCCTGACAATCCAATGGACTCAGAGGCAGCTGCGAGAGGCACAACTGTTTATTTGGTGGATAAACGAATCGACATGTTACCAGCTCTGTTAGGAACTAATTTATGTTCTTTGAGACCTTTTGTGGAACGGTTGGCTTTTTCTGTGATTTGGGTGAGTTTGAATTTTCCTTCGTTGTATGATACAATTTGATTCGGACCATTTTCTGGGGTTCTTGGAATCGTTATGGTGATTCGATTTTCTCCAGGAGTTGGAATGATAAGTGTCCTTGAAGTGTTCAAATCGATTGTTCGCATCCCCCCTCGGGCACTCGACGACAAAATGATTTGGAGCCGTCATGGCGGATCACAGCTCACGGAGCGTTCCCCATGCACTTGCGTGGTGATGATCCCGGGTCGTCATCAGCCACCGCAACCCCCCCCCCCCCCCTCCCACACACACACCCGGTGAGGCGACATCGCGATCCCCAGTCATCATCAGCAAGCACAGTTCGTGACACAAGTGTATCTGGTAATACCATGGTTCATGCCTCCAAGTAATCTACTGAGACTGACAATCAGGAACTCACACCGGAAGCCGATATTGTGAATGCCAGATTCACCAAGAGTGTTATTTCCAGTAAAGAGGCTTTCACCTATGAAGCTGCTCAAAACCGAAAAGATGATCTGTGAGTTTCCTTCTCTTCCTCATCAATCTCCCTTTCTCTAATCTACCATTTGCACCAGTCGAATTTTGCTCGAGCATGTACAACATCCACCAATCCGTCTACCAATTGAGCGAATCTCCAGCACTTTCCCTAGAGTGGTTTAATTACTAGTCCAAATAAACAATCACTCACTTTCAGATCACTCAATGACCCCCTCACTCAATCAATCCGTCTTCTCAATTCCCTAGCTATCAAACTCAAATCAAAACGTATGAAAGCAGGTGCCTTATCACTCTCTTCACCCGAACTTAAAATACATCTCGATTCTTCCGAATCGGCTGAACCTATCGACGTGGAACAAAAACATCAAAGAGAAACTAATTCTCTAGTTGAGGAATTCATGTTATTAGCCAATATTTCAGTAGCAAGTAAAATACAAGAAACTTTTCCAGGTACTGCTGTTTTAAGAAGACATTCACCACCACCTAAAACGAATTTCGAAGCTTTACAAGATGTGTTGACGAAAAGGAAAAATATGGGTTTGGACGTTAGTAGTTCTGGAGCTTTGGCGAGATCTTTAGATGCTTGTGTGGTGGGTTTTCTACTCTTTTTTTTTAATTATCATCTGTGTCTTTCCTCGTGTGAAATAGAGGTCCATTTCGGGTATTTGGTGTGAGACGACCCTCGTACCTTTCCACCGTATTCGTGACCATTGTGAAATTCGCTTTCATAATCTTTATCGTGTTGACAGGTGTCGCGAGTTCATCGTCATTGCTGTGTATCGTGTTGATTGTCCTTGTGGACCCACCATTCGTACTCTCACGGTGTTGAGATGTATTGTACCATCGAATTTGCTCTTCACAATCATGTTCGCAGCGTTGGATTTGTCGTCTTGAACGATTTGCTAATACTCAGGATCCCAATGAACCGGAATTTAATACCCTGGTTCGAATCATGGCTACTAGATGTATGTTAGCAGCGGAATATTTTTGTTCTGGTAGTGTTACAAAAGAATCCTATGGACATTATGGATTAGCTTCAAAGATTTATACGCATTTCACTGTGAGTAAAGTGTCTCTTTTTTCCTTTCATGTTTTCTCTTGACCTCACGATTCCATCTCGATATATCCCGCCAATAGAATTCCTCCCAATCCACTTTTCCCTCAGAATTCTCACACCCTCCCCGCTCGCATCTCGTCTCTTCCCCTCTCTCTACTCTGCCATCACAATATTTTTCAGCACACTTTATATGCAAATTTCCTCCCCCTCTACCTCTCCATTCAGATTCCTCTCGCATCCTACTTTGCCATCATGCTTTCTTAGACTTGACTCTCCATCCAAAAACCCTCTCACTTCACTACGCCTGTGACACCATTCTTCAGTCCATACTACTCCAGTCTACGAATTCATCTTTCAGCCCGTCCTTCGACCAATAACTCTATCCCAGTCTTTTTCTAACAAGTACAAATGAGGTCCAAAGTGAGAGAAAGTTGGTAAATGCTAATACCCAGTCCCCGATCCGTCGGTATGCAGACGTCCTGGCTCATCGACAACTCGCAGCAGCTATAGGATATTCTCCTCTTCATCCTTCCCTTCAATCCAAAGCACACGTGGAAAGAGTTCTCACTGTTGTCAACCGACGTCATCGGTTGGCGCAAATGGCAGGTAGGGCGAGTGTGGAATTTTACGTCGGATTAGCTTTGAAAGCTCGTGGAATGGCCAAAGGTCAGGGTGAAGAGGGAGAAAATGGTTGGACAAGAGAAGAAGGGTATGTCATAAGGGTTTTTAAGAATGGTTTAGCTGTGTTTGTTTCTTCGTGAGTTTTTCAACTTGCGATTCTATTCTTCACTCTTGTCTTGGCTCATCTCATTGTACACCTTGGATATCTGGTCTATCATTAATCATCTTTCCATCGTTGATGGGCGTTCACATTTCTTCATCGCTCAATGCCGTCTCTCCGTGTTCCGATACACCCGTGGGTACTTCCTGACAGGAATTACAATGCTCCCTTCGGCAAAAGACATCCCAGGGAGTCGAAAGTACGGTGGAAGAAATCAAAACGAACCGGTTGAATCGTGTGCATGGAAGTGATCGAGAAAGGTCTCATGGCATCTCGAGGAAGCTGCTAATCCCAGACTCGGTCTAGAAGGACTTATCACCTTGGACAAAGATACACATACATTCAACCCTGAAGAATATTCACTTTCTTTCCCCTCTTCCTCCCAGACCGGTCAGATGTCAGAAATAGAGGTCGCGGTGTTCGACAAGGTCGTAGTTGACGTCGGTATCGAAAAAGACGTTAATACACAACGTGGAAAGGTCAAGATGGTACTCGTGAAACCTATCAGTTCGATTGGGTTGTGATGTGTGCGTGTGATGGGGAGTGATTTTGGTCCTTGATATGCATCTCATCTCGGATTTGAAATGGGTAAATACCAGTGTATGATGCATGTACGTACGGGTGATCCTGTATGACCGTTTTGAGATTTCAGATCACCACGGTCTGCTTCTCATACAAACTATCTCTTGTCTACTCAGAAGCTTGTTTAGGCCACCCAGGAGACTTGTGTGAGATGCGCTCACATCTCCGCACCCTGCAAAAGGTTCTTCAGAGAAACAATTATCATGCCACTGGCTCAATGTACGTGACAGATGAGAAACCTTGACACGTACATAGATGGATCACACCAATAATGTGGATGCACTACAAGGACTCGAGTAGAACAGAATAGAACAGTCAGATTGACTCTCTCAAATTCATTCGTCACTCATCATCATCACGAGTATCATTCCTTCTGTCGGGCCAGGTATCTACTTCACGTTAGAAACCTATAGTGAGCGTTTGCTTACTGGGCGTTATGACTTTCTAGACTAGGCATCAGGTAGTGTACTGGTAGTTTCCGTCTCTGCCCCAGAAATTTTTCCCGGCACCTCCTCGTGTGAGATCAGAGACTCATCTAGGCTTTGTTGATGGAAATGCACGGCTTCTGCGAGCTGACCGTATGTCATTGCCTTCCAATCTAACTCAGTGAATTGGCTCATAGCGGCTTCTACCGCTACTGACCTTACTTGCGTATCAGAGAGTTCACTGCTCATTCTTGTTCTGTAATCTTGATTAGTACTGGCCTGCTGTTGTCGTATCTCCTGAAAGGCCTTTGTGGCCTGTTTAAGTGGTTTCCTGCATTGAAAGGCGTATTTTAGGTCTGTGAGGTAATCCATACTGCCCTCAATGCTGCACATTATGTCAAACACTCTCATCTCCGTTGATAGCATTTGGAGGTGTATTTTAAACCATGATAATCTCCAAGCCGTTTTATAGCCCCAATATGTGGAATTGCCCTGTGGGAGGTCCAGTGAACCAGGTGTTTCTGCTGTCCTATCTTGGGGGGGGGCTGAGTATGTGTTTGTATACACTTCTATGAGATGGTTTACAGTGCTAAAGACCACTTTATGATAGGCATGGATAATATGAATGAGATCACAGGCGTCAGTAATGATGTTCTCCTCCTTACTAGTTCTTGGTGCATAAAACGTTTTCCTAGTCTTTTCAAATTCAAGAACCTTGTCCATAATAAATGCCACAGCTTTGTGAATGTCTGTGACAGCGGTCTCGGCTGCATCTGTGAGAGCTCTCAGGCTGAGTGGTTTCAGATATGACACTGCTATTATCTCCCCAGCACAATCCGGGTCTCTCCAATCATTTGGCCCGATCTGGCTTGATTCATTCCTCATCTCACCTAGAAATTGATCGCTTAGTAGACCTTCAGGAAGAGGAGGAAGGGTATGGATGAGGTCCGTGACAATGCGATGTTTGCCGTCGACTCCCCTTACTATCATATGATGACAGGTCTCAAGCGCAGATTTGAGGACTTCAGTTTTTTGCTGTTCAGAGAGGTCTCTCCAACTTTGGAAGGTGTCTGGCCCGACCCCCGGAGAAGAATTGTCGGGATGATCCACCATGTCTGACATGATAGCTTGGCTTCAACAATATATCCACTGTGATGTGAATTGTGTATGTATGATGGGGTGTGTGAGAAATGGAGATGGATTGACATGGCTATACAGGTTGTGTTGAAAAAGAACAAAGGGGAAATTGGAAGAAAGGTGAGATGAAGAAGATGAAGATTCTAGTTGTTTAACCCCCGAACCCGTCTCCCCGGGCCCCTTCTTACCCTCTTGCCCTCTACCCGTCTCTCCGTCTCTCCGTCCTCAAAGTTGAATCTTGTTCCCTTCCGTATCCACCATCTCCTTTAGAATCTGCCAGAAAAGTTGTCATTTCCTTCTCCAGACCACGAACTCTCAAAAGAAGGGAACAGACAGGTCAGGCAACGGTGACATCCATGATCAATTCAGTCAGTCGACGTCCAAATCGGTCCCGTGTCTATTTGTCTGGCTCACGGATATCTATGACAGATTCTTCATAGTCATAATCCTTTCAATCATTTTCTTCTCCATTGTCTCGTTCCCGTTACGATATATCCCCCTTCTCCGTTCACAGCTGATCACTAATTCTTCTTCCCATGATCCTACAACATTTCCGTGTCCCTCATCGATCTCTGTCTTCCTTCGCTCTTCTACCCCATAACATTTTTGATCTTTACTTCTTACATTTTGGTATCACTATGTCTCCTATTTCCTATACAGAAGCAGCCCGTTTTCATAGTCGTCTTGTCAAATGCATTTACTCTTCACTAAGCATATCTTTTGTCACTCAATCTCATCAACTTACAGTCTCTTTAATCTTCTCCCTCACTAGACTATCTACAACATCAGTAGGTTTGCTCCCTGCAAGGCCCTACAGTCTAAAGCTCATAGACACAGACTATCTTCGATGTCTGGTAAGAATCTGTTAGGTGCCGTATGGAAGACATGCCACTTCAAAGCTGCACGGGTCCTGAGACCCCTTTACGTGCCAGACTGAAGATCTGTGCCACTTCAGAGCTGCACAGGATTGTCACGAAGTGACAAGACAGTTTGATAGTGATAGTGATAGTGATAGGATGGGTTGGGTATTTAACCAGCAACTGGCGGTTTGCAGTAACTGCCGGTTAATAGGCCTTTTAGCGCAGTGGTTTAGACCACTGTCTCTGAAGGGTACTGTTATATCGTCCCAATGCTGGTTAGTTGATCTCGTGACAAGGATGAAGTCATGAGTCTTCGAAGAGTTACATCTTCTGGGTCATGCAGCTCAGAAGATTTGAAGTTTCTCAAACATCACTGGCCAAGACTGACTGTAGATCAAGCATATGATACTTGAAAGTAATTATAAGGAGACTACCGCAAGAAATCTGGCAAATACATGCATGGGAGGAAGAAAATTTATGCAGGAACCTTCATCTTGTGTAGTGAAAAGCGCAAGCGTCTGATCAGTCACTCCCTCCTCTTTTTGACAGAGAACCAACGAGGACCATCTTATTACAGCTGTGAAGTTGTTTAGGACCTGCAAGTGTTTCCCATAAAATGGTGATCCTTCTTCTGTGGGTCATATCTTCAGTCTGGCACGGTCAGACCCATGACACTTCGAAGTGGCACGTCCTCCGTACGGCACCTAACATACGCTTGTACGCAGCTACGGCATATTTCCCTTCGTAGGGTGTAGAATTCAACGAAGCTTGGGTTCAAGCGTGATGGGACAGAGAGTAGAGGGTGAGAAAGGTTGTCAATAGGGGAGAGAAAGGAGAGTCAATGGAAAGGAGAGTCAATTCATCCTATACCTCCTACCCCTCCCCACCTGCATCACTCAACGTGGCGACTTGATCGGGGACAAATTGCCCAAAGGGGAAACAGGGAAAGCAGTGTCGTCGTCAATGACAATGCAGGCCTCACGGCGGACTTTTGTACTGATTCCAACCTTTGTTTTTGGTGTATTCCAATAGTGGTGAGAAGGATTTATAAGCAGTCCTCATTACTCTGTTGAACCTCTTCATTCACCTCTCTACTCTAAAGCGCTTTGGATACCCACCACCCAATCATCAGGCTACGTCAGCTTGTGTGAGTCACTTGTCACGCAGAGCAACATAATGTCTACGTCCCATGATTTGCACTGTATGAGTGTGATCATAAGACTACACCCCCAGGAACGGGAGACTGGAAGAGGGGGTATTAGACCAGAAGAAGATCCTGCTGATTATATTCCATCTCGAGTCATAACACAGGTCATTCTTGATTACGAAAGGCAAAATCCAAATTACGACGCAATTCGGGAAGTGTATTCACAAATGTTGTACGAGGATGAGCATAACGGGAGGACTCTCTCAACACTAAGTCCTGTTCAGAGGATCAGGCCGGATTACAATATACTGTGGAGGAATACCACGGTGTCCACTTTCCCCCCTTAGGTGGATTGAGGGGTGCACTGGAGAGCAAACTTCAAATAGTAGAGAAGGTGGCAAAGTACACCAAGAATCACAGGATGGCGGCTTTTCAGGTAACCAAGAAGCCCAAAGGCCTTTAGACACTGCCTGAAGTGCAAAGAATTCAGCTGAGCATTGAGCAAGTGAACTTGACAAACTTATGGTTTTGGAGGTTCATCGCACAATCCTGGACTACTGGCAAGGTTATACCAATGCTTACAACTCATTAGTGAGGCAGGCAACACAGCTCTTACTGTGCAAAAGTAGAGACATTGACTGTGAAGACAATGCAAGAGCATGTGAGAAGATCCAATCTGATGTGCAAGTTATCTAAAGGAAAGCGGTGTTGGCATTCGAAAATATTGAGCAAACCGATGATTGAGTGCAGACCCAGATTAAGCGCATCTTGCTGCCTATGACAAATGAAGCAGGTACTCTCCACACTGCTGTCACACAACAAGAGTTTCAGTTGAGAGAAGTCCCAGAACCATGTGAGAATGACTCAGTAGATGACACAGAACTACATGCAATGCAAGAGGCATTGGAAACTGCCTGGGATGCAGTGTCAGGGCCCAGATTCAAGTCGTACCGTGCTCTGACAGTCTCAGAACTCCTCAAACAACTGGAAAAGTATCAACCAGAGCTGACTTCATCCATAGCTCCTGCAATTGTGTGGAGTGAACGTAGCTCTGGCTATGTAATTGCAACTTCATTCCTCAAAGACCATGCAGCCTATCTATCTGAACTCTCTGAAATAGACAAGGAGGGAATTGTAAATGATTGTGCACTCCATTCTCTGCAATACTCTGATATTTTGGGATATCGTTAGAGGGGAGAAGAGCTTGACTTTGATTACATATGGGAACAAGCTACAGCTTATGGCCCTCCTCCAGAATTGAAATATCTGGTCTCTTCTTTGGCCACTGCAGCCCTTAGGGCAGCCTCAGCTCAAGACTATGTTTGGAATGAAATTGACCTGATCCTTGCAGATCTCACACACTCATCAGATCAGATAATATTGACTCAACAACAATGTCTAGACCTGAAGCGGCTCTCAGCTTTGCTGGAGTCAACCCTTGATTTCCACACCAAGATGCTCAAAAGTGCCTTTCAGAGCTTCTTGAGCCAAGCTGAAAGCTCACATGCCAAAGCTTTACAGTCACTGGACATGAAAACACACCAGACCTTGCAAGCAGACACAACACCACAGCTGGAAGGGTATAGATCTGCTGCACATCTTTGGCAGGCAGCAACCTCCTTGTATTTAGCAAGAAGTAGACTTGCAATTGACCACACAATGTTTGAAGTTGAAAAGGCACTGAATCTACTGCCATTATTTCAGAGGGCTCTAAGTCATCTTCAAGAGCATGGTTCCCTTCCAACACTGAAGGAGCCAAAAGTGGAGACACTCCAGCCTAACCTACAACTGGAGCAAAGGATAAATGATCTTCAGAAATCATTGGAAGTGGTGGTTGATACTGAAAACAAACTTGACAATAACGACTTGAAACGTCTCACAGTATCAGCAATCACGAATGGCTTGAAAGAGACTGCTTCCAGTACACCTAGTAGGACCAATGTCACGGCCGTCGAACAACTATCTTCTGGCAGACCGACGGTCGACGAACCTCGGCTAACTTGATGCTCCTGAGTTGAAGTCTCACCCAACCGAGAGGGCGCAGACGTCGAAAGGAGTGTAACTACGGCGTACTTCGGCGTAGTTACTCCAACTGGGGTTTTGTTCTACTGATGGCGATGTATCTCGAATTGTATATAGCTATCTCTATCTGTCTTTCTCTACTGACAACAATCAAGGATCGCTGAAGAACTTCAGTGATCTTCTCAGCTAATATTATCTACTCCTCCTAGACGTTCATCCAACCCTCTCGCGCTTTGACGTACTTCAACGCACTTCGTCCAACTTCCCCGAGCCCTCGGCCATCCTCTTCCTCCTTCGACTAATTCCGCCTAACATCGCCGCACTTCTGCTCCCATTGTCCCTACTTAGCCTAACTCCGTCTAACTTCGCCGTACTTCTGCTCCCATTGTCCCTACTTAGACTAACTCCGCCTAACATCGCCGCACTTCTGCTCCCATTGTCCCTACTTAGCCTAACTCCGTCTAACTTCGCCGTACTTCTGCTCCCATTGTTCCTACTTAGCCTAACTCCGTCTAACTTCGCCGTACTTGGTGTCAGAAGTCCTGAGTTACGTGTAGAGTAAAGAGGTTAAGGCGTGATGGGGTTTTGATGGCCAAAGGAGGGTCATTGTTGGTGGAGTAATCGAGGTGTCGCGACGTAGTTCGTGACAGTCGCCCCCTTCTTTAGCCGCGAACGTCCTCGTGAGCGATTACACCTCTGTCGTGTCAAGAGAACTTAGCAGCGTAGTACCCCCATTCTCTCCCTCCCTATGACCATCCTTCACCCTTCTGCTCTTTGCGCCGCACTTCGTAGTTGGGCCTCCTTTCACTCCAAAACCCGACAATGAGACTCCCCTAACTTCGTTGAGGTTTGCCGTAAGAAGCCCTGTGTCTTTTGTAGGTGAGACACGCTTCCTGAATGGCAGCCGAACAATACCGTTGTTTGTCGAAGTAACCCTCGCTTATATTGAGATGAGACACTATAGCGTGGGAATTTTGATCGTCCCTGCGATGCCTTTTGTTGATGAAACGCGAAGTTTGCTGCATGTTGACGACGAGGGGGTAGGTTTGATTATACTAAATACTGAGCAGTTCGTCGAGCTTCTCTCTTTTTCCCATCTTCTTTCAAAACTTTCTATCTCTCTTACCTAGAAAACAGATTTGTTACCTTGAATCATCGCCTCAAGTTTTATTCTCTTTTAAATATCTTAACGTCATGGCCCCTTCTACTCCTACACCCAGCCCTTTCGCCGCCATGAGGAACTTTGGTGGTATGGTGTCATCTGCTCGTGAGTTTTCGTCGATACTCACCCTACCTCGCCGAACTTGGCTGATGTTCAGTTTCTTTCGGCGACAGGTCTCGCCAAGTCTCCTCCCTCGGCCTCGGCACTCTCTCTCTGGGGGAGCCGTCTGGCGCTCCCGTGCCCCCTCGCTCCGCCTCTCCCTCCGCTGGTTCTCCCTCCCCCGTGTCTGGTTCTCCCGTCCCCGTAACGGGTTCTCCTGGAGGGCCTCCTCCTGCCGCCACTCCTCGCCGTAGGACGCCCGCCTTTCGTCCTGGTGAGTCTCCGTCCTCCTCCGACCAGGACTCGCTCAGTGGGGGCTCGGAGTCAAGTGATCGACCCGACACCGAAGAAAGTGAGGATGATGATGATGGGGAGGGTAGGATCGATAGTGAGGGTGAAAGCGAGTTAGAAGAATACCCGGATGATGATGTGGAGGTGATTAGTGTGGAGGACAACAACGTAGATAGTCCTGAGCGTGAGTTCTTCGTCCAACCTCTCACACCTTCGCCGAACTTGGCCTTGTTTATCTGTTCTTTAGCTCTCCAAGACATTGCTAACTCGCAGCCGGTCCTGCCCCTCCCCCTGCTCAAATTGTGGGCCAGAAACGACGCCGTTCCCTCTCCTCTTCTTCTTCTTCCTCTTCTTCTTCTTCCTCTTCCTCTTCCTCTTCCGGGGTTCCCCCCCCCCCCGCCGCCGCCGCCGCCGGTCCTGCTGCCGCCGCCCCCGTCGCTGCTCCCCCCCCTTCTCCCAGAGGGGAGCCTTCGCCCAAACGGGTGAAGAGATCACTGCGGGAAGAAGAGTACTTGTGGGAGAAGATGAAGTCCGAGCCTGGTCGTTGGATCGCGGTTGGTGTTGACGAAGCGTGTGATCGTTGCCGGTGAGTCCACCTATTCGTACTACGCCGAAGTTACTCCTGCTAATTAGTAGACGTGAGATTATCACGTATAATCGTCCAAACTGGCCCTGCCTCAAGGCAGTCAGGCCACACAACAAGGCCCTCCGTTGTGCTTCATGCACGTCTGGCCCCTGCTCCTTCTGTCCCGTTTCCTCTGCCCGGGACATCCCGCCCCGTCCCTTCGACGCTTCTCCTCTCCCCCCTCCCCAGACTCCAGCGTCTGTCCCCCGTTCGCGGGTACCGTCTTCGTCTCTCCGGTCGGTTCGCCGAACTTCGCCGTCCTCCCGCTCGTCGCCTCCCTCGCCCTCGCCTTTTGTTCCTGTGGCCGGCCCGTCGCGTCTCCCGGCTGCTCCTCCTTCGTCCTCCCGTCGTCCTTCAACCTCTCGGCCCTCGGCCTCTCGTCCTTCGGCCCCTCGTCCGTCCTCTCCTGTGGTGGCTTCTCCTCCGGCCCACAGCACCCGAAGTCGCCGTCCTTCTGCTCCTCCGGCCACCCCAGCGGCCGCCCCTGTCACCGAGTCCCCCGCTGCCAAGAAGACCCCGAAGTCTTCTTTAAAGAAATCAAAAGGGAAAAGGAAGGAGAAAGAGGTCGTCTTTGAAGCTGGTGATGTGGAAGATGAAGCTACTCAGCGTGCTGGGCCCTCTGTTCCTCGGTTGTCCTTCGTCCACCCTCGTATCTCCCTGGACCCTCGTATCCCGGAGGACGAGAAAGAATTTGCTACGTATCGTTCTCTCGTTCTCGGCCTCACCACTCAGCTTGACGTCGCTCGGCGTGATACATCTCTCTTGCTCGACTTCTCCACTCGTCAAGCCAACGCCTTGAATAACCTTACTGCGGCGTTAGTAGATGTAGTCAACGGTGGGAATCTGAACGAGGAAGCAAGGACGAGGTTAGCGGACGTCTCTCGCCGAAGCCTTACTGAGATAGCCGATGTTCGCCGAAGACTTTACGACACCCCCTTCCTCGTTACTCCTATGGCATACGAGCCACCACCGTCCATCGGCTGGTTAGGCCCCCGGAGTAGTTCTCGAGTCCCTGCTTCTGCTCAGACTGCTCTCGATCTCCTTAGTCTTCCGTCCGAGTGTCTTAGGACCATACGTTCCCTGTGGAGGACTCCGAGCATGCAAGCTGCTCGGGATGTCCAGGACTTTGGTGATTTCTTTGGGGCTATGAACCGGGCATGGAATGCTTCCCTCTCGACTGTTTTCCCCCCTGACAGTCTCGATCTACCTTGGGCCATCGGTACTCTCCACACCAATCTCGCGGGGCCGAGTAGCGCGAAGGAGAAAGGAAAAGGAAAGGGTAAGGGTAAGGGCAAGTGAGCGGTACGTAGCTGTAATCCTATGTTGTATGCAGTACGTTCTACCTCCTAGCCCTCCGCAGTCGCCCTTCCTTCGGCTTAGTAGGGTGAAGTTCGTGGAACTTCGCCAATATGTCATCAGCTCCGTCGACGTTCTCTACTGGTTCCCATGATACCGAATCGTCTGTTCCTTCGTAACCTAACCATTCTACTAAGTACTCTAACTTTCCTGATCTTTTATTTACTCTAGAGTCCACAATGTCCTTTACTTCCCACGATTCTCCTACGTTATCTACTTCTACTGGGCCAGGTGGTTCAGCTTGCTGACCAGGGAATACTGGAGGATGATAGGGACGAAGCAATGAAACATGGAATACATCATGGATACCTGCCATCGTTCCTGGTAATTCCAATTTACAAGCATGAGAACCTACCTGCCGTACTACCTTGTACGGCCCACCTTGCTTCACATCTAACTTCTTCATTGGTCTTTTAGTCTTGATGTTCTCTAACGACAGCATTACTAGGTCACCTTCCACGAAGTTCGGCGTAGTCCGGTGTTTCCTATTGTATCCTTCGGCGTACTTCTCGTTAGCTCTCTCAATTCCCTCAATACATTCTTTATGTATTTCGGTTAGGTCTTTTACCACCACTGTAGCAGCAGGTACCTCGACCTCACTGGCCTTAATCTCTTCAGCCCACCGAGGGTGGTACCCGTAGTTCGCATAGAATGGGGTCTTGTTTATCGCTGAATGATGGGTGTTGTTGTAAGCAAAGCTAGCTCGAGCAAGCAGCTTCGACCAGTCGTTCTGCTGGTAGGAAGTGAAGATTCGAAGGTATAATTCGAGGGACTGGTTGGTTCGTTCGGTCTGTCCATCAGTCTGTGGATGATACGCGGTAGAAAGATGTAGTCTTATGCCGAGACTATCGGTCAAGTTCTTCCAAAACTTCGAGGTAAACTTCGATCCTCTGTCCGATACTATACTCTCTGGTAACCCATGCTGGGCCACCACATAGTCCATTATCAGCTCAGATAGTCCAGCTGTGGTTAACTTCGTCGTGGTTGGGATAAAAATGCCCCATTTGGTCAATCGGTCCACCACTACCAGGATGGAATTATATTCATGGGAATTCGGAAGCTCTTCGATGAAATCCGTCGAGATGCTTGACCAGGGTTTAATAGCCACTTGCAATGGTTTGAGCTCTCCATGGGGTTTCTGTCTGTTAGTCTTTGCTCTCTGACATACCGCACAGCCAGCGATATAATCTTCGACATCCTTCCTTACTCCAACCCAAACGTAATCCCTCAGGACAAGCTCGAGGGTCTTCGCTGAGCCTGGGTGACCAGCTAGGGCCGAATCGTGTCGCATCTTCATGATCTTTAGTCGAGCCTCGGCGTAGTTCGGCACATAAGTGTGATCGTCGAACGTGAGGAAACCCCTTGAGTTCCATCCTCCCCGAAGTATTAGAGGGGATCGCGAACTACGGCGTAGTTCGGTGATTGATCCTGGTTCCTGTACGTCATCGT